CAAAGACGTGGTTCAATTCAGACAGAATAATTATATTTCATACTTTTAACTTGACTTAAAATTGAAATCCTCTTTATTTGGAGAGCTATTGTATATCCCTTAGGTAAATGAAGTCCGATTGTTGATCTGAATTGTTGTCAGATAATGAAGGTATAATAAGTATAGTGTAATACACAGAAAAACTGCCGAATAGAGAAATATCAGGCGACAGAGAGTTGCTCTTTATACTTATATTTTACGATTTCTAGAATCTGATTGTTTTAAAACAATGAAAGTACTATAAACAGATAAAGTAAAGGAGAATAAAGTGTTATTTCAAAGTTTAGTATATCACACAGACTTGGCAGTTTTATTACTTCTGTTACTTATCAAAATCCCGTTTGTTTATTTTAACTGATTAATCAACTATTTATTTTACCTTTTATTCATTGTTAGAACTTTAAATTGAGATGATGATTGTACGACTGAATTAAAACAAGGTATCAATAATATTTGGAAAGGCTTAGTATTTTAATAACTATCATACTTAGTAAAATTGTAGACAAATTGAATGCCATTTTTAAGAGTGTTATGGATAGCTGTAAATTAAATTTATCTGGAAATATATAGAAGTCCGTTTAATGATATGAATTACTAGGAATTTACAACGATCACGTTAACCTGTTTTGTAGAATTTTAAGTACACAATCACTCTGCAACTCAGGGTACTGTACACAATATACTCCTTTATTAATAATTATTCTGTCATCTAAACATTTCAAATAAAAACTGAAAATTGGCTGGCACTCAAAAATGTGTGTGTATATTATATACTTATATCATATATAAATTATTAGATAAACATCACATTCGAGTTAGTGGAACGATGATATACCTCACTGTAAAGTTTCTTCTGTGAAATATACAGCTTAGAAATGACAGTAAAGGTGCAAGAATACATTATTAATTAGTTCACCCCATTATGATAATACCGCATAATACCTGTAGGCTTCAGGACTGACAGAAAATGATATCTAACTGTTAATTCTTTTCGTATAGAAATACGATGCTAAACGTTTGAATAACGGACCGCTAAATAATTACAATATAGCATTAGTATCATATTGTTTTTCTGTTAGTCAGTGTGGTGACAATCATTGCATAGACAATTACACTGTATATATCATGCTGTTTTTATCTATTTCCATCTTAAAGTAACATTTCCATAAGGTCCCAAAATACCACTCCATGTCTACTTTTTGCCACACAAGCTCTTACAGTGTATTATAATGTACACTATAAATTATCGACACATCCGTTTTTCTTTCCATTTCTGTGTTTTTATGCAGGTTTATCTGCCGCCTTACAGGCTCTTAAAATATCTTGCTGTTTTTCAACAGTATATATATTTTTTAATGTTGTTTAAAGAATTTTATTACCTATGATCTCAACATTGATTAAGATTCTCACGTTTCCTCCCAGAACATCAAACGATGCTTTTAGAATGAAATTTAAAAATACACTATAAATGTAAAAATATCGTTACAGACTTGATATTATTGACGTAAACATATTCTTCTTCCGATTATATAATCTTGGGCATCACATTTTACAGACGTCAGAATTTTACGCAAAGGAGAGAAACAAGTTGGTGATATAATGGGGCGTAACTCGAAAGAAAGTAGATATATTCAGACAACAATAACTTCTCTGTAGCCGATGGACGCCGTCTGGTTAGCTCATATGGTGTTGAATAGATGGTCAATAGCTGAGCATGTTATGATAGATGTTTTGTACAGATCTTAAATTTCCGTAGAATGAAAACACTTTGACGAGGGTTGAAGTGGCTGGTGATTTTTGAAATAATCCCTAGGATATTCTTTGAAATCAAATGTGAAGGTGAAAATATAAATTGTAAAGACTTTATCCACCGATTTAATAGCAGGTGGAAAAAACATATTCTACATTAAAAGACAGTATGGATCATTCACTCATTTGATTCATGGGTACTTAATTGTTGGTAGGTCTACGGTCAAATTGTGGAAACTGAATGTCCACTGACAGACAATGGACAGATATTCTTCTGTACAAGACGGTATGGGTGAGTTATAATTAAAGAGATCAGAACCAGATGTTAGATTATAACTATTTGTATGATTAATATATAGTATTATGTCAGACGACCCTGTCAATAACTTCTGCTTACTGCTCGATTGCTTCAGGTAGATATAGGACTTGAAATGAAAGAAATTATTCAATCCGTCAGAAACAACTGTTGTCCTTAAACCAACTAACCCATATAACATTTAATATTTACCTACATCTACATCCCAACCTACCATTCCTTATTTCTCTAAAATGCACGTTGTTCTGATAATTGTGGACCATTCAGCTTATCTGTGTCAGTTATAAGGCATGGACTGTCATTAAATAGGCCAAAGCATTTTTGACAAAATGACCAGGGTTATGTATGTTCGTGTTTTTTTAAAACTTCGTTGGCGAATGGTTGCCTTCCTGCACAAATGTAATGCGTATGCCTTCCAGGGTAAACAAAACTACTGTAAAAGAGGGAATAAAAATTCAATTTTAAGTATAAAATGTGTTGATGATGAAGGAATACTGTTATAGGTAGATACAAGAATTTGGCAGTTTATAAATTATCTGCTAAAAATGATTGAAGACTGTAATTTCCACAGAGTTGATTTAATTAGAATTCACCACATGTTTGCCTTGAAATATTCTGTTATAACAGAGAAATTATACCGTAAAGATATGTTAACACAACTTGATGCTCTTAAATATTCTCGTATACTGGCATTACAAATGTTGAGTATTAATCTTATAGATGCCACCAGTCTTAATGAAATTACACCAAACCTTCTTTAAGTTTTTTAATTAGCTTTTATTTTTAATGTAGCCACTACAGTTAGGGTCTGAGGACGGCCCTCTTGAACATTGAGCCCAGGGACATTTGACCCAACCTGATGTAAAAGTAACATAGAGCTACATGGAACATGCCACCAGTTCTGATATCCAGAAATACAACGCGAAAGGGTGTTATGACAAAATGTCAAATATATATATATTCCAACTGCTATAGATTGAGCTTGGTACTAGAACTACGAAATGAAACTGTTACATGTAGCACTACTTATGACTGTTTTCCTAGCAAAGCTTAATACCAACACTTTTCCACTACCGAAACGAGTCTGATTATGCTATAAAACTCAAACATGTAAAAGGATCTTAAGGATGATATCATCTGGTTATTTTAATATGTAATAAAACCCCAGGTATACCGGTATTGGTATGTGTATATTGTTTACCTAATACTAATTGAAATACCGGTATATCATAACAGTACAACACAAACTTCTTGAAAACTACCTGGGTCACCTTTTCAATTAACATCATAAAGTGAAAACCGACACATGCCTATCAAAACCGCTATCTTTTAGTCAAATTCATGACTTAAATGAACTCAAAGACTCTATGAACAAAAATATGACAAAGACAGACGAACACTGAAAGAGCAAACATTCTCTTCTCAGCTCAGGCAAATTTTTCATAAAGCCTTGTGATAATCTTATTTCTCCGGAAATAGATCCAATGTTGAAACTTTGCAACTGTTTTGGTTAAGGATTCTAAATTAAGCACAGCAATAATAAAAGTTTCTTTAAAAAATTACCCTTCTTTGATAAAATTATGCTGCTCAAATGGTAACGTTTCTTTTTTCCTTCGGTTAGGGATTTAGTTTCTTTCTCCCTTCTCTCCAAGGGGCTTAACAATTAATAACACCCCCACGTCGAGTCTTACGATTTATACTTACCATGGTGTTTTTAATTAGGGCCTGAAACAATATTCATCATTACTAGTCTATTATTAAAGGTATTTGGTTGATAATGTTATGAAATACCTCCTCAACTTTTAGCACCATGTTAATTATGATGAGATTGTTAAAGCTACGGTGAAGATATAAATAGCATGCATGGTCTGACCTTGGTCAAATCATTAACAAGTTTTATTATTTTATCGACGATTGCCGATCAATCTTGCTATTTAAAGTTAGAAGGTTTTTAAGTAAAGCAGTGATTGATTACCCAACGGAAAATGAGCAATAAAAAGTACAACATTGCTAGAAAAAACTCTTTCATGTTAGCTTTAATATAAACTGGTATATATTAGTCTCACTAACCAGTAAACCACGGATGCCAAAGTAGCGTAAAGCGATTTAAGACAGTTCAAGGTATGTTGTGTGGAAGTTAGTTAATGGAGCTTATTGAAGAACTGACACAAGTCAGTCTGGGCTGAACGCGTGGCTATGTTTATATATTTTACGTGCACGTTATAATGTGCATTAACATTTACTTTTATCAGTCAATGTCCGTTAATTTGTACGGAATGATGGGTGTGTTCGATGTCAGTGCCTGTTCAGTGTATGATTGACACCGTCCCGGTGTGTTCTATCATCGTATCGTTATGATTGGCAGTAAGGGAGATGGAATAGGATATAGCGATAAGAACTGATTACCGGTGTTTGGAAGAAAGGGATTAATATTGCCTGTGTTTAAATGTTTGTAAGAAAATCAGTTATGAACGATGAATTCTAAGTATTTGACATAAACAAATGAATTGAAGGGAACACGTGTTTGAATTAGTGAAATGTTTCAGATCTGAAAGAAGAGTGTATATGTGTTCATATTTGTTTGGAAGGTTAAAGTGCTTGTGGATAGCTGAACTCGTGATCACAGAAGTTTGAGGATCAGTTTTTAGGGGTATAAGTAATATTTTGAATTTTCAGAGGTATATTGTCTATTCCTTTTTTTGTCTTTTTGGGTTAGATTGGATACACCGTCCTATATTCTCAGTTATGGTTTGTATTAGATCATAGCATTGCCTTTAAAGCTGTAACGGATATTCGATTACTATTTGCTTGTGATATAAAAGTAACATTCCAAAAGGGATTACATCCTTTATTATAATTCATGTTAATGCCAAATTGGAGTGTATTGTTAGTGAAAATGGGGACATTGCGTGATCTACAACTTGCCTTACAGGAAAAGATTGAGGAATTGCGACAGAGGGATGAGTTAATAGATGAATTAGAGATGGAATTAGATCAAAAGGATGCTTTAATCCAAAAATTACAAACTCAACTGGACAAATATAGATCCATATTAAAACCTGCCACACAACAGAATTCCGTAGCTAGCCTTCCAAATCACACTCAGGTCAAAGAAAGATCTAAACGAACTGCTATATCAGCTGAGCCTGCCAATTTCAATACATTTCATGTTTTGGACAGCGAAACTCAATTTGTAGCCAAATCACTCTCGTAAGTATGTCATATTTGTTTATTGGTATATATAGTTGATATACGTGCACTAGTATACACTGTACTTATACCTTCATACTACATCTTATCATTTGATCTCAGAGTTCAGTAAATACACTATATCAACTGAAATACTCATATTCCCTGCTTGAAATGATTATTTGCCGACCTAAGACTGATTTAATCAACATTTGAAGCACATGCAAACTGACTCCCGACCTCATTTACAACATTTGAAATTTCATTAATCTATAACAAACATGACCATGAAATAATGTGGTATACGAAGTTGGTCGGAAATTTATAACTTCAGGAATTTCAGTCCAAAAGGAATAAATATCAAAATTAATATCCCATACTCTGCAAAATTCTTTTAAATTAGAGTATTCCATATCTGAAATATTTTCAAGTGATAAGATGTATTCAGAACTTCCGAAATACTTGTAGTAGAACTTATTATCTCAAAGTTATTTCAGGTCTTCCAAACGTTTAAAGGAAGACAAATGAGTGTATCTCATGAATTCCAGAAATAATTTAAAGGAAGGGCACCTTCTAAAGTTCAATACATCTAACTTCAATTTTTCATTATCGTCTTTGGCGGCCAGTACCTATCATTACTGGTTTAAAATAACCATAATGTTTTTATGACACGAGACTCTTTGAACCTCTATCTATATTTTGATTACTTTGTATCCCGCTGAGATAATAAATATTTTACCTTCAAACAGGATTGGAATTTAACGTTTAAATACTTTCAAAATTCTTGTTGTATTGGAATTTAACATCTAAATACCTTCCGAAATCTTGTTTGTACTGGATTTGAGCAGCTAAATACTTTCAGAAACCTTGTTGTATTGGAATTTAACATCCAATACTTTCAGAAACTTCTTGTTTCATTGCTGCATATATTGGAATTTAACATCTAAATACTTTTAAATACTTAGTTTTTAAAGAATTTAAGATATACATATTTTTAGAAACTTTGTTGAATTTGAATATAAGATATAAATATTTTTAGAAACCTGGTTGTATTCTGTCCAATGATAAACGAGGGAAGGTTTACAATTGAATTCCTGTCTGAATTACTGTCAATTCCAGCCAATTTGACTGGATGACGACAATTTATTGCCTCTTATAACAATGTTTGATTACCCATTATAAATATAGATACCATTTCTTAACCCTTTCTCTGCTATTTTTACTCGCATTATTATTCATGCTTTAAAGATCAAATATTCTCTCACACATTAAACATAACTGCAGAATATAAAGTTGAAGGCTTAGATTGTTACAACAGTAAAAAATTTTCTTACATTTAACCTTGAGTTAAAATTTGTCGTTTAGATGCCAAACTAAATGATGTTTTAATACATTATGGGGAAAGTTGCCATACAAGACCCCTTTATAAGAGATTGGAGAACGCAAAAGGTTATTATCAGCAGTTTTATTAACAGTTGTCCAATTTGTAAACCTAGGGGAAGCCTTGTATAGTAATTGTTATCAATAATACAGTATTATAGATTTACTCTTGACCATAGTGAAGGATTGTGGTTAGGTTCGGAACTGGTTAACCCTTTTGACATTCCTTGCTCCAATATTCTGACATATTTCATCTTAATACATCTCATGAAATAGACGTTTTGGTCCAGTTTATCCAACAATTATTTATGTGTATTATTAGTAATTTAATTAATATCAACAACTCCAATGTTGTACTGAACCAAGAGAACCCAACCCCCTCCTCTAATCGAATGGAAATTGTAAACCAAGTCAAAATTAGTATAACCTTTAACAATTAAGTAAAATATATTATTTACACCTGAAATTTTAATAACATATAAGTAGGATGTATTTTTATACCACAATGAATAGATATCATTAACCAGTTTGTATCAGGTTTGCCTGCAATCAAAGATGACTAAGGTATCAGCTATATATCATCAGATATAAAGTGTACATGCAATCACTGAAATAACATCCTGCCATAATTTCATTTCCTGTTTATTGTTTCTTATAAATGTTAAAATATTTCAGTATATTTGATAAAATCACAAAATATTTACATATATACACACGACGTGTATGATAAATATGTTTCTATTATATATTAGCTTTAGAGAACTACAGTAATGTTTGTGCTGAAACACAATGAATGTGTTGCATAGGATATTTTATTGCAGGACGCCTGTTACTACTCTACCTGGCGGCGTTTCAACCAAGTTTCTCTAGTCTTCATCAGGAAACGGTTCAGACAAATTGAACAATAAGCAAACAAAAATGAAAAATGATAATTTGATTTTCCTATATACATAACCAATTGTGTGCTAAACACAGGACTGGTAATAATACTTCTATTTAATAATTAAACATGTTGTTCACAGTCATGATGATAATGCTATCGATAATAGGTCAATTTGGTGATCATTAGCCTACGTTATCCGTCCTTTATCCAAAGGAAGCATCTCTCGAATCAAAATCCCAATATTGAATTCCTTTTGGAATATTTGATAAACCTGGAAAACATGACGTTGATAATGAAGTATATAATTAGCTTTGGCTTGAGGCCGAACGTTTTCGGGCTTATCTTGCAATAATTTGATCAAGAGAATTTTTTGACGGTACTTCCTGATATTCAAGTAATGTTTTAAATAACAGCCTTCTATTCTGAAAATTGAATCTGAGAAAAAACTGATGAATGGAAAACGCTGAAAGATTTTTCATGTATTTAGCTTATATCCCAATAATCTGGTGACAAATTTTCTTACTCTAGTCACTTTAAACAGATCACTTGCTTCCTCTTTCATTTTATTCATTGAATGAGAGTAAATCGTTCAATTTCATTAAAACGTTGTAGAAATTGCATGTTTCAGAGACTAGGATATTTACTGCCTGTCATACAATACGAATTGATGTGACTTATAGAAATGACAACCACGCTCTAGATGGAGAAAATACTATAAATATATGGCGTTTTAATAAGCATTTACATGGGAAATGATGACTTTTGAAATTGTATCTATCAATTCCTACACCTTTCTTTTTAAGGTATTATAAACTGAACTTGAAATATAAATTAAAGCGAGTAACAACATGTTCTTCATATACCACTTATGGTGTTTTTATCTGTTTTCACTATAAACAGTGTTCATTTCAGGTTTACTGAATCACGCGTTTTGCTCTTTTTGCCTAAATCAGACGCCCCGAGGCGATTTCCAAACAAGTGTACATTTTATTTTATACAGAAATACTTGAACTATTTTATGCTCAATTCCGTGCGTCAAGTGTGTAAAAAGCTTGAAATTTCACATAATTTGACCTTGGATTATCGGCTTATCAAATATACATCAAATACTGTCTGATTGACATTACCTGCTTCGGAAACCATTTAATCTTATCTGGTAATATGAATGAATAGACTGGCCAGTAACTGACCATTTCGGTCAATATCTCTTACCATCTCCCCCAATCTTCACATATTGATGCTATCTAAATTGTCTTGTTAAACACGAGCAAACACCAATGGTCATTTATTGAGATGAGAGTAACAGTAGTATCAGTTTAATCAGAGCTATAGAAGAAAGAGGGTGGGGAGCTATTTCTATCATTCAGACTGATGTATAGGTAGTTAGTCTCGAGAGAGAGTTAATTATAGTATGTAATTAGCCGCTATCTCACCTGGTAGTGACACCTGTCTCACATCTTATCTGATCAATAGAAATAATCTCAACTCTTACATATTTATTTTCGTGTAATGTAATTTATTATTTCGCAAGTCTGTATTCTAAAAAAAAACACATGTAATTGGACAATGAGACTCAAGTGGCCTTTAAAGAAAATAAATGTTGACGTTTTAGTGAAAGCTGAATTTTATTATATGTAGAATGTTGTACAGGTAACAGAACTGTTGTCCGACTGTTGTGGGCTGTGTCCTATAAATTGGTATTTATATGAAAGAAAGCAAAATACTGAATTTAAACTAAAAATAAATAAAAAATAAAAAACATCGAGTACCCGGTGCTGTATTTTAGTCTGAATTTGTCAAGTATCAATATTGGATGATTTTATATAATATATGATTCTTAAGCTTTTTTAAATATAATAATAATACAATATTTAAATTAAGTGATGACTATATTAATTGTGTTTTCAAATGAACAGTACTTGTAACGTATATGTATCTGAAGAAATCCCGTAAAATTGCCAGGTTCAATGTTCCATATCGCAGACGTTGAGTAAGGCCTTTAGAAAACCTCCTTGCAATCCCTAAGTAGCGTTTGTATGGAGTAGCTCTGTCGGAACGTCTGAAACGAGGCATGACAACACACGGCCAAATATTGTATGAAAACTGTTTTGAAAATGCAAGCAATTGAGAACATTTACAAGATTTGACACAGATATGCGATCAACAAGGAAAAAAAAATGATAATGATTCATTTAATGACTTCGGCTATTCAATCGACTTGAATGTCTCTGTGCTGGTCAGAACTGAAGTACGCTATTCTGAATAACCAATAATAAAAGGCAGTATAGTTGTATGAAATTTCATCAAAGACTAGTCTATTCTGCATGAATTCAAACTACACATTTAGCTTCAGGACACCTCTTACTTACAGTTGAAATAATTCTATTTTATACCAAGTCTATCAAGTAGAGAGTACATCAATTTTTAACGAATCAAATTTCACCAATACTTTTCTTCATTATTGATACGACAAATCAGGCGAGAAAACTTTACTAACATAACCATCACGATAGAAAGGAATAAAGAATGTTATTTTGGACAAGACTAAAAGTTAGATGGATCTATACATTAATGCTTTTAAATTATTTAGAAAATTCGTTTTGTTTTCTATATCTTTCTGTTTGAAACTTAAACATCTTATTATCCTTGAGTACACAAAGTCCACAACGTAGCAACTTATAGTACAATGAAATGGCTCGAACACCAACATTTTGGTAGGATGTTGTTTCACATGTAGGATTTCTCTATGGATATGAAACGAGTTTGCATTTATTTGTGGTTCATACGTACATTAATTACTAAAATATGATATGATATGATGTACTCCGACCTTTTCGTATCAGCCTGCTGTACATAGTAACATACACAAGATATACCTAATTTCAGCGCAATATCAGAGGTATAATGTTTTATCAGATGATAAGCGATAGTAAACGAAGCATGTTAATTATATTAATTTTCTAAAACACTGTTTTACTGTGTAAATATCTATTAATTGATATAAAATGGGTATTGGTTAAGTTAAAGGTTCTAAAAACATTGCTGTTCAACAGTTAATGGTTTTTATTTGGTTCAAGGTTGTACTCCATCTGCAAACAGAGGAATGTGGCATTACATCTAGTGAACGACAGAAAACATTGCCTTACAGTAAAAATGTTCAGTAGTGGATGTTGAAGAATTCTTTAAGAGTAGAGTTCATCTCAGTTGATGTAAAAAGGGTCCTATTTAAATTTAGGTGCGATTTTGAATGTTAATGATTATACAATGTAATTTTTTTTTAAAACCAAAGATAACTTGTGATTGCCACACATTACCTAAACTAAGCACATATTAGTGCATGTAATTAAGTCAGAATAGATTGTCTAATAATGACAGACCATTTTGATAATATTGAACTCTTTCTATTTTAAATGAAACTCAAACAGTAACAAACATTTGATCTATTCTCTGATGACTATTATAACTGCAGTCATTAAACGGTTCGTTTATGCAGTCTACCACTGCAATTATCAACATTTAAAAAGTCAAGAGTTTAATAATAAATGAATTGTTGATTAAATATTTCACGACAAAATCAATAGACAGATCTTTTATTTAATTAGCGTTAAGTGCCTGCAATCTAATTTGTTTATTCTGATTTAGATAATATATTGATATATTTTAAATTCCAATTCATACCACGGTGTATTGTTAGTGTCTTTTTCAACTCGATTTATTTGATGAATGACTCTACAGAGTTCAGACAGAACCATTTCGTTGCGTTGGTAGTTACACAACGACACGACATATAATGCAGTATACTTTTGCTTTGTTTTTTTTTAAAATGTTGTTATTCATTATGATGTTGCTCCAAATGGGCTATCTGTCTGACATCTTGGATGAGTTGCTCCATGGTGCAGATATTGTCTAGTAAAAATGTGTTTCTTTCAATGTGGGGTAGATCTTTAAGAGAAAAATGTTTAAAATAGGAATATTGAAACCACTTAGACAGACATTATAAATACTATTTTTGTAAAATAGGTGATCAGTTATCTAAATATTGAAAGAAGAGAAGTATTTAGTCTGAAACATAGTATTGACTATTAAACCTGGCTTGAAGAAGTACTGGTCTTTCATGTTTAGTGATCGCCACAAATGAGCCATAGAAATGAATTATTTTCACATTAGTTTCAGCATGTAGGTATGTATATTGTAGGAAATAAAACATACTCATGTCTTTAGGTACTTACACTGTTAGAATTTTCCGTATAATACAGAACAGTCTGACCGCCAAGCTGTCGACCTGTAATACAATATTTTGAAAGTTCACTCACTTACAAATACAGATAGAAATATTAAAACAGAACCTAAAAAAACATGTTTTTCTTACTCATAGTTTCACGCTATGCGATCTTCAGACAACAACATAATATATATAAACTTACATAATCATATACTATTTTTATATTTAATATTCTATTATATATGATTTGTGCTATTCGTAGTATGGTGTGAATACACTCAGAGGTTGTGGTTTATGATTCAAAAAACATTCCTCCAATGGAACACTAATAATAGAAAACTAATTACGCTGTTGGCAAAAGATGGAAAAATTATATCAGAATGCATGTTGATAAGACAGTTTCCCATTCTGCGGGCAACTGAGCCGCCCTATGATTATTGTCTTCCCTATTTCCAGATAAAGTCATTTCGGTCGTGATAAATAACCAACGTAGTTGGTATTAAAAATGAATAGTATTTGGGAGAAATTGGCGTGTTCAGTGTCAAGCAAGTTTTGGGAAAGAAATCATACCAATGTTCACAGTTAATACTAACAGTGTATAGGAATGATAGTAGGCTAGAGAGATAGTAGTAGATAATAAATAGTATACATATGTTCTCTGATGCTCGAGACTGGTGTTGATGGATGAATTGTTTTGATAGTAGAAGATAAACAAACAAGCAGGAAAATATCGTGGAACAGGTATGCCTACAAGTCAACCTGTATTTACCTTGGTACAAAACTTGGATTGATGCAATGGTGAGGGCTAAACTAGATTTGTGTCAATTTGTTCTTTGCCTGATTGTACAAGCGTAATTTTCATTGAATGTCGTTTTTTTTCTCAATTCCTATATTGTCAAAGTGCTTTTGACGCAACCGTCATCAGTTCTCCCCCAGAGTCTTAAGACCTTATGCCAATAACCAACTGAGCAGATAATATCCCACAAAAAAGATATACATTTGTGAGATGTAATGGATGGAAACATACAAAATGGAAATGGTACTTAGCCACACACGATTGCCGACCTCAGCAAGTACTGAATTGTTGACAATCTCAAAACACGAATTCTACTAAGTATACTGACCTGTAACTAATACGCAGATTAGAATATATAACCAACCACTGATAAAATAGATACTAACCAAAAACAATATTTATATCTATAGTATTATACCTGATATAAACATATACTAGTATAAAATATAACATCATGTGGTGTTTATTGCCACCTTGAAGGTCTATCATCTTAGTGTTTATATTATTACGGAATTCCGTATACACAACAAATTCCGTCAGTAATCAAAACCAGCGCGAAACCAACAACTGAATACAGCAATTCGAGTTTACATGGATTTCCTGTCATAATCATAACCGTCAAGCGAAACACAATTGGACACAGCCTATTCCTATGTTCCACACACAATAAAAACTAAAGCACAAAAATCAGTTAACAAATCAGTTCCAGTTACATTTATACCAATTAACTTTCATAAGCACCAATCTCCATAAAGATATATATGAAACAGTGGCGTTACTGTGAATCATAGATAAGAAATTGATACGTGGGAAGGCCCCCTTCTCGGCCCCATTACAAACGCAACTGTTCTGTTACTGTAACCAGATCAAGGTTGCAACACTATTGCTTGGCTAGATCCCTAATCATCTTTTCTCTACCATTTCAGTTCTAAAGAATTAATACGACAAGCAATATTAGACAATGATTTTATGAAGAATTTAGAATTGGGACAAATACGAGAAATTGTAGAATGTATGTATCCGGTAGAATTCACTAAAGACAGTATTATTATAAAAGAAGGAGATGTTGGGTCGCTTGTGTATGTCATGGAAGGTAAGCATTGTTTTTTTTTCTAAATGGTCATCTAGACACCTTCATGTATGTAATCTTCTATTTTAATACATGTGGAATTATGGACTAGGATATAGTCAGAAAAAAGATTATGAAACAATAACTAATGATTACTTTGGACTAATTACTATATACAAACATAACATTTTTTAATGATAGTGATTATAAATTAGATCACATTACAAACTCGCGTACATTCGAGGAAAGATTCTCTTATTGCACTAAGAACTAAGAACTATAGGGACGTTGATAAGTTCCAGTGAATTCATAAAGAAGATACAAGACTATGTCTCGCTCTGGGCAATAAAATAACATTTCTTCCTTCGTGCTGTTTGAGCCTGGTTCTCTTAATATATTCTCAGTAAAAATGATGACCTCCATTATATTTTCAATTATCGAGATATTGGTGTAATTTATCCTGAATTCCCGCCCACCTTTCTGCATGCTGCAGTAACATCATCACGAACATTGAGAGATTTTTGACACGTGTTTTAATTGCCACTTCACCAATTTCCACTCACCCAATTATTATTTCAATTTTCTTTTTTCACAAACTATATAGCAGCATTTCAACAAGTTTAATCTATTCTTGATAAAAATGAAATGTTCAGGTTTTAAAATCGATCCCCCACTTGTCACATGCACGCACACTTCAACTACTCTTTCTAACTCCAATCTGTCTACAAAATACACTTAACATCAAAATCAGCCATCAAAATTCTGTCGGTTTTACAATTTTTAACTTTATCAGGTCAAAAATCACTTACAGCAATTATTAGTTCCGAAGGCAAATTCAAATTTAATTCTCTTTTTTATACATTATACAAGTTCATCGACTTATGAAGGATGAAGCTGTCAGACTTTCTTGTCTTGAATTCCAATATTCTCAATCCCTTTTAAATAGACATTCATTTCATATTCAGATATCATTTCTCATTTACAGTAACTCATTTTTAAAGCTTGGTATTTATTTCTGAAATCATACTAGATTTGTATGCAGCCCCCAATTTTAATTTCTACAAAGTGTAGGCCTTTTTCCAGCTTACTACAGGTAGAGAAATGTAATATATTTTCTGATCATGCGAGGATCCTGCATTTTTGTAGTGAAGTCCTATGTAATTGATGAATAAAGCTTTTTAAGGGGATCTTATAAATAACGTTTATTTTGTAGATGGTAAGGTGGAAGTTACAAAAGATGGACAGAAATTATGCACTATGTCTCCAGGAAAAGTATTTGGTGAATTAGCTATTTTATATAATTGTACCAGAACAGCCTCAGTCAAAGGTAAATAATAACTTTTATCGTAAATGTGGTCTACAACTAGCAAGGATCTAGTGATCAGAGCTTTGTTTGGTGGGTTTTTATTTTTTGGGGATTCGGTTGAAATAGTATTTTGTGAGTCCCTTATGTCATCTTAAACCTTCAGTTGTACATTTTGAGCAGTTCGATACAATTCGATACGGTATGATCAAGGAAAAATGTAAGTTTTGAAACTTGTTCAAGTCTTTTTGTCATTTCACATACTGGCCTATGTTCAGTATTCCGTGTAAAGACGTGTCAGACATAACTGTAAGCAATGGTCGCTATTAGTCATTGAGAGTAACTAAATGAATTGTAATGAATTGTCATCAGGCTGTTGGCACAGTTCAATAAAGAGTCAATTGAACAGTTAATATCAGGCTAACAATGGTAAATGGTCTTTCTTCCGGCAAAAATTGAGACACTTAAGACTGATCGATTGACAAACACTGTAGTGTGGTATTTGGCTCTGTGACATAGAAATTAATTCTAATTTGGTGTCAGACTGACCAAATCCTATCAATGAAAACAAAAGAGCCTAAAATATACTATTGTCCTAAAGGATTAATAATAAATCCTACGTTTTATTACATGAAAGTATCTTAGCAAGCAGATTGGCCACTCTCATAGCACTTTTAACTTTAACAATACCCAACGCTTTGACTTTACTCATAATCTTGAAGCTCAGTGGATAATGGCTGAAAAGTTAATTTCCAATATCATATGTATGATGGTGATATCATTTCATACAAACGAAAACAAAAATCGAAACAAAAACATAAAACTGTATTTTGTAATAAAATTGCATAGGGTGATGGTTCATTTCAAAATTCTGTAACGTTATGCAGAACACGTAGGATTTGAGTCATGCAGGGAAAAAGTAAACGAGAGACATAAAAGCTGGTGTATTTCATCTTATTGTTCAGAGATGGTTCAGTTCTCTTGCTATCATATCTGACAGGTTGCTAGACTGGCAATAAACATTTAACACTGAATAACGAGCGATGTCATGCCAATCTTCATGACTCCGTTTCATAAAAATACTTTTTCACACACACTTAAAACTAAACTGTTATTTTATTCAAATTGAGAATGGTAGCTATGGTTTATTTGCAGGAATGAGATACTACTGTTATAAATCAATGGTATATTGACAATTCTGTCAAATTTTTAGTTATTTTTATCTCATCATTTTCTTTCTCCAATTGTCCGTAAAGAATTTAATTTAAGTGCAAGTATGAATCAATTGAAAAAGTTATAAGAAAACGTCAACAAACGATAAACATGTTCAGCTAATCACAATTTATTGTCACTGCAGTTTTTCCCTTATAAATATCTCCTTTCCTAAGCGAACAAAACAACCCAAAAGGTAAATGAAAACTTGAAAGTGGACCATGAATACCACTCTTCACAAAAATTGCCAACGGATCTTATTGTTCTCCTGTAATCTCAGAAATGTTTTTAGTACAACACTTTGATCACATTGATTTTTAGGGTGCGTATTGTAAGGTATCGTTTATATATTAGAACATTTCTTACAAAATTTTCTTTTGTGGCACACTTTGCTTGTTCTTATACCCCGACAACAACAGAAATCGATGCATCAGTCTTAAATTCTGAATTCAAAAGCAAAATCGGTTGTTTTAGAAGGTCGATTGAAGACTGTTATAACCATCCTGGGATTACAAAAGCCCGATGTAGTTGATCTGGAAATTGATTCGTTATTCGGTTTCTACACGCAATCAGTACAATATAATTGAAATGACGGAGTTTATTGTCCAGCTGTTTCTCTGAAACCAATGGATGTCATACGGTGTGCGATGAAGGGCACCTTCGATCTTTGTCGTTTGATTAAGTGATTAAACGTGCAGTCGTTGACAATATCGACCACAAGTTTTAAGGAAATTTTTAAACTTAATCGGCCATTGAAGGCTATAGTTCTAGATCACAGGGTCAGTGTGCTGGTAACTCATCCTCCCATCATCTTCACTCGGCAACCAACATAACGAATTCCAAAAAAGTCAATCTGAGTAAAACTCATTCTCAATTAATTTAAAATCAAACATTCTGTTGTTGTATTTAGACAAGAAATTTTACACTTAAAACATTGATGTTAAACATTGATTTTATTGAACTAAAGAAAACAGACTGTTCGTTAAAAGATTAAAAAGAAAAAAAAATGACAAGAAGACTCATACATCAAGTCAATGTAGACTAGGCTGTCAAGGGCACAATGACTTAGAATTAATTATATTTAAAGATAAAGTTGGTTCAATAAATTATTCTTAATACTTTATAATTAGCGATTTAACAATTATTACATTAATAAGTTGGTGAAATTTATTTCCTAAAAGCAACATTGTAACAATGCATTTGTCTATTTGTTATGATTCGAAAATACCGAACAGTCAATATTTTGCTGAATTCATCGATTTTGAGGTGAGAAGAAATCAAAGGGTAACCTGGCTTACTATATTTTGATAGGGGAGCTAAATAATTTCGGTATCTGACTAGTCGCTGAATAAATAGATCTTTTCTCTTTTCGTCGAATTTATTATTCACTCACGGTCGCCATATATTATGCCATTTTAGGAAAATACGAAATCACAGGCTGCCACCCAGGCCGTGTGTCGGAATGGTACACATACCTTGCCTTTGCTATACAGTAGCTTTAATAAATCAGTTTAGAATAAGAAACTAGAGGAAGAATAACCAAGATAATATTATTGAATGAATGAGTAAAGTGTTATACTGAGATAAAGACCATCTGGTGTCATTCTTCTGTAACTAATCAATCTTAACTTGTTTACACGACTAACAGTTGTAATAGTAGTGTAACAGGGACGTTCGGGGTGGGTCAGTTACATAACACAGGGTATGGAAAGGATGGACTCGGGGTCTGAACTATCATGAAGACCATTTGGTGTCATCAAGACAAAATGTGTCTTGCAACTGGGAGCTGAAGTGGTTGTGTAAGAAGTTAGCTCACTGTAGTAGCATGATAGAGGCATTTCTGCTGTTCATCATTTTTGACATTTTTAACAAGTAAAATCATTTTGAACATTAGAGTATATTCGAATAACCCCTTCCCAATTCCCTTTCTTTTCAGTTGCAATGAAATGCCGTAATGAACACTTCATAATACAGTAACATAATAAGCTGAAATTATTTATTAATGTCGTCTTATGTTTAATTAATGAATATTGTTTAAACAATGTTAACACAACACACTGTCGTTAATCAAATACTCGTTAACTTTGATTACAAAACTTAACTCTCTTGTTTTTCCGCTGTCTCCGTAAGAAATTGATTTCGACATTGCAAATCAGTTATCGCTTGATGTTGGTTTCGCTATCTTCAAAACGCCTTTTTAGTGTAGACTTTGACGAATGATCGAATGAAAAAGATTTTACAAGACAACAGTTGTTCGTTCATGGAAGAGAGGCAATCCATTTTTGGAAGGGCGGGGGGTGTTGACATGGGTATTGCTGTCCCTGTAGTTTCGGACCTGTACCATGCTGTGATATTTTTTTTAATTTTTAGAATCCCTCCTACCACTTGGCAAGTATTAAGATCTTTCTGTAACAGTTATTTACTATGGTTGTTTTTATGGTGTAATATGTCTGATTCATCTGTTCGTTCAGCACCTGTCAAACAATTGCTGAGGCAAGGATTGTCGATGGTGCACCACTAACAGGTTCATCCCAAAAACGACAACTGTTGCCAACAACGAAAATGTTTTGGTCGCTGTAATAACGTGTGGAGTTAGAATGATATTCTTAACCTCACGTTGTACATGATTATGTGCTGAAACCTTTCTGAAATGTGATGATACAGGGGGTAATGAATGGAGATTTTATTTTTCTGGGGCAAATAGTGTTAGACCGCTTGTGTGAAATCGATCGTAATGCAAGAAGGCGTAAGGAGGTTGCAAAGTAGGGATACAACGAGATTAAGTAGCCCCACTCTGTTCATGGAACTGTTATCATACGCAGCACTATTTGAGTTGTACCGACATGGTTTCAATATACTAAAATAACAATTCTTGGTAGAACATGACTAGTAGTACTTCGAAGGGTATAAACATTCTTATTGCACTGCAACAACATCAAGTTGAAGTAATTATTAAAGTACAAACTATATCTATAAATTTGGCACTAGATACATCTTAGTACTAATAGTATAAACACATCAAACAAATCATCCAAGTCTGACTGCCTATATGATGTTAATCTTGTAGATCCAAGTGACTAAGTTTTGACAACAAACATCATTTTGTTCTCAAATTTTAACCCATTAAAATTTTGTCAGATATTTTCTTGTACGCTCATGTCTGAATATAAGAGAATATTAAATTATCTGACGTTTTGGTATGTAAAAAGCCTGTCTTTGACAACCGTTTGGGAGTTTAAGGTGTATGATCTGGAGGTTAAGACTATAGATTTTTAACTTTAGCCAAGACCTTTACTTCTTAAAAACATTTTATAATGATTCCATGTGCGATTGTAATCCAAATATAGCTCTACAAAATTATTTCAAATCTGTCTCACAATAGAATTATTTGAACAATTGGAACGGCTGTTTAAACATCATAACTCTTGATAATCATTTTGAGCATATTGTAAGAATTTGATCGGTCTTATTTAAGCTCTATGAAAGTATTTAGGATAGATTGCGTTAAGTTACGATGTTCCTGTGGTTCTCGTAAGCCTCTTAGTAACTGTCCCAGCTAACATTATATTCTTAAGCGACCACGATATGTAATGGTTATGAAATAATGTTGACGATTAAGTCCAAAAGTAGTGTAACGAGTAAGCTTCTTACTCGCTGTCTGCTCTTACATTAAACACATAAAACCGTGGATGTTACAGCCTACTTAACGCTGAGAAAATCTGATTTTTTACAATAATCATATTACCTTCTTACAGCAATCGTGTTAAATATAATCCAGTACAATTTCCCATCGAAAGTATTTGCCCATGTTCTGTCCCGGCGACTTACTGGTAAGGAGAATGTAAAAGTATTCTGAGACAGGACTCATTGGGGTTTGTATTCTCTTGTGAAATTAAGTTTATTGTTTTGTGATTGAGGAAAATGGATGGAGACGCCATGCAGTGTGCAATTAGAGAAAATTTACCATTGCAATGGCATTACACATTCTCGATCTCTAATTTCCAATGGATCTTTAATGTGCACAGGATGAATTTTTTTGTCCAGTCCAAAAGACTTGATGACTCTTCCATGACGACTTCATTTATCTGCTTCGGTGAAAGTCGGACGCCTGGCCGAAACACCAGAGGTAACGTTCTCGACGGTTCTGATTCAGAATGGAATATTATTGTGCAAAGTGAGTTGAATTGGCTCGGGCGTCTTCATGAGAGGAGAAATATAGGCAAAAGCCTGTACACAATGTTTTCTCAGGATGTGTACTCGTTAATGAATTATATGATGTATGTTTGCTGAACTAAATACCACTGAGACAAACATTAAGAATAACATGCAATAGACCAATGATTAAAGTAAAAATAACATTTGACACCATAAATATATCAACTATAAGACATGAATTTCAATTGAACTGAGACCAAAGATACATTTTCACATAAATCAAATTTTTATTTGGACGAATAAAGCGAGAAATCAATGATCACGAGTTAAAGTGGTAGAAATTCTATTTAGTAGAGTTTATGATAGTAATATCACACAGGGAATAGTACAGACAGTCAGAGTTGTCTAGAATATTGTATTGGCTGATTTAGTATTTCATATCGCAATCTTAGTATTGAATTATGCTTTGGCTTTACAACTTTAAAGAACCTCTTTTATTGTACAGATGCCAAGTGTACTATGACTTTGCATCTTTACAGAACCAGTTTTGTTGTACTGGTGCAGATTAAAGTACAAAAAAATCACGATAATCGTATTGGAATGTACCCAACAAGACTGTTTCAATCGGTCATTCTAATCAGTCCAGAGCGGCTGGTAAATCTGAGTACCGAGTACATATTGCAGTTTACTTACCATATTCATTTGCTAAAAATTTAGATCTGTTATAAAGTTTATCAGTAGTCTGGGGCGTATTATATATAATAGGATGGTGACTTTAATGCACTTCATGTTGAAAATTTCATTGCCAAAGAACTTCGTACCAATCGTACAATTTCGTTCTCTTTCAATAAATCAACCTTTTCTTTAACGAAATTAGTATCGTATCGAGAACAATCAGACAAACCACAAATAAAACAAGTCGACATTCTTATCAACCCTATCATTCTATCAGCTAGACGCATTAAATGTAAAAATCATGGAAATGCGATCCAGGTTATCTGACATACTGTAACTTTAAAATCATTGTAGTAATAACACTAGTCGACTGAGACAATATACTCTGTTTGTACATGCTTAATTAAGAAATTTTAGGTTCGAACATAAAAACATTGCACTTAATTAGCTAAAAAGACTGGTTGAACATTGGTGAGATTTTGGTATCTGAAGATCTATTGAATTTAGCTGGTACATAGCTCTCCTGTCAGCTCGATATGGCCATTCTAACACTGTATTACTCTATTCACGGATTTTCTGTTTGAAGTTGATTTTCTCTCCCAGTCTTTATAATTTAATTTAAATGTTTAATAAGCGTGTAAAGTATAGTCCGAAATGTCTATCAGATCTGTCAAGGAGTCGTTATTGTTTGAGGGAAATATCTTGACAGCCCATTCTATCAATTCTTTACATTTATTTCATATACATTGTTATAGACGATACACTGTGAAATTTTGAAATTGCTGAAAAACCAGGGCCCAGTTCAGTTTTTTTTTTTTGCCGATAAGTAATTGTCGTAAATTTGGGTTTCCATTGAAAAACACTACACTAAATTAACGTGAGCGCAGCAGCATTTGATATTTGCTGAATGTGCACAATTCGTTCTTTCTACGAATAGCTACTTGGAATCTTTGATGCGTTGTTCGAGACTGAGGTCTGATTTGTGCACCTTAGCCGTTTGTGGCCTTTAAAACCAACTAAAAAGTAAGATAGACTTGCAAGATTAAATTTTAAAATCAAATTGATCGCTAATATTTTATTCCTCGTCTGTGGTTAAGCAGCGTAATAAAAATTGATCTTTCAATAACTCTATTTTGACTATTGGACAATTGATTGGCATGAAAATGGCATCTTGAAACGACTTGAGTTGAAACAAACAAAATGTCTGTTCAGTAGACCTAATAAGATGAAATCTATTTCCTTCTATCATTCAATACAACTTGATTCCTCCTAATGGAAATACTTTAAATATAAAGACTCTTGGTTTGCTGTTTCAATTTGTCTTTAGTAATAAATGTAAATTCTCATCAATCCATTAGTAACTCTTAATTACTCCCTCTTTCTCCCAATCCTTTGATGGTTATATGACGAATGGAGGTAGGTTCTGTGGATTCTTTTATCCTATGGATTGTCTGAAGTAGTACAACTGAAGATAATGGAATCATAAAATCAAACAAGATTTGTTAAAGGAGATGATTTCGATTGATAATGTCTCGACGTTTATTACATAGAATAAGTTTATTTGCTTATCAAAGCAACTTTGTGAGTAGTTAAATGCAAACATTGAATCGTGATACAAAGTCAACAACAACATATTTTTAATTATTTAATACTGACAAGCAGTAATAACTGAGTCGTATCGTTCAATTGCACGCCCTGTATATCCTTTCTAGACCGATAATTTGATTAAAACCAGGACAGAACAGGGGTAACAATTCTAACTGAATGTCTTCGCCAAATGTTGTTTTGAATTTCGGGTTTCATTTTGCGGTTCGGATCTTTAGTACTTAATTTGTTTATTGACCACCTTGCGATGATCTTTCTCGGATTGTATACATTTAAAGCTTGCTGCAAAATACATTGTTGTGGTCAGCGGAGTTCGATATAGGTATAGTTATATCAACCCAATCTTAAACAGCAATAATTGTTAAAGTGAAATTCAAATCGAATGACATTTCAATATTTGCCTTTTATAATTTCAGCATTACAAGCATGTCGTTTATGGGCAATAGATCGACCCTGTTTCCAAAGTATTATGATGCGAACTGGTCTACAGAGACATTCAGAGCATTTAGAATTCTTACGCAGGTTTGTTCAGATTATTTTTTCTTTGGGTCGATAGCTATATCCTTTCAAATGCAGAAGTCGAAGTGACTTTCTGTCGTTGTTTTGGTGCTTTACTTTATTTTTAAGCTGATTAAGGTGGTGTAGCATGAATTGTTGCTTTCGTTTGCTCTATAAATATATTGGAATTTCTTTATCAAAGACCCTCTAAAAATTATATAATAACTGATTTTAAATACGAGGATTACATCAGTTGTTAACAGACCGCTATATTCAATGTCTTTAGTGATGGCTTCTTCTCTTTCTGATTTATCTCATGTTTATATAGTAATAAAGATTTAAATTCGTGTACAATTCACTTAAGGGCTTCTTTTTCTTGCTATAACTGGGCCTTAAAGTCTTCACGTCTCAATGTTTCTTCTATAAGATGTTTCACCCAACTCTCTTTCTTTTCACAGCGTTCCAACATTCGATGGCCTTCCAGAAGAAACTTTAGGAAAAATAGCTGATGTCTTAGAAGAGGTATGTTATCATATATTTTCATATTCTCGAATCTAGGGTTGGAAAGCTTAAAAAGAACTTGCCCATGATTGGTAAAGCCTTTCATATAACACATGTTTGGAGTTCATTTATTTACAAAGTCCATACTGATAGCTTAACAAGAGACAATTTATTACAATTACCTTTAAAACAATTAAGTTACAAACATATAATTTTAATTGAGGTCTCAGTCAAATACATAAACATTTAAACTTGCCTCCCTTGAGAATTAGAAAAAATATATTTTTTCTTGAAATGTTCGTAACATATTTTACCTGAACACTTTTTGTTGAATTTTGTTTAAAAATTTTATCCCATTAACATGTCAAAATAGTTTCTGTGTTAGATGCATGTTCTAATTAAATCCAGCATTCAATATGATATATGTAGCACTAAATGTGCTAAAGCCATTAAATATACTCTTCAAAATATTGTACTAGAATTGTGTTTCTATGTTATGCACTTTTATGAATAAGTGACTTTTTATAATTAGTGCAAAACATTAGAGGAAATGGCAAAACACTGATGTAAAAAAGATTGTATCATTGAGAACTTCTTTTGGTTTTGACAACAAAACGATTGAAACATCGCTCTTAAATATATTATAGAAAATAAACCATGACTTATGGTAAAAACTTAAATTGATTCATACCCGATTGTCTTTGCAACGTCCTGCTCAAGGTAAAAGGCAACGGATGTAAACCTCGTCACTGCTCGATTCCACCTACCTATATCTAATTATGCCACTGTTATAGCATCTCATTTTTTCTGCATTTTAGGCACATTATAACAACGGTGAATATATAATCAGACAGGGTGCTAGAGGTGATTCATTTTATATAATAGCTAAAGGAAAGGTACGTATATCGAAATGTGCTTAGCTGTCTATGTGTGTCACTTTTTAATTTCCATTAGATGTGTAATTTAATGGTGCGAACTGCAGCTAATGATTACTATATACAACTTCCTGAAATAAACATTTGCAATAATCCATAATCACACGCATCTTCTCCGTGAAATTCCACGAATTATCTTTAAAAGTACAGTGGCGGTTGTCAAAAGCTATAAAGGACAATCTATCTTCTAGAACAATGCATATCACACTGTTAAATTGTTTGTCGAATTGACATTCTTTCAAAAAAACCCTCGTGACCAATATTGTTTAGTAGATACATCTATATCATACGATCGAGATATTGTGGATGAGCATGTCAATTAGATACATAGAGTATGTAAAGTATTATAAAGACATACTGAAGCTGTTGATGTCAGAATGTCTACATGTAAGCAACCCCTGTCACATACAATACTTACATTTCCCCTTGACCCAATGAGTTAATAATGTCATACCGAGCTAAACTCCTAAAGCAATTTAAATGTTTTTCTACGAGTCAAATATGCCAACCTGTACCATATTTTGCTTCTCTTAGGTTCGTGTAACAAAACGCAGCTCCAAATCACACGAAGAAGTCACAATGAGATATTTACAGAAAGGTGATTTCTTTGGTGAACGTGCCTTACAAGGGTAAGCTGATCTTTGTCTTATAATAAGTAAATGTATCATTTGATAGATCTTCCTTTAACTCATTCCGAGATTGAATTATTGTAATGTCAAAGTTTATAGTCGAGATTGCATGAGAAATGTCTTTTTAATTGTGGAGAATGTCATAAGCATTTAAAGGGAGAGACATAATCCTCAATCACTTAAGTGCTTGTAGAACTATCGAATCTAAGGAAACTGGTGTTTGATTTTGGTTTTTAAGAGTGCTACAGGCACTGTAGTTCCAGCAGACTAATCAGAGGCCTTGTGCCCTTATATCTTAAGTACAATGTGTCGCCTCAAATGATATATATGATATTAAAAACATTTTCATAATATTTTCCAGTGAAGATGTGCGGACAGCCAATATTATAGCACACGATCCTGATGGTGTTGACTGTTTAACTATAGATAGAGAGTAAGTCATATTTTTATTGATAGTTTGTAGTTATCAAGAGTAATCTACCGTGGAATCTTCATTCTTATATTTTTTTTAATAAATAGTACAGCAGGGGCCTTCCTTTAACATTGGAAGGATATACGAAACATTTGGATATTACTGGAAAAGACATATTCCATCTTAATTTTGACTTGGAATATTGTGAGTGGTGCAGATGATATTAGTGAAAATTACGATTCATTTTGATAAATCGAGACTAGAATTCATACTTCATTTTTTTCAGAGCTTATTCCCAACTTATTAGTAATTTAGATGATCTCAAAAGAATATATGAAGATGATGAAGAAAAACTTGGGTAATTTGAATTTTGGACTAAATATATTCGGCAGGGTTTAAACTCAGTGATCTTACATCCAGGAATTATTATCAGGGAATTGCTCTGAAATGGTTCTGAAATGGAAGTCTCAATCAGAGCTGGTATAGCTCTTTCTATACCGATTACCTTTATTTATTTATCATTCAGAACATATATTAGCAAGGAATAAATATATTTATTCTGTCAATCAATTTTATTTATTCAGTATAATAAATGGTTATTATATATTTTCAGTATTGATTCAGAATATGCTAAAATTAAACTCAGCGATCTTCATGTATTATCAACGTTAGGTGTTGGTGGATTTGGTCGAGTAGAATTGGTAAATATTAACATTTCATTATTCATACCTTCTGGCTATGTTAGAATGACTATGTCAATGGGATATATTCTCTAGGAACACACAGTAACATCCCCGGGAACACTAGAATACTTGAACACGAGAACACGACTGTATTCAATTTCTTATTTTAGTTCTTATATTATGGAAATCACCAGGAACAAATGGGATCATCCTATTGGCGTAACATAGAAACGCAACACTATTACTCAAAATCATTTTTATTCATCCTTTCATGGTGTTAGAATAACTATTTAAATCTACTCTACAGGAAAATATATCAGAAATCCTTTATTCATTCCATCAGCAATGTATGAATTACCAATTCAATAGTAGGCTATGTCAATAACAGCTATATCAAAGGAATATGTTATACCTTAATGATGGTACCTGACAGACGTAACATTACCACGCCTCGAGCAATGTGTGTCTTACCATTACGGTACGGATTGTGTATGAGGAACAAATATTCTATAAAACAACTCTCTGACCTAACAATGAGACATATGGCAATACTTTAGTTCATTTGTACTGGCATTTTATGGGAATTTGTTTTGTATATATAGAAATATCCTTCTGAAAAATCTGTTCGGAAAGTGGGTTCATATTTACAGCCATGCATCCTCTGATCATTACTAGTTGACAACTCGTAATTTGAGGACATTCATTCTTGATAAAAACTTCTTATATAAGGGCTGATATATTTTAAAAGATTATAAACCATCAGATTGAACCAGATTCAGAGCAGGTTAATGATAAATATGGAAAATACCTTACAGAAGGTCGTATCACACATTGTATATAACCTATGAATAATATACAAGATAAAGTCTAGTATATATGATAATTTGTATATTATATGTTGATGTAGGTATATAAGATGATTTAATATAAACATCATTAGGTGAATTATAGATCTAATCTCTCTTAAAACAAACACACCCAATTCTCTCTTGCTAAAAACATGTACTCTATATAAATGTCTATTTTCATACCATTCATTCAATAAATTAATGCGTCTGTTCATTTTTCTAAAGGCAACATGATTTAAAATGCAAAAGTTTTATATCCTTACAATTAAGTCATTACAGAATATACATTAAGTTTAATGCAGCTCCCGACTGCTATGGATTTCAGGAGTAGAATGTCCTTGATTGGGATTTGAGAGATGTATGTGCACATCACTATATTATTTCGATTTTGAATTTTTACCCTCCCCTCCCCCCTTCCTCAAGCTCTACAAGTGAGTCCATTCCGTCAATCAAAATATGGCAAAATCGGGAGTAAAAGTTGTAAATACTTTCTGCTATCCACTTACTTGGCGTGTTAATTGTTAGATGTGGGCGTTCCATATTGTAAAAGGGCGTGCATCTGACAGGAAATTTCTTTTTACTTCTCTTAAATTCCGGTTGTACAGGTGTTACACTAACCTCACTGTATACTCTGTTTAATCTGGAATGTTGTGAATTCAGTCTTGAAGCATATTATTCCTGAATTGTTATTCAAGTATAATTTTTGCTGGTTTTTTAATTTACCATGAATTGGTTATGTATGTTTAAATATGCAAGATCATTGCACTGGCAATTGCTTTTTGGCATTACATGTTCATTTTTAATAACAAACCAATCTTTGTAAGTTGATCAGTGGTATGTATCTAGTTAAAGTGGGGATACAGCACGCTGACACGGACATGCAATAAATTTGAATTTGGAATAACGGTTCAGACTGGTGTAAAAATTGTTTGTTCTTTAATATGATTGTCTATATACATTCTTCATTTTTCATTGGCTGACAATTGCACTTCAAAACAAAACCATTCAAAGGTTTATTACTTGCAATTATAAAGTCTATTTATTCTCTACTCCAGGTACAAATAAACAACGATAACAGTAAAGCCTATGCATTAAAAATATTAAAGAAGCACCATATAGTGGAAACTAGACAACAGGAACATATCATGAATGAAAAACGTATTATGAGTGAAGCCAGGTGTGCCTTTATAGTCAGGTAAGAAACTTGATCTTTCAGCAAGTTGGCAGAAAAAATCATTTTAATAATATTTAGTTTAACAGTTTATATTTTAAATGCTAGAGACCTGAGTAGGGGAAGCAATTAAAACTTTAAATATCATGTTTTGGATCACATTTTAATTGCCACACACGATTGCCACGAAAAAATGAGTAAAAGAATAAAGTAACAATTCGATAGCATTAATTTTCACCATTCCAACTTTAAATCAGATGGTTCCTGCAATTCAACTAAAACGAGTGTTTGATGACGTCACTAATCGCGAAAAGCCTTATGTGATGAAGCATATTTTGCATTAGTGACATCATCAAACACTTATTTTTGTGGAATTGCAGGAACCACAGACTGACTAAAAGTTGGAATGATGCAAGTGGTTAAAAAACCTCTTTACAATCTCTTAAAAAAGGGGAATATCAGTGGGTAAAGGGATATTCTTGATCTTGACAAATCGGCATACATTGTACCCATGAAAGTGACAGATCATGGAATTCAATAAAACGATTTGACGAGGCAAAAAATGTGCTATTTTAGTGGAGAGATCTGAATTCCTATTATTGTCCCTTTTTTACACGTACTTACTGTAACTAGCATTGTTAAACAATGATTTCAGAAGAATCAGAGCAAACTGTTCCGCAAGCCACTGTTACCTTGCACTAGACAATTATACCGCTATATAGTCTTTCTCCAATAATAGAGAAATTCAACCTTTCAGTAATCTTATAACGAAATTACATGTTCTAAAATAGTCCTTCTCATATCAAATTTCATTCATTTTTACATGTTTTTACGACCTGTATTAGAATCAATCTAAGGCAAATCTCAGTATTAGCGGTAACTTGAAACATATCATTCTTTTAACTTGGAGATTTTTAAAACTTTTTTTATTGATAATTACAGAAATACATTTCTATGCTCTTTAGATGCAATTGAATCGGTATTTAAGATTTAAAACCTCGTCTTAGCTGTATTTATCGAAATATTTGTGTTTAAAAACTTCTTACAAGAGTCAAAACAAGTAGTTTATTCACACTAATCGCAGATCTCTTCATATTGACATGCACCCGTGGTTTTGGTCACGTCATACACACCATGACATAGAGTGTCATAATTATATTATATGATAAGAACACCTATGAATGGAGGCTGAAAAACTTATATCAGTATTTTATTTAGAACATTATAATCCTGAGTATTAAAGGGGTTATTAAAGGGTTTTATGTGTATCTGAGACACTGATAGAATCAATCTACATCATTCCACTTTTCAATCAGAGGTCTGTCGTTGCTGCAATTCCACTAAAACTATGTAAGTGTTTGATGATGTCACATATCGTGAAATATGGTTTATCACGTAAGGGTATTTGCGATTAGTGACGTCATCAAACACTTACTTTTAGTGGAATTGAAGGAACCACAGACGTTTGGAAAATGGGAATGGTGCAAATTGATTCTATCAGTGTCCCGATACATATAAAAAAAAAGAAAACTTCTTTACAATCCCTTTAACAATGTGTTATGTCTTACAGCAAGTTTGGTTGCAGTCAGCTTGACAAAAACTTTGAAAGTTCATCTCTAACACATACTACCTGTTGATGGAGTTATAACATAATCTCTTTATTTAAGAATTGTTTGTTTATGAAATTCATTTTGTTTATTTTTATTATAAATCTTATCAAATTAAATAATTGTAATACTTTGGTTGTAGATTACACAGAACGTTCCGAGATAGAAAATATTTATATATGTTATTAGAATCATGTCTAGGAGGTGAATTATGGACCGTGTTGAGAGACAAGTAAGTCATTTTGAAATATAATTTCTTTGCCCAAAACAAAATTCTTGTGGATTGATGCTCGCTTGTATTCAACTGACCCAATGGTACTTGTCCAGAGCACCTGCTGTTCTGCCGTTAATGTTGTTGTCTTTTTGGAAAATCCACAGAATGATAGCAGAAATTTAAGCTAATTGAAATTCTGAGACTTAAGACTTTTGCATGTTGATGTTAGATGTGGGCACATTTATCATAGGTTTATATTCCTAATTAGGTATCCCTTTAAGCTGTTAGTATAGCTTTAATATTCCATGTAAAATGACAATCGTGGGCCAACATTCTTCAGATATCGTCGTTACAACATATTCCAAAATCCCAACCACAATTAAACATTTTTATTCTATTTTCACTTTATTTTTATTTTCTACTGGCCTGAGCTCAACGTCAAGTGAGTTATTCAAAAAATTAAAGCTACCAAGAACCTAAAAAACGAGCTTCAATAAAACTCCTATGTACAATATTTTAACAAAAACCACACGTTTAACCTATGTCTCTTTTTACGAAAAATGAAACTGCCAAATCTTCTAACGCAAATCTGATGTGTTTCTATCCCAACAGTATTGTATCTGCAAAACAGAAAAAGTGAGTTGAGTGGAACCTGTATTTTTCAGTAGACAACTGCTTTAATGATGGTTTGCAAAATGAGTTGATCTCGCTATGTTTCAGTAGAAATTTTGATGTGATTTTTGAATGCTAATTATTTAGTAAAATTACGTCTTAAGCTGTTTTAAGATACGAGTTGATTACGATCGCATGTTGTGATGTGATTCAGGTGCGCATGCGCCACTAAGAATTCCGTTTCATGTAAAAAAAATCTACTGCTTCGCTTTTAACCTTAATACCTATAAATAATAATTGAAATTATCCTTTCCTCTAATCCACAATCACGCATTTATTTATCTTACAGCAGAAAGAAAAGGCAAACCATTTTTAATTAACATAAAAGTCAATGTTAAAAACTCTGTTGCTGAATGTGGTTCTACCACACTATATATAATCTGAAATCGAATACTTGATGTTAATTTTCCATTATATAACTATTATAGGCTTTAAGTTAAAATTCGGCTTTTTAATCACATATAGTTTACATAATTCACTGCTATCACTTCTTCAAAGACATCGTAGATCTTAGGTTATTCATTTGATGGAGCGAACAAAGCGTGAATGATATTCTAAGGATATTGAAAGTGAATAATATATACGTCATTGATGGCGAAAATTAATCAGGTTTTAAATGACGACGAAAGGATTCACATAAGACAAAATGTTTGTTGTCATTCAATTAAAGATAATTGTAAAGATACAAGGGGCATTAAGTACAGAAATATTAAAATGTGTGATTTGTAAACTAATGGCTGCATATTAAAAGTTATAGAAGTGTTATCATTTCATACAACAAATGATAAACGCTGCTCAGGAATAAGAACACAGTTAATTCTCAATGTTTATTTTTTCAAGAGGATCGTTCGATGATAACACCACCAGATTTTACACTGCTTGTGTTGTAGAAGCTTTTAATTATTTACACAGTCGAGGAATAGTTTACAGAGATCTTAAACCTGAAAATCTTTTAATGGATTCCACGGGTTATGTCAAATTGGTAAGTACTTAATTCCTTAGTATCGGAACTCTTGACAGATTTATGGTTAAGTTTTGTTGTTTTGATGCTGAAAACCCATTCTTTAAGACTAAATGTAACATGCTCTTAATGTTATTTGTAGTAATCCATTACAAATATATATTTTGGCATTGTAATGTAATGCAAATAATGTCGTTAAATCAAACCATCACTCGTGCTCTAAAGGGCTGTGTTGTAAATTAATGGATGTAAAGATTAAGTTGTAAACCAGTACAGTTGCAAGTGGTTACACTGTTCCAATACGCAACAGACACGTGTATGGGAATAGTAAAGTGCATTGATGGAATCATAAACAAAAACACATACCATAGTTTAAAATCTGTCACAATCATATGGTATCACAACTATCCTATTACATGGAAAAAAAACTTATTTTTTACGGACTAGATGGGTGTGGTTACAATTAGCATGGTTGCATCTGTTCAGTTCCAATTTACGAAATTGTCAGTTGTTTCATGAAAAACAACTGAATCTGAATTCGTTCACGGACAGAGAGGGTCTGTTTGCGAATGAATCTGTCTTGAGAGAAAAGTTCTTGTATCCAGTGTAATGGATTTTGAATAGAAGGAAGCTTTTAGTCCTATGTAGATGTAACCTCTATGATAAAAAAGCTATATAATAATTTAATAGGTTACTATAGTTAGTACTGAGATAAGGAGTGTTTGCTTTTCTTTTTGAGTTAGATGTTTATGGTGGTCCATTAACGAAACAATGACATATTTGTACTTGCATATTATATTTTTCTTTTGATGACCTCAATTTTGTTTTCTATAATCATAGAGTAGTTTGAGATTTTTTATTTAGTGTAAATTCAAGAATGCTTCCTTAATCAGATGTTTTCTGTTCTAAATCAGCCACCAAAGTCTAACTACATGACATATACCAGTATTCTTTACAGTATATAATTATGTAACTATTGTGATTTACTAGACATTTACTGATCTGTACAGTAATATGCCTATAGTCAGAGATAGAAATTCTCGATATCTCACTGAACCTTCGAATTCTTTCAATTCATTAATGTTACTAACTTAAACCATAACGAAATTCACTGAAGTTACACGATTTTCCCCGAGAGTCCTGATCATTCTTAATTAATAAATCTGCTACAATGGCCACAACAAATCAGACCAAAACTCAGCCAAGTAAATGACGCCTAAATTATTTGAATGATCAAATGTTGCTACAGCTCCTTTATCATTTAAATACTACTTGTAAGTAATTCAGTTTCGATATCATTCAAAGAAATTAATTTAGCGTGTTATCATTCTGACTTGAAGATGTTCCAAATGTAAAATTGTGCCAGTTTCGTCTGTTTTCCATTTCCGGTTTCCTGTGTTAACATTAGCGTGCACGCAGCAATGCCATTGTGTTGGTATTATCAAACAATGTGGATACGTTAAAACCGGAAGTTCAGAAACAGAATAAAAAAAGGAAATAACACAATAAGCCATTGACATTGATTTCTGAGTGAAATGTAAATCAATGAAGTTAAGGCCGTCTTGTTTTAGTCGCGACTCTTTCTGTCATTGAAAGATTACAATGATTACGATTAAAAAAGTTATCCTACAAAAATATATAAAGAAGATTTTAATCGTTACAAATGTTAGAAAAAGAAACATGATTGTGTTGGATATTTTTATCACGCCAACTAGTTTACTTTTGATTGAGTTCAGGATTAAATACCTTTTCACCAAAACTTGCATTATAGAAGCAATATAAAAGGCACACAAAACATATAGTCGAATACCTCATCACGAGGATACAAGAGGACATTAATGTCTTTGCTCATGTAGACAATGAGGAAAGGAAAAACAGTATCAGGTCCCGGGGTCATAACCCTTTTTTCATACCTTTTTTTTCAAATTTGAAGCAGCTATTACTGATGCATAATTGATTGTATCAAAGAAAGAGCACAATGTTTCTGGAATCATCACATTAATCAGAAAATTTTACCTTTCCTTAATGCGAAGGGGCATTATGACTAAGCTGAACACGAGAAATGTTTTGCGGCCTTGGGCCAGATCACTTTCAAATCGTGTGTGACGTCAAACGTCATAATGTTAAAGACTCTAATCTAAGACTTCCACCTTAATTATATTATATAATAATATTTCCTGTAATATCATACACTATCTAGATATAAGGTATAATATTATAAATGTCAACAGGAAGTTAATTCAGTACATATACCAATAACTTGAGACAGGGTTATTACTCTATTTTACATTATTCAACTGACCAAGTTTTTCATCTGCCTTGATTACATCGCCAAATTACATCGTATATTTTGAAATATTCATACCATACTCAAAAATAATTAAAATTAAATATTATGATATAATATTATTATATAATTAAATATTAAGATCATAGAATCGTCGAACAAAAGAGGTAAAAGGTACTTTGCAAAACAAGGATTACTACATCTATTGACAATAATGGAAAAACCGCATGTCTGCGTGATATTAACAGAAATTGGTAAATCAAGGTATCACAGGAGGGAGAATGTCAGTCTATGCAACCCATAGAATGAAGGCATCCATTCCGACGCTGTAATGGATCACCTGGAACCACAGTTTATTCGAATACGAATAATTATAGGTGATCCTAACATGTCTCAATGTCACTTAAGGTTACAATGTTTTACTTCTGATTTTCAGGTTGATTTTGGGTTTGCTAAGAAAGTTGGTCACGGGAGAAAAACGTGGACATTCTGTGGAACTCCAGAATATGTAGCACCAGAGATTATATTAAATAAAGGTCATGATATATCTGCTGATTACTGGTCTCTAGGTATACTGATGTTTGAATTACTCACTGGAAGGTATGTATTATTTCTGGTAACAGAAGTTAAAGACTCTTAACTCATCATTATTATTAGATTAGGACCACAGTTTTCAATACTAATAAGAATTTGGGAAAAGGTTGTCTCCCATATCCGTTCTCACTTGAAATATTTGTGCTACAGGGTGGGGATACCAGAGCCAGAACAACTTATCTCTGCGACAATGATTTCTTCAAGTATCGTTTCCAATTTCATGGAAGATTGGATATCAATTTGTAGCATTGAACCGTTGATTAAGAGTGAAAGTATCGTGTAATTATTTGGAGTTTAACATCTAAAAGAGTTGTGATTATATCTTACATCTTTTCTCGTGTGTCGTGTTTTTATATGTCGGGTGCCAAAGGAAAACATGTAATTTGGTAATTGAAATGAAATGGAGATCGTTGGATAAAATTATGATTATTACTGGTATAGGAATGGTTATAACATGTAGTTATAATATATTTAAAATGTAATAAACGTCCAGCGTGCTGTTATTATATCATAATAATCTTATTTGGTGCCGATAGATCGAGATAAATTACAACTAATATCATTTTGTTTCTCTTTATATCGTCATTTATTTTCTCTGTATTGTTCCATTTGCTATTTTATGGTTTAATTTGGATAAGTGAATTTGGAAAGTGTGGCAAAACGCACGTCTGATATAAAGAGATGAAACATTATAAGCGAAATATGAACAAGTGATTTCATTAAAAGTCTAACAAATTCAAACAAGAAGCAATCAGTTTATCGCTTGATTTTGGCTTCAATCATCAAGTGAGGGGAATTGGTAAAACTTGTACGGAATCTCACTGATAAGTGTTTATTTAACTTTATTTACTCACATATCCACTTTCTTGGCTTTTTTCTCCTCTTTAAAATTACTTCAATAGATCTCGACAATTGACTTTTAAACTTGAAATGTTTCATGTTTTCTCAGATTATGTTTAACATTTGTCTGTGTTATATTTTTCAGTCCACCCTTCGCTGGCCCAGATCCAATGAAAACATACAACTTGATATTAAAGGGAATCGATGCAATAGATTTTCCAAGAAAAATAACGAAAAATGCTCAAATTTTAATCAAAAAACTATGCAGGTTTGTTTTTGTTTTATAATCTTTGTCTACCATCTTGAAATGTGAAATGTATATTCAAGTGTCAAGATAGTTCGAAATAGTGCATTATCTTAGCCAGCTACAAATTAATAGGAGACAGAAATTCCTAGCGGATTGATATTATTTTGAATATAAATCAAGAAATGCAAAAAACACGGCTAATTAAATGTAATGCAGCATAGGTGTTGGAATTAGATATAAATGAACTTATTTACTGTTATTAAAAAGAGAATATCTGATGGTAAGTAAACAGTCAGAATGTTTCAGACTAGCTATGAGAATGTGAAAGCAGATGCGTATATATGTTGGAATCATGAAATACCAGAATGAAAAATGGTTTAATTGTTCTGTATTTTAATTGGAATATTATTTACAGACAAATCGTTCAACAGGTTAAATCTGTCAGTATTATTCAGGGTGTTCTCGACTTGCCAATTCGTACCAAAAAAATTGAAGCCTGCTTTTGAAATATGGATAACTTTTCCAATCTCGAGAATACGGGAAAAAACGGGCTTCCCCTAATTGTCAGTTTGAAATGTAAGAATAGGAATTATTTTCGTTAATCTCGTTAAAGTGTTTTCAGTTTTTAGAGGTAATCAAAACACAATACAACGATTTTAATTTAGCTCAATACACATTTATTTGAGATATGCACCTCGCTCAATCTTATCACTTTGAATATTATCTTGATAAGTGACACATTGATTCCAAATCAAATTAGCTTTTGTACCTGTAGACATATTTTTGCAAGTGACAAGTTAATTCAGTATTCATTGAGGCCATCACCATATGATTATCTTCTTAATTGAAAACCAGAAGGACCTGCAGTTGAAAATCAACTTCACAAAACGTGTACCATAAAAACATCAAAATCTAACAGAAGAATACTGCTGTAGGGTTTGATTATACAATAGACTGAACAACAATTAAATTGGATAACATCTTATCTCTGATTACATTATTGATTTTGGTAGAAAACTTTTTATCTGATTAATTCAATGATCTTAACACTGACCTTACATTGATGCAACTTGGTAGGAAAGGAATGGCTGTATATTTTGTAAATATTGAGATCCAATACCTTCTAGATTTGTCTTCATTGCAACTTTCCTTGAACCAGGCACCAATGTAAGTGGCATCGCATCGCAGTTTGCCCTTCAATATTACCTATGATCAGCCGAAATCAAAATTTATCGCAACGATCTGCGAATCAAAACCAATATTTTTTGTGTACATCTTCTGCAAAATTTACAAGAAAAGGCGATACTCGACAGTTTCTAACCTTATGAATTATCGTCATTGGAAATATAAATTTGAAGTTTACGACTGTACGACATTGTGAATTGCTACCGATTTTATATGAAATGCGAAATTGCGAATCAACATTTAACATGATTAGCTAAAAAATATCCAATGTGATAAATTGGTAACCAATTTTTTCAATCTTAATTGAACCCTGCCTTGCACCGTCCTGTTATTTGAGCGGGACGTATCCTCAATGTCTGTAAATGAGGGTCAAATCGACTGACGATTCACAGCATCTCGTCGTATCGGTTTACAACTCCAATGATGGGTGTCAAATTTCCATACTCAGGTCACTGACCACATCCAAGTTTTTACTAGAAACTAGAAAATGAGCAAACCTATTTTCGATGCGCTCAGGTAGATTAGACCCAGCAATACCTTATATCCACCCAAAAGTCGCAACAGTAGTTCAAAATTTAGTTGAAACCCTTCAACAGTGTAGTTTGTTTCAGGTGCGTTATAAATTCTTTACAAAAATCTTGCACAAAACATCCGAATTTTCAGAAAAACTAGGTAACAAAAAAGATGTTGATTTATGTATTCTGTCATTGAAATCTGTTCTAACAAATATTTCAGAAAGAAAGAATGTTTTTGATAATAATGTGTATTTCAGTATATCAATGATAACTCCCAGTTTTATCTACTACCTGTCTTGTTTATTACACAATGTTTAGGTTCAGCCTAGGTTATTTATGAACTGATACCTAGTTTTATCGCACTTCATACAAAAGCTATGTTGTAAATCAGTTGGTTTGTTGCGGCGTTAAGATTACTGTAGATTCTTAAAATTTCGTAATTGGGTTTATTTATGCGTCGGACAAGATATCGCTCTGTTGAAATACATTTATGAACACAAGTTTTAAACTAATGAAATTGATTTTTTTTATTTCAAAACATATGTCTTGTGGGTTGTAGCGTTGTTTATTCGAATTCCCCTGAGTTATATTCTAGTACACTGAAAACTCAAAATGATACCCATCATGATAGTTATAATGGTTTTCCACTGTTGTGTAATGTAATAAATAGATACAAATAAATCGTCACCCTTTTGAACTAAAATGTAGTCAGTCTATCGAAAAGAAAGCCTTAATTAACAAAATATTTTCATTGTTAAAAATAGAGCTTAATACACCCAACAATATTGTAGAGCGATACTGAAATATTAAAAGTTTCACACTGATCTCCAGATGACTGACCTATTTCAGCCTGTGTCCCTACTAAAGTTTGACAATAGATTTGTTGGAACACCAATTAAAGCATGCATACTCCTGTCATATTATAAGAAACTGTGTGGCATTCTTCTTCTTTTATCATCTCTGGATGTTGTCCTTATTATGTAATATGTAATATAAGTCTATAATGATTGATATTTTACAGAGATAATCCACTAGAAAGATTAGGTTATGGTCGAGGTGGTATTAGAGAGATACAGAAACACACCTGGTTTGAAGGTTTTAACTGGGATGGATTAAGAAACAGATCCATGAAACCACCGATTATACCTGTGGTAAGTATATGACCCCTAGTTTAACTTTCCCCTAATAAGACAAGGACAAAAACTTGATTCTCAGAAATAATAGGGGTCGAAAACGATTAACAGCAGGTGTGACATTCGGGATCCTTATTTGATTATATTACACCTCTTACCACTATAAATCCTTACCATTACCCCTCTTACCACTATAAATCCTTACCATTACCCCTCTTACCACTATAAATCCTTGCTATTTCCCATCTTACCACTATAAATCCTTACCATTATCCCTCTTACCACTATAAATCCTTACTATTACCCATCTTACCACTATACATCCTTACTATTACCCTTCTTACCACGATAAATCCTTACTATTACCCTTCTTGCCACTATAAATCCTTACTATTACCCCTCTTACCACTATAAATCCTTGCTATTACCCCTCTTACCACTATAATTGCTAACAATTACCCCCCTTACCACTATAGATCCTAACTATTACCCTCGTACCCATATATATCCGTACTATCACCCCTGTTTTTTTCTTTTCACGTCGAAGGATAAAGCGTTATATTAAAATATAATTGTCAGGTACTCCTAAAAAATTTCAAAATTACCTCCGTAGGGGTTGAAAACCCCTTCTCTATGGGGCATCGTCTTTGCCTGTCGTCACCTCAACCAACACCTTCTCCTTATAAAAAGAAAATCACCGTTTTCATTTAAAGTTTTATAGTTGTCCTGATCCATTTTATTCAAATTCGATCTAAACCAGTAAAAAACCATTCTTATAGCAATACAAGAATTGTAAGGTAGTGACAATTGTCTTGTAGAAATTGAAAGTAGAACTGATATGAAAATATTAATGTGATTATTGTAATAATCCCTTCTGATAGAGTCATAAACATGATCGTTCCTAATGATGTAGGCCAGTGGGTCAGAATAACTGAGTCTTTCTTTTACTGTATTTATTCTCAAGTTTCCAGTTAAGATGTTATCATAATGTGTGATTTAATCATTACTATTCTGTGAACTTGATTTACAGTAGAATAAATTTTCATTGTCGAAACTTATGCTCTGTATTGAAATTAATTAAACAAATACAAACTTTGTGGTTACCAGAATGCTACGACAACAACGGAGAAATTTTGCTCTAGGCTCAGATACACTTTAGCAAACTTTTACCCGCATCAAAAGTAAACTTATTGCTTCGATAACGTTACAACTATTGTAGGCTTACAGACTATGAATTGTTATACGTATAGTATATGATGAATAAAACCAAACCAACAATGTTATCAAGCGCGTTTACTAGGCTGTACATGAGTTAAATTCAATAATTTTGATCTTCTATCTTTTCAGATAAAATCACCAACAGATACATCGAACTTTGATGATTATCCCGAAGACGAGGATGGTCCACCACCTGATGATTTGTCCGGATGGGATAAGGATTTTTGATGAAGACTCAGTATGCTAGGATTAAAACTATTGGAAAGTGAATTGATTCATATAAAACTTAGTTTAAGCCCACAGTGGAACTAGAAGTAAAGTAATGATTACATTTTGGAACTTGCTGAGTGTTGGTGTTTGATAACATTTTGAATGTTATGTGATATCAATCTGGTTACTATGCAAATGAAATATTGCGTTTCTTCTTTTTTCTGTTGTTACATTTTGTACAACTTCAACTCTGTTTAGTGAATGAAACCACCAACATAAACAAGCCGAAATGAACTACATGGGCTGTACTTAAATCAGATTGATGATAGATATTTAGCGAGAAACTGACAAGATTTTCATTCACAATGCAATAATATTTAATGATGGTGCAATAGTCACTAACTCAACAGGAAACCGTTATAATACTAGTCTTTAATAGACTACTGTCTCCGAAAGCCGAATGTAACTAGTCCAACAAAGGAATCGGGCCTTATCATACCATCTTGTGATACGCAAATATTACTTACATGTAGATATTCTTCTCAAATCATTATGTAGGTGACAGCGTACACAAACAGCCTTGATAGGCATTGAAACATTATGGACAATGCAAAGTGTTCCTCGTCAAAATTCAAAGATAAGCATTCTTCTAGGTATTTTAGCTATGTGACTTAATTGTAGGTTAAAAAATATATTTGAAGGTTTTTGAGAAATTGTTTTTGAATTTTTTTTTTTTAAATGCCTAATAATTTTAAGACCTGTTTATATTTGAATTGCAAAAATATGAATTTAAGCATTCTGTGATAGAGATTTTATTCTTGTGTCAAGGATAATTCTATAATAAATATGACAAACGGTTTTTCCCAGAAAAAAGTCAACCATCATAAAAAATATAGCAAAATTCTATGAAAAAGATAGCCAAAGAAGCGCCTTTTAGATAAACAGAGCTTAATATAAGTTATTTGGATCATTTCGAGAGATTTGTTAAGATATTTGGAGATACTGCAAAGACACCAAAACAATATCCATGCATACATAAGTAACGTGGTGGGAATTAAGTGGTCAGAAACGTTGAACCTCTAAGATATTCGTAATGGGACAATCAAGCGTTGTTGACGCACGACATTGGTGTAGGGGAAATAAGTCATATTTGAAAACAAAGTATTCCTGGCATAATGTAAAATTGAATGTTATACGATTTCTTATGATTCTGATCTCAGATACCATAAGTTTATATTTCAATGATATAATTGGTCTTTACAGAAAGAGGCCAATATTTGCTTTAGACTGACCTTTCATAATTGTGGAGTAAAAATACCTATTGTTTTAAACACTGTCTTCGATGGTTTGATTACAGAACATGATAATTTGCATTAACGTATTCACGACATTACTGGTGCCTTAATTTGTCCTTGTTTAGTTTATTACATAGAAGAAGGTATAGCATTTCTTTTCTTATCTTTATTTCAGCATTAATTGCATTATATTATTATATCCACATTGGGTTAATTTATTAAGATTAAGATAATTATGCCAAGTCTTATTCTATAATATTGAGACGGTTGAGCAAGTTTACAGTTTTCAAAAACTAAATCAAAATATTCAGTTCATGGGAAAATTCCCTGCTTGCGGGTGCCACTTGTAAGGTATGATCACCTTTCATCTGATATCACTGTGCATCTGGGTCTATCAACTCGGAATACATTTTGAAAATACCATACAGAAACTGTTTAATTGGCCATGTAACTTTAATCCACCTGCTAAAAATTGAAGTAGACTTAGTTTATCCATCATTAGTATTTTCATTAATTTATCATTAGTATTAAATTAATTAATTAATATCAAAGGTCACAAATATGAAATATGTATGTAAAGAAATTTCTATTTTTATGAAGATATAATGAATGTGTTCTGTAAATAGTTTAAGAATATGATAAATTTGAATGACAATGATCTTGTCAAGAGACGTTGTACAAATGATTTTTTATTTATTTATCAGACAAGTTTTGTTATATTTGTTATTTGTTTGTTCGTCTCAAGACAACCATGGAAGGTTTTTTGTTTGTACAGAATTTATTTGACGACTCGGAGAAGGAAATAAAAATATTTCATACTGGATTCTTCTTGTTATACGTTGTATTTTGTTCTCTGACGTCATGAGATAGATGACAAGGAGAAATCTCAAATTCGTCTGCATGTAGACAATCTGATTAAAATCAGGACTTGATATTTCATTTATTGTCTCGACTGCGAATCACTTCAATTGCTACATCACGACTTCGCGGCCACTATATACTCTACCAGACCAAAAGAAATGAAATGCACTGATCAAAAAGTTGAACTAAGGGACCCAGGGTCACAAATGCAGGGTGGAGGGGCTAACATGAAAAAAGCGTTGTTCAGATGACGGGAAAAAAAGGCTATACAAATTTAACTTAATATCCCTCGACATTAGGAAATCGACAATGCCGTGGCAAAATTTATCTTTTTGCGCATGCATGGCGTTGTCCGTCTTTATTAGTCTGGTTAGATAGCCACAATATAGTTTCCTATACAAGGCAGCCGCTCCGGAATCGTTTGAGTGCCACATCAATGTTGGGATTGTAAATATGCGTACCTCAGTATTAAACGAGCGATGTGTTTAATTGGCTGAAGTGCATGTATATTATAAGACTGGGGTTCAATTGCAAAAGTATTGTTTATCATTGATATACTACATTCTTTCATTAGATGACCTTGTTCATACAAAATCATGCAAACAATGTCCATAACATTTTGTCACCTTCTTTTTTCTTTTCTTTAGAAGCATATTATGGTTCGACACCAACGGTCAAATCTGGGGATATATGAGAATAACTGTGATACGAACATAAAACTTCGTCTTCTGTAGTACTTCTTGAGAATCGTAAGAGAAGAAAGTCGAGCTCAACTCCGAGTTCATTAAGTTGATCGAGAGCGATGGTTAAGTTGTGTTCTCCTGGTATCATGCGGAATTCTTGGCCTATTTCACCGGTATGGTGAAACTCATTCCATAATAAACCACCATTAGATTCACTGTGCGTTGTGAACTGTCCTATCTCATGGTTGTCTAGAATCACATTAACTTCATCCGAAAAACCATCTGTAGAATAGCTGACGTCTGCCACTTGGAATGTTTCTTCGTCGTCGATACACAGAAATATTTCTACCCTATTGGAGTCCATTATCCGAACAGTTCTCAAACCACTGGCATTGGATCTAGGGTAGATTCTACCAGTATAAGATTCGTCTGTTGCAATATTTTCCACTTCAATCTTGATCTCGTTTAAAGCAGTACAGGTTGACAGAAGAGCCACCAAGCACATTAGACTTAAAGTCTTCATCATGAACATAGCAGCAAGCGGAGTTACAATGTTAAAATGTTCCTTTCTAGAGATACACTGACTTGATTTCAATCGCCTTTTATACCAACGACAACACGTGTTTCAAATTTGGGGGCGAAACAACAATTATACAGTTATTTAATCAATCTATGAAATTAAAAAAATTACAGCCTGTAGTTAAAGAGAACAAAGACTATTGTACTACATTGTACGACCATAATTGATAATATTTGGTGCAAACAAAGCCAGAGTCTGGCCATTTGAAGATGGCCTATGAAACCTGAAATGATCAAAACTTTCTTAAACAAGATTCTTTGAGATATACATCCTTCTTTATTCTTCCCTACAAATTTTACTTTCAACTGCTAAGGATAGCTTAAAAGGAACTTATAAAAAGCAATCAGCAATTTTTAGACGACATTGTCCCGCAATCTGAATAATATACTAAAACGATATTGAACTAAATTGCATCTCCTATCTGTATGGACTATAGGTCCAAGATTTTCATGGTCATGATATCTTGAATGTACATTGAAACAAGTATTGGCCAGGTTTACTTGAGACATATTGGAAAGTCTACGAGATTTCTGGAAAAAGTTCTAGAAGGTTTAATTTCGTGATATAATATGGAAACAGACGGTAAATGAAATACTGAGGTGTGTCCGTAAAAGGCAACGATATTTTGTAGTTATTGCCCCTTTTTAGCCATGTCGAATTCTGGTTGGGAACGACATAGAGACTGCAGTTTTGAAAGTTAGAATGTTTAAGATCTGGTTTGAGTTTGCCTTTTCAATTTACAATTTTTGATGTATTGCCCTTGACTTAAGCTAAAATTTCAAAATTTGGCTTGTGCTTGTGATCGACTTTGACTTAAAAAAATAACTCAAACATGGCTTAATATATTTCAATTTCAGCTTTATTACTCTTACGTATCTTGATGAGTTATTGCCCTTGATAAGAATATGTCAACATTGACTTGTTAAAGTGATATAGAGCACAGTTAAGATCAGATTTTGTGGAAACTATGTATCGTCATGTATTTTGATATCTAGAATCCACTCGCCTATTACTTCCCTTGAATTTAAAACTTTTCACACATTGGTGCTATAAGTGCTAATCTTTACTATATTTTTATTTACTTCAAACGTATTAAACGCCTTAAATATAAAATCTATTGCATTAACACAATGTCTGTACGGTCGAAGTATATCCTGTAGCAAAGCAAAAAAATTTGGGCCTGTCCTGTGGCTCCCTGGAAATTTTTATTGTCCCTGATCGGCCCTCTCAACTAGTGTTTCCTAGAAACTGTTTTAGAGTGGTAAGGAGGAATTCCGATAAAAGCTAAAACCAAACTTTCAAAATCGCTTTCGTCAAATGCACTAAGAAAAGGGAATATGATATATCTTTCGGATAGTCCAAATCTTTTTGCTTGCTGAAAGGTTTCAAAATGCATAACGTAGTTACTAATTATTGAAGTAAACATTACTTAGAGATACAAAATTTAAGTTTGTATGTTCTTTATTTTGCGCATAATTTTTTCAATTAGTTTATCTTGGAAATCGTTAAATCTGGTTTCTGGAATAAAAACGCTTTTAAACAGGTCCAGCTTGCCTCGTTTGATCTCCTACCCCTGGAAGGTTGGAGTATTCGTGGTATGGACACAGGATCTGGTCTACTGTGGCACTGTCGGAGAACGCCAGTAGTAGGTAATCTATTTCAGCACCTCGTGGATCTGGTTGTTCCAGAACGATACTGATATTGTGCTGTCCAGGTGGTAACATGATTTCCTGACTAACTGGACCAGTGTGGTGAAACTCGTTCCATAGATGGCCATTTCCTTGCTCTTGGTGAGTCACGAAGATTCCAATGATGTTATCATTCAGATATACATTGAGCGGCTCAGAAAATCCATCAGTTGAGTAGACAATATCAGCTAGTTGAAAATCCTGCTGATCCTGGATACAAATCAAAGCATACAGTGACTGGGAGTTTCGAACTAAGATAGTTCTTTCACCACTGGCGTTTGATCTCATGTAGAATCTGTTAATGTAGGAAGCATCTGTTGCGACATCCTCAGCTTCTAGTTTCATTTCGTTCAGAGCACTGGTGGTAACCACTGCTAGCACCAGAAACAAACTCAGTGACTTCCACGAAAGCATTTTGGTAATTTAATAGAAGTAGGATCTGAATAATACGACACCACAGGTTCTACCAGTCAGTGTATAAACCTGTCATATCGTGGTTTATATATCTATTCCAAATATGTCACCCGACTGATGCGTAGGAGAAATTTGGTTTTGAAGTCAGTCGTAACCAATTAATCGAATTTAATTTTGCCAATTGTAACTTCTCGACTCGTCGGTCAAAGAAGTATATACAAGGCCTTAGTAATCTATCACGAGTTCAATGAATGGTACAGACAGTCCATTAAAACATTCCAGGCGGTAGTTTAGTTATATTCCTTCATTTAAAAATCATACCATATATGCTCGATTTCAACTTATTTTAATTATTATAACAGGTATTGCCTTTCTATATCTGATCACTATTTTTATTGTTTTTCAGCTCTTCACTCGATTTGGACCGGAAAAGACTTCCCTATTAATTGTGGATTTGTGACGACATCAAACCATTAAACATTGTTTATGGACTTCTTGAAATCCAGAGACTTGATTTGCATCAAAATACAGATTTATTCCTTGAATTGCTTTTATTTAAGGTGGTTTGATGTAAATAACACAATTTCGATAAAGATTCTCTAGTCTTAGCTGTATGAAGCAAAATTTTGATCAAGATAACGTCGCAAAAGTAATATAAGAAATTATATTCCATTTCATTGTAATCTATTAGATACAGATTAGCACAGAAAGAAACATAACTTCCTGATGAGTGTTGCAAATGATTTATCTGATGTTACTTATGCGCGTTTACTGCACATTTGGGTCATTTTTCATAGTGATATAGAGTTAATGTGATTGCAATGTTTATGTTTTAAGATTGTCAGAATAACCTCTAACTAAAAATACCCAAATGATTACCGTGTTCGAATGTTCGTGTGAGAAATTTACAGATAGATTTATTTATAGGTACAACAGAACAGAAGATATGCGGTCGACCAAGATGTAGGAAATATTTTCCAGATCATTTGCTACATCTGCAATTGCAGCATTGACAAAATCCGTTTTATCATATCTATCAACAGAAATACTTTGATAGACTACAGGAACATACCAAAGACCAAACATAAAATACCATCAATAACATCTTGAAGGGTCTTGACATGGACAAATATTGACATAGATAATGGCAATATCAAACAGACGAATATTGGGATATAGCAAATGTTTTTCTGCACCTTGGAATATGAACAATATTTATTGAAAAAGTAGATGATTTGCATAAAAAGTCAACTCAACTGCCACAACACGTTAAACATTAACCTTCCTGAAAAGCAAATGTTGTACATCCATAATGTATAATAAGTAACTATATTCTTTGATCTTCGGTCTTATTCTTTTTGTTTTTTTTTGGAATTCAGGAAGGCAATCACACATTTCGGTGTTTATTTTATGCCCTGAACCAAGTTAGTTAGTATATCTGAGGTGACGAAAGAAATTATTGGGTCAAAGCCGCCGTTTCAGCAAGAAATTTTCACACAACACCAGTACTATGCTTAAGCATCATCTAATCCCCGCTCTACATTGCAACCAAAATCCACTTACACTTTGGGTGAACTATAGAATAGTCCTTGTCAACTCAATGGGTAAATTTACCTCATGACAATGGTGTCTCTATGATTCGGTCAGTACCGAATGCTACCGAGTGACGCCTGTAGATTTTTTTTATACAGCATTTCCAGGTTGTGTTTAAATATATCAATGAGCTTAAGTTAACAATCGTGATTTATCTGAAATTATGGAGAAATTATTTGCTCGGCAAGAGAGTAATATTACTTTTGTGTGATAATGAAAAAGGTAAATAATGGAACCTCGGTAACTGTTGTTAATAACGCAAAATCCAAAAGTGTCAATTCACATCTGTTTTTGAGAGAAATTGTTTTTGTCGCTGATGTTGATGAATTCCGCTGTTACGTTAATAATCAAATTTCAATTTGTCAAGATGTGAAACGGGCATCAAATATCGCGATTTTTACTCTGAGACCAGAGGACTTGGTAATGCGTTAACACATTCTCATTTCAGATGATTTTCTAAACGTTCTAAAGAAGGATGTTAGAAATTCGATTCTGTCAGCATTTGCAGAAGAAACGAATAGGCACTTACTTTCTCCGTGGAAAAGTTTATTCATTTTTATTTTGTTGAGCCCTGAACGAGCTACCTAGCATTCTAATAGAATTGCACGATTTCTTAAACCTAATGATGTAACATTCCGTAGCTACTCTTTGTTTGCATTTTATATGAGGTGTCTAATTTAATTCAAATTGTCACAAAACATTGATCTCTCTAAGCAGCTTTGTTTGATCAATCGTACCTTAGTCTCAGAAATGGGAATTTTTCAGCTAAACTTAAGTTATTCACTATTGAAATTTGAGCCTTCAAATCCATGTGTGTCCAGATTTTAGAGGAAAGTTAAAAAGACGACTCCTATTTTCTGGACGTATATAAAAGACGTATATATAAAAAGAAAGAGGAAATCCTAGTTTGGGATATTGTTTTAAGGAATAATGTGATTTTCGTACATTTCTAGTACTTCTAAAGAATATTTACATATATTCGAGACTCAAATCAACCCCCGAAAATGGCAAATCTGTTCCTTTAAGTGGTCCAAAACAATACAGTTTGTTGCGAGAGTTTCAGATTTGTGACTGGTTCCTTATACGGTATTGTTACCTCATTTCAACTTATACTTATATAAAAGGACCCGACTCTCTTTTTAGAATTTATCAGCGGGGGTTTGGTGGCATTTCGTATTAGTTGGAATGAATTTTGTGTCAAAATTTTTTTATTGTGTAAAATTTTGAAAATTTAAAAATTTGTATACATAATAGTTTACTTTAACCTATGTTCTGTTTTTCGCCACAATAAAATGTATACACATATCGCCTTGATAATTAATGAGGCGCAGTTGAAGTGTAATTGTGGCTGAATTTTACTAGAATAAAATGAAATTTTATGAAAGGTAAAACAAAACGCATTGCTCGAACATGTGCACGCGCCAGTGATCTCTCAGTTGCATTTATGGCGTGTTTGGCAAAGGGGTGCAACTCATTGCACCAAACATTATCAATTCTGCCTGCGACCAGTGAGCTATACTCTTTTTGTTTAGACGTTGAAACGCTGGATCCAACTAAACGATATAATAGTTCATTCCCCGGGGATTGAATGGAAGAAATTTTATGAAATATATAGGAATAATAAGATGCGTGACAAGAAGGTTCTGATTGCGCTAATAAAGGAGGTGATGGGGGACCAGCTGGCAGAATTCAAGTAAAGTGCGCAAGGAGTCTTAAAGACTTGGAACTATGGTTCTGGACAATAAATGGGAAATATAATTTCCTTGTGATAAAGAAAATATAAGAACACTAAAACATTTTATATTCAACATAAAGAATATTTACACAAGTCTTTCAATATCTTTGTAGACCATTATGTTACAATATGTGACATTCCAACACAAAAACAGGCTCAGATATACAGATATGTGGGATATACCAGAAGAGATACTTTCCCGTGAGCCTCACATCGCAATCGACGCATCGATTTTTTGTTAAACCACACGTTTTGATAAATTGCGATATAGATCTGGTTTTGTGAAGGATATCACATATTATGTTTTGTCTATTTGTAACATTATAATTATGCCGCCGGTCATCAATTTTATCCACTTTAGTATAAAATTATTTTTTTGTTTACCCTTAGTTTTTCTCATCTTGTACATCTCTTTTTCCAATTCCAAGACCCAGGCCAAGTCCTAACCCAAGACCCGTATCGACACCAAGCCCAAGACGCGTATCGAAACCAAGCCCAAGACCCGTATTGACACCAAGCCCACGACCCGTGTTGACACCAAGCCCTAGACCCGTATCAGCACCAAGCCCAAGACCTGTGTTGACTCCAAGACCAAGACCTGCATCGACACCAAGACCAAGACCTGCATCGACACCAAGCCCTGCACCAAGTCCTAAGTCAGCTCCGAGTCCTACAGCGGTCGCTATGGTGTTTTGTCTGGTTAACCAGTCATAATAGTCCTTGGTTTCTGCAGCCAATAGATTTTGATATAAGCTGTTGTATGTTGATAGGTCATTATACAAATATGATGTATCCAATGCCAGTATATCGTTTGATGCCAGTCTTTGATTATACTCTGATGGTATATATTGGTGAGGGCACATAATCTCGTGAGGCATGAAGCTCTTTGAAAAAGACAATTCCATGTAGTCGATTTCTACTCCGCTTCCAAGCTGGGTCAATGTCAGGTAAAATTTACCTTTGCTTAAAGTATGTGGTCTTCCGATAGGACCAGTTTGATGAAACGTGTTCCACAGGAGACCTCTATTTGAACCAGAATGGGTTCTATAAGATCCGATGATTAGATCATTCAAGATTACATTGACTTGTGTAGCCGGTCCATCATTAGAGTAAACAATCCGCTTTATCCAGAAAACCTCTTCTTGAGCCAAACAGAATGTAAATGAAAGTAAATCTTTACCAAGGATTCGAACAGTTCTTCCTCCACTTGCATTCGATCTTCCAATAATTCTACCAGTATATAGTGGACCTAAAGCGACATCTTCCATTTCAACCTTAATCACTGGCATAGAATCAGTTCCAGCTGCGAACCCGGTTCTAGAATGACCTCCAATTCTAGTATTCATTCCAGCTCCTACACCAGTATTAGCTCCAGTTTTGACACCAACTCCTGAATTTATCTCAGTGCCGACTCTGGTATTCATACCAGCCTCAACTCCGGAGTTAACACCAACTCCAACTCCGCTATTTACACCAGCCCCGACTCCGGCATTGACGCCCACTCCAACTCCGCTATTTACACCGGCCATGACTCCAGCATTCACACCAGCTCCGACTCCAGCATTCACGCCAGCTCCGACTCCAGCATTCACGCCAGCTCCAGCATCAACTTCAGCACCAACACCAGCGTTAACACCTGCTCCGAGTCCGAGACCAAGTCCCAACCCCAATCCTAATCCTGCTTCGACACCAGCTTCAAGTTCTGCACCAACTCCGCTATTTACACCAGATCCGACTCCGGTGTTTACACCAACTCCGCTATTTACACCAGCCCCGACTCCAGTATTCAAGTCAGCTCCAACTCCAGTATTCAAGCCAGCTCTAACTCCTGTATTTACACCAGTTCCAAACCCAGTATTCAAGCCAGCTCCAACTCCGGTATTTACACCAGCTCCAACTCCGGCATCAACTTCTGCACCAACACCAGCATTTACGTCTGCTCCGAGTCCGAGACCAAGTCCCAATCCCAAGCCCAATCCTGCTTCGACGCCAGTTTCAAGTTCTGCACCAACATCGACTCCTGCATCGACTCCTGAATTCACTCCAGCCCCGACTCCTGCATTCACTCCAGCTCCGACTCCTGTATTCAAGCCTGCTCCGACTCCTGTAAACAAGTCTGATCCGACTCCTGTATTCAAGCCTGATCCGAATCCTGTATTGACTCCACCTCCGACTCCGGTATTCCCTCCAGCTCTGATTCCTGCATTCACACCAGACCCAACTCCGGTATTCAAGCCAGCTCTAACTCCTGTATTTACACCAACTCCGACTCCAGTATTCAAGCCAGCTCCAACTCCGGTATTTACACCAGCTCCAACTCCGGCATCAACGTCTGCACCAACACCAGCATTTACGCCTGCTCCGAGTCCGAGACCAAGTCCCAACCCCAATCCTATTCCTGCTTCGACACCAGCTTCAAGTTCATTATTTGCCCTGGAACTGACTCTTGATTCAACTCCAGAATTGATACGAGCTTCTACATCTGCCCCAACTTCAGTTCCAAGTCCTAATCCCAATCCAAGTCCTGTTTCAATTCCGGCTTCCAGTTCTGTACCGACATCAACCCCAGTATTTGAAAAAGCTCCGACACCGGCATCAACGTCAGCTCCGGCACCAACATCAACACCAGAATTGATACCAGATCCCAATCCTAGACCAAGTCCTAATCCGAGACCTAGTCCGGCTTCTATTTCCGCGCCAACATCGACTCCAGCTTCAGCCCCGACACCAGCAGCAACACCATTTCCTACACCAACATCAACACCAGCGTCGATTCCAGCATCAACACCAGTGCCAATTCCAGTATTTACACCAGCTCCAATTCTAGCGTCATCACCAGCTCCAACACCAGCATTAACAACAGAATTGATATCAGAACCCAGTCCGAGACCAAGTCCTAATCCAAGACCTAGTCCTGCTTCAACCCCAGCTTCAATTTCAGTGGTAACACCGGTTCCTGCTCCAGTCCCGACACCAGCGACGATTCCAGTATTTGCACCAGCTCCATTTTCAGCATTAATTCCAGTATTCACACCAGCGTCGATTCCGGTATTTACACCAACTCCAATTCTAGTATTCACACCAGCTCCGACATCAGCATCGACACCAGCTCCAACACCAGCATCAACACCAGCTCCAACACCAGCATCAACCCCAGCTCCGATTCCAGCATCAACACCAGCTCCAACACCAGCATTAACAGCAGAATTGATACCAGCTCCCAGTCCAAGACCAAGTCCTAATCCAAGACCTATTCCCGCTTCAACTCCAGCTTCGATTTCAGTGCCAACATCGACTCCTACTCCAGCCCCGACACCAGCAGCAACACCAGCTCCAATTCCAGTATTTACACTAGCTCCAATTCCAGTATTTACACCAGCTCCCATTCCAGTATTTACATCAGCTCCGACACCAGCATTTACTCCAGAATTGATACCAGAGCTTAGTCCTTGACTAATTCCTAATCCAAGTCCTAATCCTGCTTCAACTCCAGCTTCAATTTCAGTACCAACATTGGCTCCTACTCCAGTATTAACACCAGCTCCGACACCAGCATCAATACCAGCGCCGATTCCAATATTTATACCTGATCCAATTCCAGTATTCAGACCAGCTCCGACACCAGTATCAACACCAGCTCTGACACCAGCATCAACACCAGCTCCAACACTAGCATCAACACCAGAATTGATACCAGCTCCCAGTCCAAGACCTAGCCCTAATCCGAGACCTAGTCCTGCTCCAACATCCGCTTCTAATTCAGTGCCAACACCGACACCTGCTCCAGCTCCGACATCAGCTCCGAGTTCTGTTCCCAATCCTAGTCCTGCATTAACACCGGCGTTGACTTCCGTATTAACCAGAGCCCCAATCTGTGCATCAAGCCCTGTACTAAGTCCATCATCATTACCAATACCAAAATCTTGGCCAACTTCCTTGTCACTTGAAAGCATTCCATTACCACCGAATGTTAGTTGATTTAAAGTAGGATTGTACTGGTTAGGACATAAAATTTGATCAGGCAAGACACTCTTTGAGACGCCAAATTCGATGAAGTCGATTTCAACACCATGTCCGTTATTTAGAATGGCGAAATTGAATTTACCTCGACTTAACAGATGGGGCCTGCTAATGACACCAGTGTAATGAAACTTGTTCCATAAAAGGCCATTATTTGAGCCAGCTTGGGTTTGAAAAGATCCTAAGACGTTTTCATTCAATAGCACGTTTACAAGTGATGAAGGTCCATCGTTAGAATACGCGATTGTTTTAACAAAAAAGTCTTCTGCTTCACGTAAACATAATTCAAATGTTAAAGGATTTGTTCCCCGGATTTGAATCGTTTTTCCACCACTGGCCTTTGATCTTCCCACAACTCTAAAAGTGTTTGAATCCAGTGCTAAATCTTCCATTTCAATCTTCACTACGTGCATCCCTAATGAGATTGACAGGATGCCAAATAATAGTATAACGTTTGTGAAGGTACCCATCTCGAATATAGAAATGGTCCACAGCAGAAAAAAGAAAGACTTAAATGCAACTGAAATTGATACGTTTGTCGCTTATATATTGTCAATATGCAACATATGTTAATGGAAATGAAAATTTCCACGCAGTTTACATTAGCGATTCGAAACTGATTGTTTTGGAAACAATGAATAGTTTCGTTTAATTGCCTATAGAAGCACCTACCTACTTTTGTTAATGAAAGGCACAAATAGGAGTTTGATAATTAGTGTCTGGACAATTTGTGGCATTGTGCATTCAATTAAGTTAATAATCACATATCATATATCAGCAAACAAAAACATTACGCTATACTGTACTTGAATGTCGTCTTTCAAACTCTACCCACAACTTTATGTAACATATACCAATATTTACATGCATATACACAAAACGCCAAGTTAAAAAAATAAGAATACGTGTTTTGTAGCATCTATAGCATTTGTTAAACCCTTGGGTCGTGACCCTCGGGTTGGGGACTACTGGTCGCTCAACTTGGAAGCACTTTTCTTGGGGTCGCGGACTAGTCTGAAAACTTTTTGAAAACTCTTAAAAACTCTTGAGGGAGGGCCTCCCTCTCTTGTCTGAAATCATTTGAAATGATGCTGACGGGTTTATTATTCTTTAAAAAATTCGAAGAACCCCTTCGCAATTTCACACATTTGAAGCTCCTGTGTTAGCCAAATAACATCATATCTGAAATTGCATATCAAATGCGTTGGAATCACTGAAAATGTATTTTCCGGACTGGGTCGTCAACGCAGAAGATAGTTTTCAAAGGTGAAAATATGGCAGTTCACATTCGTCTCAAGAACCAAAAAAGATTAACATTTTGATGGAGATTTTGACACTCTCAGAAATGCTTTCTCCTGGCTCCCAGTGTTTGAGGGACTTTGAGTAAGCATACCCTGTCTGGCGCCACACCCGTCATAGCTGCTTAGGAAGTATTCAGATGCGTTCAGCCGTCGAAGTGCTTCAGAGCTATCTGGTTAACATTCCCAACCTTGTTTTTCCGTTTCTGTCTGTCCTCCCCTCCCCCCTATTTAGTTAGTTTACCCCCTATTTGCACCCCTGGCTACGAATTCTCGAAACAATCTTAGTGTTAGGATGTCCTAGGTTCCTATCTTCTAACATTGATTCAAAGACATCCTAGGGCTAAGATCGTTTCGATAATACGTGGTCTGTTCTTGATGCTTGAAAAACTCGGGTTTTGAGCTGTTCTAAAATCCCGATTTCAATTGGACAAGTTGACAAACATTTCCCTGTCCTGTCAGTAGTTATATGAAAGTGTATGCATCTTGTGTTTTCATTCAAGGTCAAGACCTAAATCCTTAGATTAACTTTAGAAAAACCATTTTGCCCCTATTTTGGGGTTAAATTCTAAACATGTATTTTTGTTAATCTGTTTTATATCATATTGGAATTTATTACAATCGTTTAACCATAATGAATTATATATGGTAAGTTTAAGTGGATGGTATGTCTTGTCACATGATAAACTAGATTTATTTCCCCACTACGACAACAAGATCCACATTCACTCTATATATTTACATTGGCCTGTCGATCAAAAGTAGGCGTGACCTAACGTTTTCAGCTTTTATTAGGCCACAATGACATTAAGATACAGTTATCAGTGTTTATTCGGTCATACTTATTGGGTCATAATGATATCAAGATAAGTTTTCAGTGTTTATTGTGTCATAATGACACCAAGATACAGTTTTCAGTGTTTATTGGGTCATAATGATATTAAGATACAGTTTTCAGTGTTTATTGGGTTATAATGATATTTAGATACAGTTTCAGTGTTTATTATGCCATAGTGACATTAAGATACAGTTTTTAGTATATATTGGGTCCTAATGATATCAAGATAAAGTTTTCAGTGTTTATTGGGTCATAATGATATTAAGATACAGTTTTCAGTATTTATTGGGTCATAATGATATCAAGATACAGTTTTCAGTGTTTATTATGTCATAATGACATTAAGATACAGTTTTCAGTATTTATTTGGTCATAATGATATCAAGATAAAGTTTTCAGTGTTTATTGGGTCATAATGATATCAAGATAAAGTTTTCAGTGTTTATTGTATTGGGTCACAATGATATCAAGATACAGTTTTCAGTATTTATTATGTCATAATGACATTAAGATACAGTTTTCAGTGTTTATTGGGTCATAATGATATCAAGATAAAGTTTTCAGTGTTTATAATGTCATTATGACATTAAGATACAGTTTTTAGTATTTATTGGGTCATAATGATATCAAGATAAAGTTTTCAGTGTTTATTATGTCATAATGACATTAAGATACAATTTTCAGTATTTATTGGGTCATAATGATATCAAGATACAGTTTTCAGTGTTTATTGGGTCATAATAATATTAAGATACAGTTTTCAGTATTTGTTGGGTCATAATGATATTAAGATACAGTTTTCGGTGTTTATTGGGTCATACTGATATCAATATACAGTTTTCAGCGTGTATTGGATCATAATGATAGATACAGTTTTCAGTGTTTATTGGGTCTTAATGGTATTAAGATGCAGTTTTCAGTGTTTATTGGGTCATAATGATATTAAGATACAGTTTTCAGTCTTTATTGGGTCATCATGATATCAAGATACAGTTTTCAGTGTGTATTGGATCACAATGATAGATACAGTTTTCAGTGTTTATTGGGTCATAATGGTATTAAGATGCAGTTTTCAGTGTTTATTGGGTCATAATGCTATTAAGATACAGTTTTCAGTCTTTATTGGGTCATCATGATATCAAGATACAGTTTTCAGTGTTTATTGAGTCATAATGATATTAAGATACAGTTTTCAGTGTTTATTGGGTCTTAATGGTATTAAGATACAGTTTTCGGTGTTTATTGGGTCTTAATGGTATTAAGATGCAGTTTTCAGTGTTTATTGGGTCATAATGATATTAAGATACAGTTTTCAGTCTTTATTGGGTCATCATGATATCAAGATGCAGTTTTCAGTGTTTATTGAGTCATAATGATATTAAGATACAGTTTTCAGTCTTTATTGGGTCATCATGATATCAAGATACAGTTTTCGGTGTTTATTGAGTCATAATGATATTAAGATACAGTTTTCGGTATTTATTGGGTCTTAAACACCATCTGATAGGCTAGAGCAGTGCTTCTCAACCTCGGTGAGATCATTCCTCCCCGAAAGAGTTCAAAATCTATCTCCCCAAAATAAGTCAGTCATTTTGAAACGCAGTGTACTCGAAAAATGCATTAAACAATTAACCATGTATGGATATAAAATCATACTCCACATATTAAGATAATTCAACGTGACCCTTTGGCCGATTTTCGTTCACGATTTTCTGTATTTCTGGGGTGAACGATGTCAATTTCAGTCTTCGATCTCCTTATCTCCCATTTCCTCCCCGTTTCCCCCTGGCAACAATTCTTTCCCACGGTCTTCCAATTCCTCCGGAGAAGCACTGTGTTTAGAGTCTCAACTACCAACACCCGACGGAAAATCATCTAATTGAAATAATCCAACTACTACTTTTTTCTGCAGTTCGATTGCACCGCGCTACAGATTATATAGGCCATGGACTCGGGCTATTTATCGTTCAGATTTTTGGAGTGTATGTCTATCCTATCATTTGCTACGTTTTGTTCGTGTTAGGATATGTATCGTTGATATGTTGGTCTTATTAGTTGCATATTGGTTGGTCACCAGATTAGAAGCCCAATAAATAACTGAAAAGAAGGGTGTAAAATTCCATTTAATTTATCATGAAGGTGTTTATTGTGTTTCAACCCAGATAACAGTTTATATAAGTATTCTTTTGTATAAAATATAACAGATAAGTAAAGTAAATTTTCCACGAGAAATAATATATTTTAATCAACCATAATGAAAAAGCAACCACAAAAAAATAGTTGTTTATTTATCACCCACCCCAATCCATATATTCTCACTCATGCCAAATTCTTTTCCACGTCATCTGTTTTGTATCAGCAAGTTGAATTGTTAATTTGACGAATCGTTATTTGTAAAGTAGGCTTCTATTGAAAACACACTTTCGTTTAAATTCAGAAATTGTCTATTAATTTTATTCTTTTATCTAAATCAAAAGACGACAGTATGAAAAAGTACTTGTATTTGTCCTTTTACTTCATATAAACCAAGATATCTACTAACTGATTCAGATTACCCATCAGATGAACAGACTAATTCAGAAACTTATTGAGGAGTTTGTTCATCAGTGAACTGTTGTCCATCATTATTGTTTTCTATTACTCGAGGGGGTAGAGCTTGGTCAGTACATAGAACTTCTTCCTTGTTAGAACTCAGTGAAAAAGCAAATTCTATAAAGTCAATTTCCACAGCACCACCAACTTCCACAGACAGGGTAAAATTATATCCCCCGGGTTCCAAAATAAAAGGCATACCAATAGCACCAGTGAGGTGAAATTCGTTCCACAGATGACCGAAATTTGATCCAGTGTGTGTTCGGAACGATCCCAGGATGTCGTTGTTTAGGATTACATCAACTTGTGTAGCAGGTCCATCATTAGAGTAAGCAATCCTCGACACCAAAAACACTTCCTGTTTACGTAGACAAAAAGCCATGGCGAAGAAACCATTCTGATCAATCCGAAGGGACTTTTCAGCACTGGCATTCGATCTGTCACAGATCTTCTCTTCACTCTTGGTTCCTGTCGCCATATCTTCCATTTCGATTTTAATCACATGTAATCCATTTGTTATTGATAGTACAACCATTAACAAGAGAAAACTGACTTTTGTGGGTGAAATCATCTTGATGGGAAATGGAGAAATTGGCCGCTAAACGCTTCTGAATCCAGCCAACGACCGACCGAATTTAAGTGTACATCAGACAATGTGTTTATATAAGTGAAATTTAATTGTGTGACATCTGTTTCATGGTCCATCCCAGACAAATTTCTAAATAGCATTCCCCGAAAACTTTGATTTTAAATTATTTTCAAAGTCTACTGATTTTATTTGAGAGAAAACAATAATGACAATCAGTCTGTTATCGTGTTGAATTTCAATAGTATAGTGTTTAGGTATGGCGTCAAAATGTCGTTCGTATTAAGTAATTTTAAGCGATCTAAAGGTCGGAAACAATATTGGAATTTAAACCATATTTCTTGCAGCATGCCCCTCATTACAAACTGTTATATTAAAATTATTATTTGTCTGATGAAATCAGGACTGGAAAGTGTTATTTGTCATTGTTGCGTACGTCGCAATAGCATCTGTCCTGTAGAATTCATCACAGAATCAACTGTCACATTATATTGGTCACATCAATGTTCTCAGTGATGGTATTCGTCACAATTATATTCTTCACAGTAATGTTCCTCAATGTTATATTCATCGCCATATTGTTAATCATAGTAGTATTCATGACATAAGTATTGGTTATAGTGATATTAGTCACAGTATCATCCGTCACAGTGACATTCGTCACACCAATTATCACTGCAGTATGTTCGTAACAGTAGTATCAGTTTCAGTAATATTGTGACAGTGATATACGTCACTGTAACATACTTCAGAGTAATGTTCGTCTTAAAAACGTTCGTCACAATGATGTGTGGCTAATTTTTAATCACAGTAGTATTTATAATAATAGCAGAGATATCCTTCACAGTAGTTTACATCACAATGATATTCGTCACAGTCTCTGTGTACCCAAATTGGTCTTCGAAACTAATAAATAATAACAATAAAAAGGACAATAAAAATATACCGCAAAATACCATAACAGTGACTATTTTAAAGATATCGCCGAGGTTTTTTTTTTGTGATATTTGACTATCATCGTAAAAATGTGAAAATGTATGAGGCCTGCAGATTAATACACTATCATCAGTGTTCCACTACTCCATTGTGTCTTTTTGAACGAAAGATAGTCGAAACCGTGCGTACGGCAGGAAATGCCAAGAAATTGGATTTGTTTACACCATCATATTCATTTTTCAAAAAGGTAGCCTGTTAATCATATGTTTATATGTTCATGCAATAGAGAATTGATTTTTTCTTTTCTTTTGCTATATTGGCAGACGGACATTGGCACATTTTTGAAAAAACACACTAATACGGTTCACAAAAACCTTGAATTTATTGAATAGCAAATCATTTTAGAATCGGATTAAGACGACAATGGAAAATATCAAGATAGTCTGAGTAAAGTCTTCAAAGATAGGGAAAGTCATTCTTGTGTTTATTGTTCAGTCTTCTTCAAATAATCCAAGAAAGATCGAAGATGTCGCCTGCGTCGCTTTCTACCTTCACTGGCCATTTTCCTAGCATACTCATGTTCGCTGCACAGCACTTGGTCTGCAGAAGTACTTTCGGAAAATGCGAATTCAATATAATCCAACTCCACTCCATATTGATCCGCTTTTGCCAATGAAAGAATGAGATTATGTTGACCCTTTTCCAGATTAAACGGCATCCCCACGACTCCTGTTTCATGAAATTCGTTCCAAAGATGTCCCCAGTTGGTTCCTTCGTGAGTCATAAAGTGACCAATCACACTGTTGTCTAGCTCAACTCTAACGTCATCGGGGTAACCATCGGTTGAATATTTAATTCGCTCGACAATCAACGTTTCGGGTTCATCCAAACAAAAATGAACGTCGATTGTTTCTGTATTATGAATTAGTACAGTTTTTTTACCGCTGGCATTTTCTCTCATAAACAGGCGCCCTTTATACGAGGTGTCCATAGCGATATCTTCCATTTCAACCATGATTGTATTCATAGCCGTGGTTGTCGAAATAACAGACAGAAACAGAAAGCACACAATCTTCATTGCAGACATCTGAATCTGTAAAAGAAAGAAACAAATTCAAACATAAACTAGAGCCACACGTGGCACAGAGTGGTACTTTGCTACTGTGGCAACTTGCAAGAGACTCTAAAAAATCATCATTCTAGGTTAATTAGGTCACGTGCCAGAACAGTCTTAAGTTACGACATTTTCTGGCTTTGGAAGCTTTTGAAACCAGAAGTAGACGTCAGGCATCAGAAATGAAAGTATCAGCGAATAGCCAAAGTCAATTACCTTTAACCTTTTAACGGGGGAGGTCAACAAAGTTCAAGGTCACGAGACATAACTCAACAAATTTTCGACATGCACACAGCTACAAAGCCGGCAGTTCACGTCGGACATCAAATGTGAAAGTATAAATAGATAACCAAGGATAATGACCTTTGACCCTACAAAAGTTAAGGTCAACAAAGGTCAATGTCAAAATTGAAAATATGGAAATTTTTAATACCATTCCTTTTTTTCACTATAAAGCAGAAACAACTGAGTCTTTAATTTAAACAAATAGAAATTCAACTTTTTTGTCACAGGTTAATTCGTATTCAAAATGACTAGTTGTATTTTAAATTTCAAGCTTCTACGTCAAATAGGTCATAAGATATACGTAGGCTACACCAAGCTCAAAGAGGCAAAAATATTGTTAAAAACACCCAAATTTCAAAAAATCATATGTCATATCAATATGGCGGCCAAATAATCATTTCTGGTCTGGATTTTTTTTTTTAAATCGGCTGTATAATTTTACCAGGAAACGAGACTGGCCCGGCTTTGCCCCACTCACCCACTATCAAAATTTTTATCAATTTACAAAGTGAATTTTGAGAATGAGGGTTTCAATATTCAACGTGAAAATTAATTCAAATTCACAATTATATCTGAATTCATTTACGTGCATTACATGGTCTACGGTGCGGTTCCATCTTGTCGATATTGTAAGTTGTGCATTGCAGACTTCAGAGCAGACCGGGAAACTCGGTATACGCTATTAGCTAAAAAAAAAAAGGCGGGGATTGAAGTTTTTGAAGAATTGTGTTAAAACTCCGTTCCTTTTTGTACAAAGAGTAATAAATTCCCGGGTTTCCCAATGTCAAAAATATCCCAATCGTAATATGAAAACGTTTTAGCTAATTAACGACAATCCTTTATTCAATTTCAATTTTGCAAGTTTTAAATTCACATTAAAATAAATAAATCATACCTCTTCTCACGTGTCTATTGTTACGTTACTCCGACTCATATAGTAAAAGATCTCTGAGGAAAATATTTGATGCAAACATTTAAAAAAATACTGATCAGATATTCACAAAGATAAACCACCTTTTTTTGATATAGATCTATTTATATAGGTATCACTCGAGGTAAAACAAAAAATTTTACACACCTATAATAATATATTCGTCAAAAGAATTTTAAATATCACATTCATCTAGTGTGGTGGTTTGATATGCGAATTAGCCGTAAGCAATATCTATTCACATTGATTATAAACACACTTTCTTTATCTGCGCCTTTGAATTCACCCAAGCAAAGTGTCATGTTTCCACCTGCTAACATTAATCTGATTCTGGTGCCGTGCAGGGATGAAAAAATATTATACTTCGGTACATGCCCTCATAATTCACCTACACCTGAATAGCGCACTTCTCCATTATATTCATATCTTTAGCCCCGTCACACCGGATTGCGACCATATGCGATATTACGGCGGCTAAAAAATGGGTCGCCGGAAAAGGTGAATAAAACATGAGAAAAAGTATAAATATTATTACAGTGGCACTCAAACATATGCGACCATATTGCGCTCCCAATCCGCGTTTCTAACAAAATCTATGGGCTTGGTGCATTTCACTTGCATTCATGGAGATGATACGACGCTTGTCAAAAGATTTCGTGGCGATCTCAACGGACGCATTTTGCCAATTGGCCAAATTATCAACAAAAAAAAAGCCAGACACCAATCCAATCACGAAACGGAATCACGATATTCAACTCAGTTTCAGTTGTCTGCAGTCAGACTTTCCCCAGGGTGTGCAACTAAAAACAACTATATTATGTTAGTATCCTATAACATGATTCCATACGTATCATGGGAAGGAAGAATGGAATCCCCCATTATAATCTCCTCTTGTGACTTGTCATATCACACAACATAAACATTATATTTTCATCACTGCATGAAAATCTTATCATCCATTTATATAGCTATATATGAACAAATTTAGTATATTTTACCTTCAGTGCAGTATATCCCGCGGAAACAAACGGATATTTATAAGAGAAAATTAGTTTTAATTCACTTTTTTGATAAAAATTTACTCCTTTTTTCCGATGGCTATTTACAAACAAATTTAACATTAATTCAATCAATAAATTATAAACCACATGAATATTACTTAAAAAAAACAAAAGAAAAACAATATGACAAAATTGCAACTCGTAAATATTGTACTAGAATAGAAATAATTAAAAATTTGAAAGATTGATTTCTCACGCACCCAGTTTAGGTTGATGTTACTTTCTGTGTGCAATGGATGTTAGTTATTCACGTAAAAACAAACGTTTGATACTGAAAACATCACTACAATAACCGAGTGCCATTAGGCCTATTAATGATTCATGTTATAGTTAATCAAAGGGTTTTCTTGACATATTCACAGTGGCTCAACTACCATAGGGATTGGTCCACGGGTCCCTTATCCCTAAGAGGGACATACCCCCAGGAAAAAAATACGAAAGTGTTAACAATTAGCAACCAGCAATTAAAAAATGAGTGAAATAGTATTAACAACAGACTGAAAATCTTTCATTAACACAGGCATTGACTAACCGAATGATATGGTCTAGGAATGCAGGAAAACAAAGTGGCCTCAACTTAAGTCCTCGGTTCGCCACTTATCAAGTTGAGCCACTGTATATTTGTGTGCTAATAGGTAGAATATAGGCAACGCCTTACCAATTTCATGACAATAATTATTATTTGTATGTAATGACATTTTATATTTCGTGACAATAATTGTTATTTGTATGTGGTGACTACATTTTATATTTCATGACAATAATCATTATTTGTATATAATGACTACATTATATATTTCATGACAATAATTATTATTTTTATGTAATGATTACATTTTATATTTCATGACAATAATCATTATTTGTATGTAATGACTGCATTCTATATTTAATGACAATAATCATTATTTGTATGTAATGACTACATTTTATATTTCATGACAATAATTATTATTTGTATGTAATGTGGTGACTACATTTTATATTTCATGACAATAATCATTATCTTTATGTAATGATTATATTTTATATTTCATGACAATAATTATTATTTGTATGTAATGACTACATTTTATATTTCATGACAATAATCATTATTTGTATGTGGTGACTACATTTTATATTTCATGACAATAATTATTATTTGTATGTAATGTGGTGACAACATTTTATATTTCATGACAATAATCATTATTTGTATGTAATGATTCTATTTTATATTTCTTGTATGTAATGACTACATTTTATATTTCATGACAATAATCATTATTTGTATGTGGTGACTACATTTTATATTTCATGACAATAATTATTATTTGTATGTAATGTGGTGACTACATTTTATATTTCATGACAATAATTATTATTTGTATGTAATGTGGTGACTACTTTTTATATTTCATGACAATAATTATTATTTGTATGTTATGTGGTGACTACATTTTATATTTCATGACAATAATCATTATTTTTATGTAATGACTACATTTAATATTTCATGACAATTAGCATTATTTGTATGTGGTGACTACATTTTATATTTCATGACAATAATCATTATTTGTATGTGGTGGCTACATTTTATATTTCATGACAATAATAATTCTTTGTATGTAATGACTATATCTTATATTTCATGACAATAATCATTATTTTTATGTTATGACTACATTTTACATTTCATGACAATAATCATTATTTGTATGTGGTGACTACATTTTATATTTCACGACAATAATTATTATTATTATTTTGTGATGACTACATTTTATATTTCATGACAATAATTATTATTTGTATCTAATGTGGTGACTACATTGTATGTTTCATGACAATAATTATTATTTTTATGTGGCGACTACATTTTGTATTTCATAACAATAATCATTATTTGTATGTAATGTGGTGACTACATTTTATATTTCATGACAATAATTATTATTTGTATGTGATGTGGTGACTACATTGTATGTTTCATGACAATAATTATTATTTTTATGTGGTGACTACATTTTATAGTTCATGACAATAATCATTATTTGTATGTAATGACTGCATTCTATATTTAATGACAATAATCATTATTTGTATGTAATGACTATATTTTATATTTCAGGACAATAATTATTATTTGTATGTGGTGACTACATTTTACATTTCATGACAATAATTATCATTTGTATCTAATGTGGTGACTACATTGTATGTTTCATGACAATAATTTTTATCTTTATGTAATGACTATATTTTATATTTCAGGACAATAATCATTATTTGTATGTGGTGACTACATTTTATATTTCATGACAATAATTATTATTTGTATGTAATGTGGTGACTACATTTTATATTTCATGACAATAATTATTATTTGTATGTGGTGACTACATTTTATATTTCATGACAATAATTATTATTTGTATGCGGTGACTACATTTTATATTTCATGACAATAATTATTATTTGTATGTAATGTGGTGACTACATTTTATATTTCATGACAATAATTATTATTATTATTTGTATGTGGTGACTACATTTTATATTTCATGACAATAATCATTATTTGTATGTGGTGAGTACATTTTATATTTCATGACAATAATCATTATTTGTATATAATGACTACATTTTATATTTCATGACAATAATCATTATTTGTATGTGGTGATAAATTTTATATTTCAGGACAATAATCATTATTTTTATGTGGTGACTACATTTTACATTTCATGACAAGAATTATTATTTGTATCTAATGTGGTGACTACATTGTATGTTTCATGACAATAATTATTATCTTTATGTAATGACTATATTTTATATTTCTGGACAATAATCATTATTCGTATGTGGTGACTACATTTTATATTTCATGGCAATAATTATTATTTGTATGTAATGTGGTGACTACATTTTATATTTCATGACAATAATTATTACTTGTATGTGGTGACTACATTTTATATTTCATGACAATAATTATTATTTGTATGTTATGTGGTGACTACATTTTATGTTTCATGATAATAATCATTATTTTTATATAATGACTACATTTTATATTTCATGATAATAATCATTATTTTTATATAATGACTACATTTTGTATTTCATGGCAATAATCATTATTTGTATGTAATGACTACATATTATATTTCATGACAATAATTATTATTTGTATGTAATGTGGTGACTACATTTTATATTTCATGACAATAATTATTATTTGTATGTAATGTGGTGACTACAATGTAGTCACAGTACTTTATATCTGATAAAGAAAACTATTATTTGAATGATAATTTGGTCATAATAAATATTATAACATCAAATAAAGTATACACACTATTTGTCATGATTATATTTTACAATTTTTATCTTATAAGTTTAAAGTTTATAGTCTAAGTCAGTAAGAATATCTTGGCTTGTTGGTACTTTGTCATTTTTTTATTTGTTCAACCTAGACCAATTTTGCAATAGTTAAAATGTCCTGTAACAACGTTATCATCACTTATAAATATAAAGATACATGAGCTCGGGTCAATTCATTTGATGATATCAGATACATTAAACTCAACCTGAGTAAAAAGCTCATATCATAAATTCAATATATTAAATTGGTGGTAACACATCCATAAACCTTTACACTTTGAATGAATTTGATGGTGTCTGTTTGAAATACAACATTTCCAATTTACATGAGTGAGTCTCTTAACCGGAACTAAAAACAACATCTGTGTTAACTTATGGATATTTGCTAGCCAATCAAACTTGGGAATTGATCCAAATATAGCTATAGGTAGATATTTCAACATTCCTGTCAGTGATTTAGAGAGCGACTGAAAAACCATCTTATTGTTCTAATAGGACAAACCAAGATACCTCTACAAGATAACTCCTACAGAGCACATAAATATCCCTTGATTATTGAAAAATCTGAAAGATTACTCCATGAGTAGTGAATCATCTATGAGAAAACAGATTTACAAATCCAAAAAACATGGTGCACTCTGCCTTGAAGATTTTTTGATACCAAAACAAGGGACAGGAGATTTAACTTAAAATAAAGTAACAAACTAGATCTCAAATATAACAAAACCTTTTATATAAACTTCACATTCATTAAAATCACAGAATATTCATTGCACAAACAAATAAATAAAAATAAGATAGTTTGATTTGAGCTCACTGAGTATTAGTTGATATTGGTAATTTGGTATATAATTTGGTATTGTTGATTCATATGTTACAACTGAAAAATTCAAAATTGTAAAAATTGTATCTATAGTCAAATTAATTAAGAGAAAAGAGCAAAATAAAGTTTAAATCACACCATAACTAAGATATTTAAAAAAAAACCTTCAGGCAAAGTTAACTTCAATGAAATATTATTTTCACAAACATTTATGTTGTATCTAACCAAACTATACAGATTCATTTTTCATATCAATTTACTTAATTACCTTAAAGGTATAGCATATATAATAAATTATTTAGAATTATTAACCAAAGTAAAATATATAAACATCATACCTTCATTCAACTAGTGTAGATAATTCCGAACCTGATTTAGATTCTTTATCTTTCACTTCAGACTGAAAAAAATCAACATTAATTATATAAGCTTAACTCACCTTAAATGAAATTGTGAAAAAATTTGAAATTATTTATGGAATAATCTTTAGAGAAGAATTTTGTCATTTAGGAATCTATTTCTATCAAGAATTACTGAATGAATGGTCTTACGATAAGAAGGTAGATAACCCTTAAATTTAATCATACAGACTAAAGTTATTTTTTCAATGTAATGTGACCATTAACACTAAAATACTGTTTAATAAACCACTTTGGCTTTTTATGCCTTTAGAGGTATGCAAAATGCCACAAAACATGGACAAGGAAATAGCAATTTTACAGTTATCAAGTGATTTCTACCTTTTGAGCATCAGATTGTTTATTGAATTCTTTCTCTTCTTCGTCCATTATTTCTTTTCTCTTCTTTTCAACTTCTGCTTCTTCTTTGGCTTTATTTAATTGTTCATTTGCTTCATTCACCTAAAATAAATAAATAAATACAATAAAATAACTCTGAAACTATTACATAATTATTTCTACCATTTTTTACTTTAGTCAATAAACCTTGTATAAGGTCCTGAGGTTATATATATAACAGACAACATATGATTTACAAACTGAGCAATGAACACTCTTCAACACACAGTTTGTTCTGTAAATATGAACACATATTTCAACTGTTGTCAAAATACAACCTATACCTGTTTCTGATGTTGTTGATTTTTAATATGATTATGAAGCCACTGTCCAATATATTCAATTGGATCTTTTGGTCTTTTCTCTGCCACTTCAGCTAAACATATCACCAAACTTTCACCCACATGTTTCCTTAAGAATACAGCATCCATTCTGATATAAGTTTGAGTGTATTAAGTCTTTTTAAACTTTCGTCCTGAAAATAAAATTTTATAATATAAGCTTAATAATAATCATGATAATATATTTATTGGCAGTATTTAGGTTATAGACCAATAGTTAGGTCTACATGATAGCATATAAAATCACATAGAGCAGAAAATTTCTATACACAATACAGAAGCCTACAGAAATAAAACTTCATCAGACTGAATAAAAATTAACTTAGCTATGACTCAAGCAGACAATAATATTCTCACTGTGTTAAAATTTGCTTTATATTTGATAGTACTATTAGTATTTGATATCAAGAAAACTTTTGAGTCTGACAGGTATGGTTCATTTAAACCAAGGTGATACAGCCTAGTACAGTCCAATATTCATGATATGGCTCATAATCAACAGTGTGTCAACACACTAAGAATACTTACTAAAGCAGACATTCAATATCTATGGGTCCTCAGTAAAACACCATTATTGGCATTGAAATAAGACACTATTTGAAACACTGATAGCTGCATGATATTAATGGTCTCTTTCAATCACATTTTACAGTAACTTTGTGAAAACTACAGACAGGACGTAAAAAACATAATATTGACCTACCTCAACTACACGCTGTCACTAAACTAGACTGTAAGATTAGTAAATAAATCTCATCAACTTTCAAACAAAACTTGTATTTGTCAACCATTTGTTTACATCCGGTTAATTATGACAATCTGGCTTCCTTAGTTACATGTCTAGATTAACCAGACTGAAATCAAATAAGCTTACTATTTTAGTTACCATGCAGTAGTCACTGTTTTCCTGTCAATCTAATTGTCTCCCTTTAACTTTGTGTCTCTTACCTTCTTCAGGTAAAAAGCTTAGCTGGAGGCCCGTCAGACTGATTCTCTCCGTTTGAAGCGACTGGTTGCCGAGAATGACCGATTCTAAAGAAATGACTAATATTTTTCCATGTGAAAATTATCCGAACAATGGACGAATGTATTTTACAGGTATGTTTCGTGTATTTATAATTTTGGCCCATTTTAAAAAAATTTCCGTCGGTTTTCTAGTTCAAATGAATTATGCGCAGCATCAAAGCTATGTTTCAATATGTTTAAGAGAATAAAAAAAATTGATCTTATATTTTGGAAAAAGAAAAGAAAAATATTAGTGATCCTATGCATAAGTGAACAAACCCATATTTTAGTTTACTTTCAAAGTTTCTTTTTCGATTTTATGCCATGATGATTACGTCTCAAATAGGTAAAGGTCTAAATTATTCCTATAAATAAAAAGATATCATAATAAAGGCTACTCTACATAGGCTAAATTTGCTTAGCAAATCAAAACAATGTCGGCCCTTGCCCTTAGCTACGAGAGAAAGACTCCCACCGGTAACTTTCAATTTCTACTATGTTTATTCAACTGTAGGCCCTAGGTGCATAATACACCTTGGTCACTTTGGGCCAGGGCGTTCTAAACTGAATGAATAATATATAATTATAGCCTAATTAACCCTTACTTGTTAATTACCTAATACAACTCGATTGATTAATTTTATTAGATTCGCAGTCTATGTTTAGTTAAGTCCACAACCATATCACGTTAATAAAAAAAGGAAAAAATGAGAGAGTAATTCGTTGTAATAGCAAAATCAACCCCTCACCCTACCCTATCAATGAACACTGTCTACTTTTGAAGCTTCGTGAGCTCGAAGAAGGTTATAAGATAAAATTTGGATATTAAAATTCACTAAACAACTCAAATGACCGCAGTTTCTCAGCTTGAAAGACCGAGATAAACTGGATTATTTTAATGATAGGTAATCCCGATAGATCTAATATTACAGTATAATGAAAACAAGAATGGTAGAATGACTTGTATGCAATTTTCTCGGATGTAAATTTGAAAGAATGACATTCCATACTCTTATTTAAATTCACCCTTACACAAGAGCAAAAAAAATTCCAAAGTTTTATTTTGAGTCGTATAATATATATATTAATATTAAAGGTAAATAATGTAAGAAAATAACTTTTTGATCTTTACAACTTTATGTTCTGGTGAATAATCCCATATTGTATTTGTATTGAAGTGATAGGTCTTAATAATATGCTTTCTTATCAGTAAATACTATATATCATATGTAAATTGTTGAAACGTTGCTTTTAAACTCAGGTACAGCTGTACAGCAAAAAAAAAACGGGTGTTGCACATAGGGCAGCTTATGTTCACCCTTACACAACACTCTTTATCTTGTTAATGTCACCGTTTTCTCATAGTTGATAATGTTATGATATTTTGTTTATTTCAAGGACCCGAGGGTAATCGAGAGCACAGAGTAGCAGTAGCATCAGAAAATAGAGCAATTGGTATTGGGAAACAATCATTAGAAAATTCCAGTGAAGCTGATTACCTATGGAGAGCCTCCCCTCGAGCTCCTTTCCCAAAATCTAAATCTGAAACAGTCGGAAGTATAGGGTGGGGAGTTAAACAATTCACTGATCATACTATGGCTCTGACTGGTAGACAAGTGGTGGTAGGATATTTCTAATGTTCTAAGTGCCCTTGAATTGAAACAAAGATAAACATCATGGAACACTAGTGAATGAATATTGACATGGCAAATCGGCTATTTTGTGTTAAGACTTACCTTGTGTCTATACAACAGGATCCCTGGATATTATGACATATAAATCATTAAAACTAACTAATTATTAAAAATCGCATAGATATATCAACTGTAATAAACGGATAATAATGTAGTTTTAATATGTGGGATTACAGAGAGTAATGACACCGGGTAAATCCACTTACAAATTTTGGCCAATTTAAAAAAGACTTAGTATAACTTTAACATTACCAGGTCATTTTACCTTCAACACTATTTATTGTATTTCTAGCTAGGACAGTTCCGACAAGAATGTGAAAATAGAAATACACACAGATATCAAAACGCTTGGTAAGTAAAATTAAACGAATTCATATTATAGACTGAAAATACTATTTGTAATCCCCGGCGATATCAAGTCGTGAATAGCGTTGTTGAAAAGAAATCAGTTACTATCGACAAACAACAACTAGTCACCATTCAACAGAAGTCTCTGGCACTGATTTGATTTATGTTATATTTTTCCATGAGCAAACGAATTTCCATGTTTTTTCTAACAAAATAAACAACTATACAAATATAATATGCTTTATTAACAAATAATAGAGATCACCCTGCATATGAGTCGACAAGGTACTTCATGACACGTCTTTCCATGAAACATAATTATCCGACTGTTGTCGACCACACGTTAGGCGGTGGTCACACGTACATATACGACAGAATTGTGTACGTCAAACAATGCGAAACTGTGTACGATTCGCGAATAGGAGTGGTTACACATTCGTAAGTTTCCATACGTACATTCCGTGCGTCAGTCCGTATTTCAGAAGCGAGTACAAAAACCTTATTGCTGTATTTAAAATAACCAGATGCATAACAACCGTAAGACATTATTGATTTCACATTTTTCTCACAAAAACCTTTCGATAGTTTACAGCGTGAAATGGACGCCAAACAGAATATTTCCTTGCTTTTAATCTTTCAAATGGAAGATAATTTGAAAGAACTTAGTGACTTGGTTCAGATTTTTCTGGAATATTTTAATAATATATATATATATATATAATATATTATTAAAATATTCAAGAAAAATCTGATATACTGTTTATATATATAAACAACGAAGAATGGGGGTTCACCCAGCGCACTTCTTAAACAAAGAGGAACACTTTTCGTCATTTTACTAAAATTATAAGAGTAGGGTCTCATGATAAAGAGATGACATAGCACAAATCTGATCGGCTAAGAACTCCGGACAGGCCTAAACCAACGAAAAGGTCCTACTGAGCAAAAAAATGCTAAGTCGGGTCATCCTTTGAAAGGATCATGGGGCTATAGAGATGAAACGTTCATCGGATATTCTGCTAAAACGTCTTTTGAAATGAATGGAAAATATACGATCATTTCACAGCTCAGACCTACATAACGTCATAAGGCATGCCTATGTAGACTATAGATGAATACCATGTGTTTACTTGAGTGGGCATACGGGCCGGTATGCAGTCATTTAGGCACACATATTTTAAGCACAAGCCAATAATTAAACACATAACTTTAGGCACACTTTTTAAGCACGTGATCAGTTAGACACAGGTCATTTAGACACAGCGTTATTTAGACACAGCGTTATTTAGACACAATGACCTAAATGACCTGTTTGGAATTGACCACGTGCCTAAAGTAGCCTACTGTGTCTATCTGACTTGTGGTAAAATAGCCGTGCGTAAGTGGCAGTGAACCTACAGGGATGAAACATTGATTTCATGTCTACCTACTTTTCCATGTTCACGAGTACAAACAGCTGTCGGCTGTGGTAGGCCCTATGTACTCAAGGCGACCATGACATTGACATATTAGGGATTTAACGTATGTCAGATTTATCGCACGACAAAAAATGAAACAATCCTCATTTATTTTCTGACGGAAAATTTGACCTATACGATTTTTGTCGACGTACGTCTATGTTTGATCACACTGATGCAGTCCAATAGCTTTCATTTGATTATGTTACGTATTCAACTGACGGATAGAAAAACGGACACTTGACGTAGGCTATGTGACCTCCACCTTACTGAATCGTCACTGAAAATCCCCCAGTGTGTTTCGGTCGATAATACCTAGTTTGTGAAATGTGCATTATATATTTTTCAGGTATCCTGGACCAAACGATCAAATAGCACCAACATCTGATGCTGCAATGGTCATGAACACTTACAAAGCACAATGACCATCGACAGATATAAGCTGAAATGTGTGCTTGAGTATGAAAGATTTTGATATACATTGTAGTTGTAGTCGCTTACCAATATAGACAGACGTCGTTCACAACCGTAGCATTACACATATGTCTTATTAATAATGCCCCTATAAGCACCCCTTTATCGTTTCTAGTTAATAAATAATAATCACAGCAATATTTTGTATATCATAACCTTCGCATTTTAATTATTTTATTTCTATTCTTGCATTATTTATATAGCAAGTTATTGAAACTGTATCACACATGTTTTACGAATATAAAGACCTGCAGGTACCCCGTCAATATTATCCTTCTGGCAGCAAGCTGAAAACAAAGTAAAATCGTGGGAAATTTCGGGCGCCAATGCATAAACATTCACTCAATCCATAGCTTTGAATAAATAGCTCTTAGTAAAAGTATATCCACAGAATAGTGTGTTAACATAATATTTAGCCATGATAAACACATTCAAAGTAACATGGCAATATGTGATTAATAATCGTGGTAAAAGTAACTACTTGTTTTATATCAACAGAGTATACTTAAGGCTTTTTGCTTGTGCACCTGTCTCCTAAATCCTATATGCATAACCATGACAACTAATATGTGCACCATTTATATTAAATATGATAAACAAAGTGTCAAAATACCTTGTAAGGTAAGAAGTGATGCATAAAATTATTAATCTGTAGTAACATAAATCCATAGAGTTATAAATATATAATTCTATAATGAATAAATCTGAAAAAAGAACTTGCCAGACACAGTAACATACGCCCACTGGCGGCTGTTTTTAGTGTTTAATTGATCAACTAGAATACAAATTTTATTATGCATTTGTAACATTGGTTGTATTACTATCCTATCAATTATCAAATAGGATTAAAGGGATTGTAAAGTGGTTTTCACACTTTTGTATGTGTATTAGGGACACTGGTAGCATTGATTTATACATTCTTATTTTCAATCAGAAGTCTTGCAATGTCACTGAAACAAAGCGTTTTTATTACGCCACTGTCGCAGAATCTGCTTATATTATATAAGGCTTTGATGTCATAAAACGCCTAGTTTTGTTTAGTTTTAGTGGAATTGCCAGAATTGGAACGCCCAAAAAGGAAGTAAAAGGCGTCCCCGATACACATAAAAAGGCTAGAAAACCTCTTTACAATCCTCTTCATAGACAGTGTGAGTTCTGTACCTTACTTAAATAATAGCCCAACTTAATTAAATGAAATATGATCAACACAACTCACAGACTTATTAAAAGTTAAAGAGACAGATGTCGCATTGATTTGGACCTTGAACATATGTAAATAGCCTTCAGAACTAATAAAACTGTACGAAAATCGCATAATTCCCTCAAATGGACCTCCAACAAAAAATTTAACTTTTTATTCGGGCAGGGTGATTGAGTCTACTGTATACACATGACGTCATTGGCGGACTTAAAACGACGACTCGTTAAAAAAAACCTCGTCAAACATAAATAATTATGGATACACTTGGGTTTGAAGGCTCAAATATCGACTGTAACATTTTTACTAATCGGTTTAGCGGAAAAATGCACGTTTCTAAGACCAAGGTATGATTTACTTCCGGAAATGACCCAAGACTTCTCCTCTCTACAACCCCAGTACTTTCATGAGACTATGTTCTCATCACGAGGATATAGTCTTGAACATATTGATATTCTTATCCACTGATGTTAACATTATGACTTCCTCGAGATAAGATACACAAGGAAGCTCTCCTTTTATGTATTCTTGCCTTGCGCCAAAAGGACACGAATTAACAACAGCCTCAGCCAATTACAAAGATACCAGGCAAATGGACCAGACCATCTTTAGTCGCACTTGTAACTGATATATATAATCTATAAAGATTACTTCCAGCTGTGCGTTGACGAGGGGGACTGGAAGATAGACGCTTGAAAACGTGTCATTGAAAGTGAAAAAAGACTAGTTATTTTGTATGCGACATATTGCAGAGCGTTGATACAAGAATTGAAAAAAAAACGAATATATGTAACAGGTTAAACTGGTTGATACGAGTGAGCTGTGCGTCAAGAGAACTGGATGATAGTGGCTGATCATTTTCTAGGAATTACAAGTGAAAATAGACTTGTTATCGCATGCATATTGCAGAAGATTGGTACAAGAGAATTAGCTTAAAGAAAAATGATGGGAGGAAAGAAAACGGGACTGTTGCTTTGTATAATGTTATTGTGTTTACCACAGAATGTGGGAGGTAAATTTGATTAAATATTAATTTATCAAAATAGTTCTAAAATGAAATATTTCCACGGTAATGAGGACAGTACAGACAATAAAGTGGGCAGGACAAAGAGGCAGAACCCATTACTACATAACAACTACAACAGAGGGATAAAGAAAGAAAGATGAAAGAGGGGAAAGATTAAAAAGGTAATTAACAATGGGATTAGTGTAGCCAAATTTTGGAGATGTAAAGTCCGGTGTCTCTATTCAATTCAGGGAAACGGCGGTGGATTTCAAGGGCTTCACGGATTCTTCTTTGCTTGTTTTCGGGTAGGTTCTTGGATGTAAGGTGCTCTTTGGTGCGGACTGAAGTGTACACTGTAAATATTTTTTGTGGTATTTTTACCAGAAAACCTTGGCCAAGTCGTCTTGTAAATATACATTACTTATGTACTTTTACAAGCTATTGTAATATGCACACTACACGCTGCTTGTAAAATTACCATTGACTATAGATTTACAAGAACTTGTAAATATGGTTGGAAAATCGGCCTGTATACTTACAGATTAAATGTATAATTACAAGATGGCGTAAATTTATAATTAATACTTTTCTGTTAGATTTAACATGTCACATGTAAATTAATGACACTTTCCGGTCAAAAATTAAGCTATTTTCCTGTAAATTGATCAGACCTTTCTGTAATATTAACTTATTTCCAGGTAAAATTTAACATTGTGTTATGTTAATTAATAGCACCTCCCTGTAAAACTGTGACCCTTTTCTATGAAAAAATAATATGCTATCAGATAAAATTACTTTATTTCTTGTTAATTGTCTTGTATGTTTCAAATAAGATAACACAAATATCACAGGAAAAATAGATTTTTATTTTAACACTTGTGTAGACAATGAAATAAAATTAAAATGCTTTTCCTAGCATAATGTCTTACATTAAGATAAATCATACATGGCAATGGTGTATTGTATTTTATTTGTGAACTGGATAGGCAACTGGAATTACAGCTCTCCTCATTAAACATCACCCCACAACTATATAATTTTAACAATCTCTATAATTTTTGCTTACCTCAACAGCTTTGTCACAATTTTCATTTATTTACTAATGGTATTTTGTACAGCAAAGAGTTCAATTTTATGGTCCTCTCTGATTGGATACAAATATACTGAATTTAAGCCGAAAGTCAATGTTCAACTTATTAAAATTTTGTATTTCAAATTAGCTTGAAATACATATATGTATTTTTTTTTTTTAATTTTTATTAGAAATAAGTTAATCTGAACAAAACCAATACATCCCTCTAATGTATTAATGACAATACAATGACCTGCCTTAATAGATAAATTATTCTTGATTAACTGAGAAGATACCCTTAGATTAGAAACATCTAAGTTTTGACATACATAATTATATATTTCCAACGACCCTACATTATTTAGAGAAAAATCAGAAGAAACATCATTCCATAGAGACTTTTGACTGAATAAATTACCAGCTGTATAGTAAGTTTGTAAAAGCTGATGTTTTTCTGATAGTGTTTTAGTGACATTTTTAAAATTTTTTGTACTACGAATACAACGTTTGAAGTAAGAATGTTTAGATTCAAATCTCATAGTCCACACACGGATTAATGGGCCAAATTGCAACATTAAATGAGCATAATGATGTACATAATGATGTTTAGGTCGAAGAGAATTTTCTGGAAATAATCTACATCTTTCAGATATATAGTCATCAAGCAATTGGTGTAAATAGCAAATTTGGGTCAAAGACATTTTAGGTGCACAAATATACTCAGTAATTAACCTTAGCAATAAAATAGCATTCCAACAATCATCTTGTGGATCCTTTACATACCTTAAAATTATCAAAGGTAAAAGTCTTATAAGGGTCCATATTTGAACCGCATGTCCCCCAACATTGTCACACTTTTCCTTTATTGGAATAGGTTTGTTTTCCTAATCTGGACTCTTGTAAGCAAATGAAGATATTTGATAATTTAGAGTATGTACATCAAACCATTTCTTAACAGAAATTAAGTTTTTTAAATAAAGAGCCAAATCATACTTTATAACTCCTTCTAAGAGATCATGACCTAAGCATGGAGGTAATCCATTTGCAACATGGAAACCACATAAATCATTGAACAAACTGTTTAATTTTATTCCATTGTAATGGACCTCATTATCAGAAATAAAATTTATCGATTCATTGTAGTTTTGATTCGTCCTTTCAGAAGCAAAACGAATAGACAATGGTTTATCCTGATAGGAAGACTTTGTCATAAGACAGTACCTACAAGAGTATTGTTCATTGGAAAAATTTGTACAGAATCCTCCAATGAAGTGACTTCCCAAATTATCACCTAGTATACATGCAAGATTAGCTTTAATAAAATTCCCATTTACAGATACTCCAACTGATAGTTCCTTGATATCCCTAACTAATCGTTCAATAACAGTATTACCATTGTTAAAGTAGAGAAAATCCTTCTCGCCACATAATAACAATAATTGCAAAGGGTCTATTTTTGACCTATTACATGGGTATATATCCAATAATGTAAAATAAAATCCTAGTAATTTATATGTTTTCTTTGCTGATCCTAGAGGGTTGACAATTTCGAATGCATCCTGATAAATTACCAATTTTAAAGCATTTTTATTATCTTTAAAATAAGCATTATAGTGAAAGCTAAGTCCATCTGAAACATCTGTATAAATATATTTTTTTCTGCCTTTAGTGGATTGTTAATTTGGTCTGTTACACTTTTATCTTGAAGTAAACAATTTAGACTTTCTTTTAATGGTACATAATGATAAACACATTTTTTATTTTTGTCATCTAATCCTAAATACATTTCAACAGGTTTCACATATGAAAAATGCTTGGAAATTTGTATCGAATATTGCAGAATTTCCAGCTGTATTCCTTGAAAATTCATTGTGTTCAATTAGTTTTTGGACTTTTTTGACATCTTGTTCTATTCTTTTTTTCAAAATTTTGTTAGATGCACACTGTAAATCAGCTGTGTCAGAAACAATACTATCTAAAGTGGTAACAGGAACAAGATTAAACAGCTTCAAGTTTCATGTAAAACAATGCCAAAGATTGAGTAAACAACTTCTGGGAATCCAGCAATGATAATTCCAAATCTTCATCTTCATCAGAAGACTGAATGATATGATCCTCAGTATTATCTATGACATCAGCAAAATCATGAAAGATATTCTGTCTAAATGACTGTTTAAAAGCAGCATTTACACATTTATGTTTTCTTGAAATATGAGAGGTCAGAGAGGAATGTTTAGTGAAAATACTTTCACAGTGTAAATATGGACAAGGAATAGGCTGCTCAGAAGATATTTCTGATTTCAAATGTGATAATAATTCTTTCAACGCGTTAAATTTTCTTTCACAAACAAAGCAACAGACAGATTCTTTTTCAAAATCAGATGGAGATGGTTTCTGCAATAAATTTTTGTGGTCTCTTGTGATATGACATTTCAATGATACAAATTTGACAAAATTCCTCTTACAGAATTCATAACAACATGGAAAAAGGACATTTTTAACATTCTTGTGTAAACTATAATGACTCAAATAAGTCTTGACAGAGTTAAGTTTAGAACAGCAAAATCCACAAGTAAACTGATACATTCAAATGACTTAATAATCATGACTTTTAAACCTATTAAAGATAGCTTGACAGGCAAGGTAACATACGTTCACTTCTAGATATTAGAACTGAAAACAGCAAGAAAAACAATAAGCTTGTTCAATATTATCAGTCTTGATATTACTCATTACTCATTCATCATTACTTATCTGGGAAGCCAACAGTATTACTCTAGACGAAATTACTCCATTTTTTGTACATTTCTTCAGTCTTTTAGACCCTCTTACAGGATTGATGCCAATTAGAACCCTGAAATGAAAATGGTTTATAATTGGTCCTAGGTTTGATAACTACCATCTAAAGAAAATGATTTCTCCAGCCTTGCTGCCTCCAAAAATAAGGCCACTCAGGAGACTAATGCTTGAAAATTAAAGATACAAAAATGTGTTGTTTCTTCTATAAAATATGACACTTCCATCAGTCCTCTGTACAAAAGCTTGACATCAATGTATCAAAAACCAGGGAAATAAAACAGTAGTTGTGATTCTTACCTTTGTATGAATTCCAAAGTTTGTGCTGCATGAGAATGATATTCAAGGTTGAAAACATAATACAAGCCAAATAGTAGCATCACAGCATCATCTATTGAATTTAATGTGGCTCTTATCTTTCCTCCAAAAACAACATGAAAAAATAAGGGTCTGTATAAATCACCTGAAAAAAATAAAATCATAGAAAAATATATGTACTAGTATAAAGGGAAAGGGAACAATAAAACAATCACAGAGAGGAAACTTTTTAAATATTTAAACTGCAAAGCTATGTAGCTCGATATTAATTTAAGCTAGACCTGTTCTAGTTAAAAGAGAAAGAATGATTATACAAGGTATATCAAGCTAGATTCAGCTCTATAATTGGGCCTCTGAGCAATACTGAGACTAGAAAGAGAAAAATATAATCAAACAGTTGAAAACTTGAAAAAAAGGTTTCATATAGGATTAGGCCCACTTTAAGGCAATTACAATTACCAATTACAGCTATTATGGGGGCTCCCTCTTTGCGTTTTACATCTTCAACTTGCTTAGTATTAACACATGGCTGAAAAGATCATGACATTGCAAAGTAATTGTTATCTATAATATTATGTCCAGGTTAAACATAAACAGAATTCAAAGTATGAGAAATCTATCCAACAAATCTTTAGCCAACTATACATTTTCGATTATTTTGCATACAGTTCCTTGTCTGGTTATGTAGTTTAACAGTAATATTACCACCAACCTACCCTTTAGAGGTACATTGCAGGTACACTATGATTAATTATCTGTCATTGACTTTTAAAAGCAACTTTTATTGTCCATTATGATTATCATACTTATGTTATATTGACAATTAAGGCAATCCTATCCAATCCCAATTGATACTGAATTATGAATTTTTCGTTCTGAACATTAAAGGGATATTATCTCCCAAGACAATCTTTTTTAAGCAGATGGAGCCTATTCCAAGTTTTCCAACGCACCTGTCTTTTTAACAAACAAATAGGTTAACAACAAATTGATTTCACATTTGCGAACCTGTCATATAAAATCAAGTATCATGGTAATTTAATAGTATATTTAAGCAAAATGTCATCTCCAACTTTAAATTTAATTCATGGCTGACTTATTTGTCTCATAAAAAAGTCAGTGTGTTGGAAAGCTGAGAATGGGCTCTATGTAATGATAAATCTTACGACTAGTTGTATACTGCTATGATTAAGAACAGACATCAAATGTTATAAGCTTAATGTTCCCGTTCAAATTCTTAGTAAAAAAAAAAAGGCTACCTGAAAATATTCCACGAGCTGATCTTCCTTAAAATAAGATAATAAAAGCTTAATTAAAGCTACCATTTTGAAATGGTGGTTTGATTCTTTAACATTTAAATCCATTTCAGCAATCGCTTTTCTCAATGTTGGATTTTTTTCATTTCGAAGATAATGAATTACAGCCAATTTTTTCATATCTGCTTTCACATAATTTGACAGATCAAAGCCAGTAAGTTTCTTGAAATGATTTTCAAGATATTTAAGTTTATATAGAAATGGGAAACTATTGCTAACGTCCTCTGATGATGAGTTATTTATAAGGTTTCGTTGCAGTGGATACGTTTCTAACATATATTCCTCTATTACAGTGTGACATGTATCCGTCTTGGAAAATTCATTCTGCATATAAATCATTTTTTTTTCTGTGTTGCTGTTCTGACTCCTTATCCAAGTCTTCAGACCAAGTCGTTAAGCATCCATATTTAGAAGAAGGTACTGTAGTGGTGACTGTGGTTACATCAGCTTCACTGCCTGTACTTGGAGAAGTTGAAGAAGAAGAAGAACGATTTAAATTATGAATGCGGTCAAGAATGTTTCTCTTAAGACTACAATACCCTGTGTCTAACATTTTACCCATTATCACATCTCCAAGTGCCTCAGGTTATTTAGCAACCATTTTCCCAGCTATTTTGTCGATCTCAGATGATGTTGGTTTTTTGCAGCATTCTTGAATTGAAAAGGATAATGTTCGAACAGCCGCTCTTCGAATTTCCTCTGACGGACGCTGCTTTGCCTTGCAAGCATCAATGAAAGATTTTGGTAACATGTGCCAAGGGATCTCAAATTTATCTGCCCAAAAAAGATCTGCATCTTCAACTCTGAAGTACTGGAATTAGGTCTGCTCATTTGAAATGATTGAGGAATTTCAGGTGAAGATGTCAAGTCTGAAAGATAACATCAAATATTGTGGTTATAAAGGTAATGGAAATAAAAAGAAAGTTTGGGGGTGGGGGATAAATTAATGTCTCAACAATTTACTGTACGTTAAATTGCCAAATTTGACATGTTTTTACTTATTCAAGGGCAATAACTCCAAAACCAGATATCCGATTTGATCGAGATCTCATCAATATACATGCATACCAAGTTTCATCAACATCCAATCAAAAATCTGGGCTCTAAGGTGTTTACAAGCTAAATTTGACCTGTCAAGGGCAATAACTCCAAAACCATTTATCTCAACCTTGTAACCTTGTCTACAGTTTGTTGGAAACAGAATTTTGAATTTCGAATTTGAATTTTTTGAAAATTCAAAAGGCCACACCATGAGACCTTGACCTTCGATGACCTTGAAAATTTCACCGCAGGATGTTTTTGACCTCAGCTATCCACAGGTGTACTCATATTGGTTGAAAAATATTAACTTCCGGTTTAATAGCCATTCAAAAATTAACATTTTGGACAACTTTGGACGGCTGTATGACCTTTTCTAATAAACACAGAAAATTATTTTTTTCAATTTTGTAATTCCCTTTTGATTATCTTTTCAATGATATATGACAATAATCCATTAAAATATGTTTTAAAAATATTGGGTTTTTTTTTTCGACTGAGGGTTCTAACTTACAATGTAATTAACTCCTAGCAATATGGTTTTGTATATTCTGGATCTACTCAATTTTCTCTTTTCAACGATATGTGACATGGGTGGTTTAATACAAAATTGAATTTGTGAAAATAGGCATAAAAGTGTTAAATGTTTATAAAAAATGTGATAAAAATCTGTAGATTGTGGGGATTAAAATGATTGACAGGTGTTATAACAGGTTAGATAATATGATAGGAAAGCTATCCATATGAACTTTTGACATGCAGGTTAATCTGATTATGTAATCTTTTAACACTTTTGATACATTAACCGGTTCGAATTTTTTCTGTACCATTAATAGAACTCTATCTGCAAGATACACACAACAGTTTTGGTTATTGGAGTTAGTTAGGCTGAGGGAATAAAAGCAAACAGCGGGCTGTCTCTAGCAAACACTGACCGTGGAATCAGAATACAGAGCGGGATTCTAACCCACAGCACTTAATCGCCTTGCAGGCACCAATTCAACTGGCTTCCGACTGCGCTAATCCTTAGCAATAAAAAGAAAGTGGCAATTTTTTTCTTCTGCTAAGATTATTATAGGTCATAAATAAGTTAATCTAATTACACTATCTTTCAACTCTATAATAATTTACAGTTTTTTTTTTTTTAATTTTTTGCAAAATTTCCCCTTATGATAATAAAACATACACTTATTTAGAGCAGTGACTTTTGATACATTAACAAGTTCGAATTTTGTCTGTTTGTCTGTACCATTAATAGAACTCTATCTGCAAGATACATTATACAGCAATTTTTGGTTATTGGTGTTATGCTGAGGGGATGAAAGCAAACAACATTTATTGTCGTCTGTTAAGCTTATTATAGGTCATAAATAAATTAGTCAGACTACATAATCTTTTAGCTCTATAATAATTCACATGTTTTTTCGAGTTGTGCTATATTTTCACTTACAATATACAAACGCTCATTTAGAGCAGTGAACTTTCACTACATTTACCTGTTCGAACTTTCACTTTTGCAAAATGACGATGACAATACACCTCAAATTCCCGACATTTTATGTGACAAAGGTCAAAGTAGCAGAGTTCGCACTGAAACTAATATAAGCACTATTTCGAAAAGTGATGATATTCCCTTACTTAGATCCCTGAATGAAATACAGTCTCAGGTTTTTTTATGACGTTCGCCAGTATTGTCTGGACAACGTTAATGGTTTAAACCGCGATCCATTAAGAATCTTTGTTACTGGTTCAGCTGGTACCGGTAAATCTCACCTTATCAAATGTATTCAATACGAAGCGTCTCGAATTTTTGCGAAAACTGCGGAAAGTTTAGATGACATCACTGTTCTCTTAACCGCACCAACTAGGGTGAGTGCCTTTAATATTGGAGCGTCAACTATTCACAGCAGTTTTTCAATAAGAAAGGAGTTTTCATTTCCACCTTATCAACCATTGGGACAAGAAACTATTAATACATTAAGTTGTAAATATCGCAACCTACAAATATTAATTATAGATGAAATTTCAATGGTAGATCATAAGCTTTTTTGTTAAATTCATGGGCGATTAGGGTAAATAAAGGGTACCGATGAGTTATTTGGAAATATCTGTGTCATATATTTTGGAGATATGTGGCAACTAAGACCAGTTAAAGGTAATAGTTTATGTCATGAAAGTGTCATAGACCTATGGAACGGTAATTTTCGAACTTACTGAAATTATGAGACAAAAAGATGATTTAGCCCTTGCCCAAACATTGAATAGAATTAGACAAAGAAAAAAAAGTGAACCAGACGTCAAAATGTTACAGAGTAGGGTAACTGGTAAAGAAGATGATTGTCTGCACATATTTTCTACTAATCAGCAAGTTGATGATTATAATTCTAGAATGATTGATGAAAAATGTTAGAAAGATTATTAGTTGAATTACAAGAATCTGGTTCAGACTATGTTATTATGGGGGATTTCAACCAAAATATCTTGGAGGGTCACTTGTCAATACTAAATTGCTTTCAAAAATTTGGTTTTCAACAACTTGTTCAGCATTACACTACTGAAGGTGGGACACTTATAGATCATGTTTATATCAGTAAAGAAATTCCGTCACATAATGTTCACATTTCACACATACCTGTATATTATAGCTACCATGAAGCTATTAAAATAAGTTATATTGATACAAGATTGAATTTATCCTTTCACAAAACATTTCATTTAGCTTGGCTCTTTACTAAAAGTGGTCGAGTCAACACCGGGCTTGCGAGGATTTTAAGTTCAAAAAAGTCTTACAGCTATTAGGCAAAGTATCACGGGCCACGCTCAGTGCTGTTCACAGCTCTAGTTTTTTTTAATTTTAACTTTAATTTGTTAGCTGCTGTGAGCAGTGGATTATTATTAACGTGGCAGCCTTTGTAAGCTGTTCGTGGCAACTATCATTTACCTCTTGAGGCGGAAAGACGCATTTATGTTATATGCAGTAATAGCCACTAACAACTTCTTGATAGAATCAACTAAAATAGGCCAATCGGTTGAATTTTCCGTGTTTGTTTTTATGTCATGTAATTTGAGCTCATGTGACGTATATTATTTCCTGAGTAGATGTTATTGTTTGTGAACTGTATTTTAAGTTGGTTAAATGGTCGAAAGCTTGTCAATTCGTCCAATAATGACGTAGTAGGCCTACTCAGACATTCGATCCTCGTCCAACAATCAGACTTATTGACAAGCTTTCGACCATTAACCATTAACCTATTGTTACTAATAGAGCCCACTTGTCCCTCTCGCAGACCCTTCTTGACAATCTCTGCTTGGAGGTACCCAAAATATACACCAATACACCATCTTGAATTAACAACCATTTATTAACATAACAAAACTCTTAAGGTGTATTTTAGTCAGACCTCTTTCAGAGGAATTTTAAAAACTTTCCGGGCAAACGACAACTCACACTTCAAACGTAATTGGCATATCGCCAGTTAGACAGGAACTTTTTAAGTTTTAAGAAACTTTCTCGTATATTACATAGGCCTACTTCACAGTCATTGATATAAGTTGTCTTTTAGTTATCGAAACGTTCTACGCTATGTATATGTGCAATTCCTGAACAATACGCAAATTATACGTCCAGAATTGAAAAAAAAAACCTTATGTATGTAACAGGTTAAACTGGTTGATACGAGTGAGCTGTGCGTCAAGAGAACTGGATGATAGTGGCTGATCATTTTCTAGGAATTTAAAGTGAAAATAGACTTGTTTTGGCTGATCATTTTCTAGGAATTACAAGTGAAAATAGACTTGTTATCGCATGCATATCGCAGCAGATTGATACAAGAGAATTAGCACATAGAAAAATGATGGGAGGAAAGAAAACAGGACTGTTGTTTTGTATGGTGCTGTTGTGTTTTCCGCATAGTGTGGGAGGTAAATTTGATTAAATATTAATTTATCACAAATTGTTTTAAAAGGAAATAGTCCTATGACTATGACATGAACAAGGTAAAAAGGTTTTTTTTTAAATACGAATGCTTCACAGCCGAAAAATCAATGATGTAAGCTTACTGATGCTACAGAAATGCCATTGAGTTGCTAAAAATATACATACATCCACTTTTCAATAATTCTAGTTTCACTTTTGGAGACAAAAACATCTGTGTTTTAGGCCTAACACTTTACAAAAATTGTGATATCTTATATCCCATGGATTCCGAACTTCTAGCCTGTTACTCTGATATGATTTCCGAATCCAATTTTGGCACCATTTTCGAACGAATTGAAAGATTTATTACAAAAAACTATTGAGAGTCTTAGATTGTCTTTACGTTGGTGAAAATGTGGAAGAGTTATTTTTTGTAAACATGATTTTGTGAATTTTCTGTGAGTGAAGTGTGTCTATTTCAACTGTAAAATCAGTGAACCTAATATTTCTATGGAATCAAAGACATTCTTAGACCAATGGCATAAAGTTTAAATTTTTATTTTGAATATTTACGAAATGAGAGAAAAAATTCAATTCAAAGCTCAATGTAGTCAGACAGTAGCTTTCAACTCTGTTGCTTTTAAGCTTGCAATTTGTGAACCAGAAATTAAAACTTTTGGGTATCTGATAAATAAATCAATTATTAATACACTCCAGAAATGTTACCTCAATATTCTCAATTTGTAAAAAAATAATAAAACTAATTTATACCGCATCACAATAAACCTCTCAACAATTAAATTGACAATTATTTTACAGACAACTCTAACACATCATCAGAAATAACAATAAATTAAACTAGGTCACATTGTCTTAATTTAGGAACATCTTCTCCAAATGTCTTAACTAGTGACTTTTCTTGTAGTTTCACTTGAAATATAAGTTCTTTGACTACACAAGTTTCTATTTAACCCATTAGTATATCTGTTATCACTGACATAAGCAACAGCAGTTTGCAATAAAAATAGAATTTGTGTCACTTGTATCATGTTTGATGTGACACTTTGATCAGGTTGTTTTACACTATTAGAATTGTTACTTTTACTCTGAGATGCGCATATAACTTTATTGTGTCTTTCACCATTAAACATTTATAATCTTTGTTTACGAATAATATGCCCAGGCTTTAAATATAAAAAACACTTAGACTTTCACCTTAAAATAGATTTACGTGCAGACAAATCTGTTACTGTTAGTCAGTTTACTGGTAAATGTGGTTGTCAGCAAAATACTATCTCTTTGAAAATTGCTTTAATCATGAAATAAATACTTTAAAATAAAAAATAAAAAATCTCTATGTGTAGAGATTGATAAAGTTTGGTTTTCTTACAAGAAATGTTATATCATTCAAGTTTTATGCTAGTAATTTAACTTATTGTTTTACAGGCGGACCAATTACCTGGGCTTCCTGCATGGCGGTTGTTGGAGTTGGTGGTCTTGTGTTGGGAGCAGCAATTTTACCGCTTCTTGGTTTTACAAGCACTGGTATAGCTGCAGGATCATGGGCAGCCTGGATAATGTCCCTGTATGGTGGATCTGTACCAGCTGGAAGTTTGTTTGCCCTTCTTCAATCCACAGGAGCCGCTGGAATAAATTGGAGTGCATTTGGAGGAATTTCTGGTTTTTGTGCTGCTCTTACAGCTCCATTTCCATAAATTATAATTAGAAGTGCCTGCTGTTCTATTAATATATATATATATATATATATCTTATCTTATATAAATAAGAAAATATCAAAAATATAGATTATTTAAAAGAAATATTTGATATATGTGTATAGTTAATTAAGGCCCCTAAAAAAACCCTTAGAAACAGTCGTCATAACTCGGAAATGTAGCTTTAGATATTTCCAGTATATATCTGATATTTAACCATAAAGTTAATTTTATCAGATACAATATTAAAGGTATGCTACCTCTTAGGATTTCCAAAAATTGAAATTTTTGAACTTGACCAAAATTAGTCCTTGATCATCAGTGGATTTACCTGGTGTCATAAATATACAACAGAATACCTCTATAAACCAATACATCCATAAAACTAAGTAATTTTGAAACATGTTTAGAAGAGTGTTTCAATAATAATTTAGTTCAATGGATGTCGTATTATATAGATCTTCTATTCTTTAGTATGTTGTTCTGTTGACCAAGTTTGAGATTTTTTGTCCATTCTAAGAGGTAGTTTTCCTTAAGACAACAAGATTTATTTTGGTAGAAATTCAATGTACATATGAGTCACTAAAACTGAGGATAGTAATAAATTGATGCTGATTAATAAATAGCTTCTCTCAAAATATTTTATTAAGTTATTTACAGTTTGATTTGTTTTTAGCACAACAACAGAGTAAGACTGTTAGTAATGCAACTAATGATATTTACAAAATTGATGAAATGTGCATCACTGACAGCCTTATCCATAAGATATTACATAATCAAATAATTGAACAGCTTTGAATTTATCAAATGCAATTTTTGGAAATATTTTTTTCTTCAATAATAATGTACAAATGTTGTTTTTGTTTGATTGTTGTCTATGATTAAAAATATAAATAAATCTTATGCATAAGAGTTGTAGTTGTTTTATTTTTTTGCAATTCTAAATTTGAAAGTTTTTTGTTGGTACGTTATTAAAATGTTGTTTTCCACAAATGACAATGTGAATGTCTAACCCATACCACTTAAAGATGGGTTCCCCTATTATCATTCATAAAATGAAATTTTTTATATGAAATACCACTTTGTCTCACATGTCCAGAATTAATTGATAATTAATTGATAATACATTGTTATTTGCTTTCTTAACCCACTTCATATAATATGAATGAAACCATTTGCCCCCAAAGAAAAGTGGTTTGAACCCCCAATTGTACCACCACTTTATTTCTACCAAATCAAAAGATAGCTTGCTTGATGCGTATTTTGTAAGTTAATGGCAATAACTCAAAAACATTTCGTCGAAAATGCATCAAGTTAGAAGTTGTCAATTCCAATGATCACACCAAGTTTCATCAGAATCGGTTGAAAACTGTAGCGTCAATCCTGCTCACAAACTATTTTTAACAAATTTTGACGCATTTTAACAAAGTCAAGGGCAATAACTCAAAAACCGTTCATCGAAAATGCGTCAAATTAGAACTTGTCCGAGATCTTATCAATTCCAATGATCACACCAAGTTTCATCAGAATCGGTTGAAAACTGTAGCTTCAATCCTGCTCACGAACTATTTTTAACAAATTTTGACGCGTTTTTACAAAGTCAAGGGCAATAACTCAAAAAAAACGTTCATCTAAAATGCGTCAAGTTAGAACTTGTCCGAGATCTTATCAATTCCAATGATCACACCAAGTTTCATCAGAATCGGTTGAAAACTGTAGCGTCAATCCTGCTCACAAACTATTTTTAACAAATTTTGACGCATTTTAACAAAGTCAAGGGCAATAACTCAAAAACCGTTCATTGAAAATGTGTCAAATTAGAAATTGTCCGAGATCTTATCAATTCCAATGATCACACCAAGTTTCATCAGAATTGGTTGAAAACTTGAAAATCAATCCTGCTCACGAGCTATTTTTAACAAATTTCAAGGCATTCTAAGTCAAGGGCAATATCTCAAAACCCGTTCATCGAAAATATGTCAAATTCGAACTTGACCGAGATCTTATCAATCTAAAGCATCACACCAAGTTTTATCAATATCAGATAAAAACTGTAGTCTCTATAGTGCTCACAAGAAATGTTGACCGACAGACAGGGGCAACGACAATATACGCCCACATGTGGGCGTATAAAAACTGATTTTTACCCAAAATATGCCTCAGAATGCAACAAATCAATTCACTTTTTCTCAAACCTTCTTCAGAGAACGTTCAAAGATGCACCATGAGAGGCTTGCGACTATTACACCGAAACCGAGTAGCCAAATTTTGAAATCAGCCTCAACAGTTCCCAAATTGAGTCAGTCAGCCCCCTTTTTGCACCTCCAGACTCGGAAGGCTGGCGCCAGCACTGTCTCTGATACTCTGAAGTAACTGAACAGTCAGCAAAAATTTCCGCCAAATTAAATAGTTTCTTTTTGTAGTATGATGATTTACAATCCTTAAATTTAGTAATTCCTACTAATTTTTGCTCAATTTTTTAATTTCTGGCTGGGGTGGTTATTGGAGCTCGGGTTTCGGGTTTTTCGAAGATGATTTGTTGTTTGGTTTCATTAATATATAGGCCTACATGTGGAACTCGAGACAATCTTTATAAATGTAGTCTATAGAATAAGGAAAGGCGAATAATGTTAGAATTTATTGCTCAATAATAAGATATTATAATAATGATATAGTTATATGGTATATAAACAGTATGGTTGTATTATAATGTATAATATTATTTAGATAAGTCAGAAGATTAATATTGGATTAGGGGCTCCAGAAAGCTTGACTAGATGTCCTTATACTTTATAATTATATTTTTCTTCAAAATGATTATTTAGTTTCTTACAACTATTAAGATATGTTTTAATCTTTATAATTTCAATAACTTTCATATTTCTATAATTCAAAAGCTTAATTTTGACACAATAAGAGTTTTAATTTCCAAGATATAACATGAAAAATAAGATCAAAATTTAGACAATTTTAGTCTCATAAAATGTTTAGTATAGTATATGTCAAATGTAAATTACCATGAAAATATTAAAAACCAAACTTGATACTAGGCAATCAGAGTGTCTGATCTGCTTGGTTCAAACAAGTACAAGAAAGTAAACCTTACAATATATAGACCTAACATAAATAACCTACATAACAAGTTTAGGATTAGTAAAAAAGGTTACAAATGGGATTATCTTTAAATCACATTATATAACTATGGACAGATTCACAACCATTGAATGAGAAATATAAAGAATCATTTTAAATTCTTCAAGGTTTTAGCAAAAATAGCCTGATATGATTTAATCTTGGACGCTAGAGGTTTTTTAATTTAAAGTTTTAAAGGCACACACATAAGATGGATATTAAATATAGACTAATATTATTTCTCTGCATAGTGATTTTAATAGGATGCTGCAAGGATCTGTGCAGCCTATTTTACCCTGTATACTTGGCAAGGATTGTGTATAACTTTTCTTCTTTTCTTTAATCCAAACTTGTAACTACTATTTGTCACTAAATTTTCAGTACTTAACTATTTTGTATGCATCTTTTACCAAAGTAAGAAATTAGATGACTTTAAATTTCATAACAGATTCATTTGAATGTGACCAGGTTAAAATAGGCTGAGCAGTTCAGGTCAGGGAAATCCTATCAGGACATATTTTTCTTAGAGTAGATAGAGACCAGATATATCAAACGTAGAATATATAAATATATTAAATGATATGATTTTGGATATTGTAGACTTTTTACATAGAAAATTCAACCAAGATACAATACTATTTTTCTCAAATAAAATAATCTAATTGGTCAATAAGTAAATATCATCACCTAATGACCAATCAGGAATGCCTATTTACTATTTACCTTAATGTGAAATTTTATGAAAAAAAAAAAAGTACAAAACGCTTCTCGAAGATATCTTAACTACATTACCATTGTTCTTATTGATCATTTTAAATCAACCAATCAGTACACTTATAATAGTCCAATTATGATATCATTTAAATTTATGGAGAATTGACAGTAAAAACTGTGCTATTACAAGCAGTCTTTATGTGGTTAAGTTATGGTATCTTCAGCCAGTTTTGACAAACGAAACAATATAAATCTTGATATATACCATTATAAAATACTTGGGCAATAATTACAGTATACCATCATCTATTTACAGTAAAAATAATGGCTAAATAAATGAAAAATGGCTATAATACAGGAATAAAATAAGTTTAAAATCAAATATACAAAAATATATAACATAGCTTGAAACAATATTACTGGCAAACCTGTATATCCATTCACCTTATTGGATACCTTACTATTAATTATTACTCAAAACTTCACAATTTCTTAAATATTAGTCTCTCAAAATATTTTCTAACCCAGACTGATAAAGGTTTATATTCTTCTGTCACATTATTCATACAAATATGAATCCTATATTACGAGGCTGAAGTGAAATATAATAATCATTCATAAATACATAATAATTTGATTGCAAATTAAAACTACTAAAACTAAAGATACATAACTGAATAAATAAAAAAACAAAAAGCTCTGAGCTTGAACAAATTGGAACATTAGGAAGTTTCTGACGAATGTTTATGAGCAAAAATAATGACATAATTTACTTACATTATAATGATATTTACAAAGACTGACAATGAGTTAGGTTTCAGGTCAAATTTCAACAAATACTTGGCACATGCCTTAATCTGGCTAGAACATCTTAATGTAGCCACAAGTGCAAACTTTGTGTAATGCTTCTCATTCTGAATGTAGATGCAAACTCATGACCACCTGTTGTTGCATACACTTGACCCTTGACCTACATGGAATGAACATGATTTCTGAGTTCTGAACATGAACACAGTAAAGTACTATAATTTTCTACTCTTGACAACATTTTGTGTATAAAAATATACTATAGAACTTCTGAACTTTTAAAAAGTTAACAACTTACCTATTCTAACCATCTTGAAAAAAATGAAAATATATTGAAGTTTTTAATTGAACATTGAAATATTTCAAATTTTACAAATACAAATAGCTACTGATAATCACTAAAATTCTTTTCAAAATTCTATAATAAGTCTAGAATAGTTAGAATTTGCATTGGTATGCCTGCTTTTTGAGTTTGCTAAACTACCATATTAGGAAAATAAAATGATGCCCCCAAAAACAATTTATAAAAAAAATCATAAATTTTTCACTACACATATACAAACTACAGTATTATAAAATATGTAATAAATGATAGCACTATATATGTGTTTATATTCAGATTTAAAATATATTTACTTTACAAAATTATCTTTTATATATAAAATAATCTTATGCTTGTATTCCATCACAACTCTAAAGTCACATGGGAGATTTTAGCCCCTTTCATCTCAAATTCTTAAAACAAACCTTTCAATTAAAGAGTTTAGCAATTGAAAAAATGGGGCTAAAATACCCTGGAAAACAGTGACTTGACCTCAACAATATTTTAAGGGCAATATATGGCAAATATTCCACCCCTTATGTGGAGAGTTTCATTCTAATTTGTTCGAAATTTATTTCACTGGCCATTCATTTGAGATTCTATAGCACGCTGGGTAGAAGAAGATTTTGGTCTCTTTTTGATAGTGTCCTCACCTGCTTCTTTAGCAAAATACTTCATCTTATCTCTGAACGACATTCTATCAGCTTGTTTTTTGATTGGACCTTCAGTTGCTTTTTTGGCTTCAATGATTCGGTTTCGTGGATCACGATAAATTTCCTGTGCTCCTATAACACCTGGTGTTGATTCGGAAGCAAGATATGTGATATTTTTATTTTGAGGAGGTGTTTCGAAAACCTCGTTAGCACCTGGTTGAGAATTATAACTGTCTATAGCTGGGTTATAGTTATTTTCTGATGTTTGTGATGATCTATAAGATGATTGTGAGTTTAGAGGACTACGTTCATTATCACTGTAAACATTAGTCTCTAACTGAGTATTAAAAGATACAGATTTTTTCGGAACTGTTTGATCGGAACGTAATGCCGAGGAAGAACCGTCATAATTATAATCCTCTTCTCCTAAATTAGGTCTCTGAATATTCACAAAATCATATGAAGAATTCCTTGCTGGGGGAGGCGGGGCTTGATTTTCCTTGCCCACATTAGGTGGTAAATTAACATATTGTGAATATGGATCATTTTGACTTTGATTTTGCATATTCATGGAATCAATCCGGCGCCGTTCTTCTGAGACTTTGATATCTCGCTGTTGATGTAACCTCTGTTGCTGTTGTTGTAGTAATCGTTGTCGAGAAAACTCCTCTTCCCTCTGTCTGGCCTCAGCTCGTAATCTTTTCTCTTCTTCATCTCTTTGAGCCTGTATTTCTTGTAACCTTTCTCTTTCCTAAAATTTCATAAAATTTATATCTTTTGAAAAAAATTGGAAAAATGTAAGTGAATGTATTATTTGGCTTAAATCCATACAATAGTTTTGTTACACCTACTAAAAATGATTACAAAGTATAAAATGTTAAAAATTAACAGCTAAAAATTTTGAAATTAAACTGTCAGATACGTATAGGGGCATGTTTTCTCTCCAGTTTGGTTATAGTTTTCATAAATTTGAGTTAAAAAAAGCCCAAATAAAATGAAAATTTCGGACAGATGTGTCAGTAACATTATGACCACATAAAAAAAATGGCTCAGTTTAATTGACATTAGATTAAATCTTGCATGTTCAACAATCTTCATAGAGAATATGATAACCTACCATTAATCTACGTTTATTGAGCTCTTCTTCCCTCCTCAGTCTCATCCTCTCTTCTTCAGCTAATAATAACCTTTTCTGCTCCTCAAAATTCTGACGCTGTTTATCATGTAATTCCTACAGGGATACATAGTTATAATTTTACAATGACATCAAGAAAATGATTAAAGGTTAGAAATCAAGAACAAATTGTAATATTCTTTTATGTTGTTTAGAATAGGCTACTTATGACCTTTCATGCCATCAATTTAAAATCTTTAAAGATACTAAGAAGTTTAAAAAGAAGGATGAGTCTCATGTTTTCATACTTATACAATTCAAGATAACTCTTTCTTACCCTTTGTTTTTTCAACTGATCAGCATGTTCTCTTTGTTTTCTTTCCTGTCTTCTCTGAGTTTTTAATTTATATTCTTCTTTTTCTTTCTCAAACATTTCTAATCTTCTCTGTAACCTAAAATACATAAAAACAGTTATAGATCCAGTATGACAGTAAATAATGGAAGATTATTTTACTTTATATATTCACTGACCTCTCTTTCTACATCAATAATTATTTGAATGCTGTTAAGAAATTAAGTGACAACCGATGGAAAACAAAGATCAGGCCATGAAGAACAACATTTAAGGTGTTAACAAACCTGTCCATTCTATCTTTCTCTCTTTCTACCTCATCATGTAGTCTTCTTCTCTCAAGTTCTTCCATTCTCACTCTTGCCTTTACTAGATCTTCTTGCATCTGCTGTATCATTCTTTCTCGAGACTGAAATATTAATAAATGAAATTTCATATATAAAATCTAATTGTTTTCTATACATTTCTATCAAAACAATCATTAATTTACTACAATTGACCTTACATATAGACATACAGTGAAATACATAATTATATTATTTCAAAAACCAAAATATGTTAAGCAAAAGATATAATGGTAATATATTACTCTACTATTCACTTGATATATATGGTATGTAAATCATCAACAGATTAAAAATATATTCATATTACTCACAAATAATCTTTCAGCTGAATCATTGTCAGATTCATCATCGTAATCTCCCTTGTCCACAACTTCCTTAACTCTTCTCTGGAACTCTTCTTCTAATCGCAGCTTCCGTAACCTTTCCTGTTCTTGTGGATTCAAATAATTCTTCGATTCTAATGTATTTATTTCTTGTAGCCGTAATCTGGAAGCCAACTCTTCGTGTTGTTCTTCAGCTTTCTCTTTTTGTTCTCTGGTCCATGGTGAAGCAGCTGCATATTCAGGGTCTCCTAAACTTAAATGAGTCGCCTGCCCTTTCTGCCATGACTGCTGTTCTCTCTCTTGACCTGGTTTTTGAAAGTTCACAGATTTCTTTGGTTCATATTGTTCATAATCATTATGCTCATTGGGAAGCTGAGGAATTGGTGGTGCCTGCTGGTCTCCATTCATACCATTAAACTGTATATTCTGGTAGTTCGGATGGTTAACCTGGGAGACAGGTGGCATATTTGATTGATTGCGGAACCTGTCTTGATCTGTTTGTGGACCTCTTCTTGCATTCATATCATTTGAATAACCAATTGAGTTACCATGATTTCGTGGGTCTGTATCCTTCATTTGCTGCATAAGCCTCTTTTGTTCTTCTTGTAACTGTTGATCTACCATGAAGTCATTAGGATTGGGAGGTGGGGGAAGGGGAGGGGAGTCCTCATGGAAATTGTCAACAACAGGGGGTGGTGGAAGATCTGGAGGAGTCTCAGATGATGGAGGGGGTGGGAAATCATCGCGATATCCCTGTTGATCTCTTCCTGGGGAGAATTTCTGATTGTAACCAAACTGGTTTGGATCTTGTCTGGGGTCTTGAAGATTTCGGCGAGGATCTGCCTGACTGTATGGTGATTGATTCTGGTTAGCTTGACTGTTCGCTTGGCTGTATGGTGTTGCATGCTGTGGATTAGCCTGACTAAATGGAGGTTGGTGAGAGTTGGCCTGACTGTAAGTGGGCTGTGAACTTGCATGGCTGTAAGGAGGTTGCTGGGAATTTGGTTGGCTGAATGATGGTTGCTGTTGAGAGTTGGCTTGACTGTATGGAGAAGTTGGATTAGGCTGATTAAATGATGGTTGTTGAACTGTGTGTGTATTTGGACTTACACCAGGTCTTGAATTATGGTGATTGCCTTGTTGCTGCTGAAGTTTAGCTTCTGATCTATTGGGAGGGAGCAATGCTGGCTTAGCAGCTATAGCAGGTTTTGGAGCAACTCTTGGTTTTGGCTTATTGTCCATATCTAGTTGTCTGTGTTGATTGAATGAAGCTCTAAGATCAGGCTGTGATGGAGAAGTATTCTCATAAAGATTTGGTCTATCATGAGATAATCTAGATACATCCTGGGTGCTAACATAAGGTCTATTTTGGAAGTGGTTGGTATCTGGCTGTATATTACTGTAGGGTGGTGAGTTGTCTGGTTTACCAGGAGAGTAATCACCTCGATATCCCTGCTGGGGAGGACCACGATCATCATATTTATCTTGCCAATCTTGGATCTTGTTACTGGTTACCTCTACAGATTTAGGACGAGATGAGAAGTCATCTGGACGAATCTGATGATCAAAATAAGCAGATTGAGGACGAATGTTGTCTCTGTTACTTGATGATGAAGCTCTTGATGACATAGAGGATCTATCTGCTGGTCTCTGCTGGTTTGGATGAAGATATGGTTGAGATGGGTAAGGTCCCTGTGATTTAATAGGCATCACATTATGATTCATGTCTTGTAATCTTGGATCTCGACTCTTTTCTATGATTGGACGACCATTGGGAGCACTGCTGATATTCACTTGGTTCTCATAATCTGGCATCTTGTCACCATACTGATTACGGTGAGCAGGAGAATAGGCTCCTTGACCAGGAAGTACATTTACAGATGCTGCCGGTTTCATGGCATTATTTTCAAAATTTCTGTTATAGGCTTGATCTTGTAATAAGTTTGATGTCGATTTTGATCTAGGATCCATATCATGAGCATCACGTCGAAAGTTGGGATCTTGTGGTCTCTGTTGATGAGGTGAACTGGAATTTGGTCCCATCAATTGTTCCATAGCACCTGTAATGAAAAATGAAGTCATAAGAAATCTGATTAAAAAAAATTCTTGACAGAAGAAAACTTGATAAGTGTGCTGCATGTAATTATTCAGATTAACTAGGAAGCATGTGGTTCTCAGATGTCCTTGTCCATCATTGAAGTGTCTTGCTAATATGTCTTGCCCTTGATTCCTTAGTACAAGCACTCATAGTTATCTTGAAGACTTACTTCTTGGTTGAGGTTTCTGTGTTCTCTGTGTTGGTATTGGTTGTTGTTGTACAGGAGGTCGAGGGCTGGATTGGGATCTAGATATTTCCAGTCTTGGATCTCTATTTTCTGAATATGGAGGTGGGGCCTCATCTTGTATAGATCTCCTACCATTCATCATGTTTTCTCCTTTTGTTGGTGTCATAGCAGCTTGAAATATGAAAAATTAACTCTCATTGAATTGAAACATCATCTTTCTAACATTATAATCTTAGCATTTGTAAGAAATCTGGCTTTGCCATTTTAAGACATTTCAATTCCTATTTCCCTGATTTTGTCATTTACATCTCATACATATTTTCTTTAAGACTGTAATAGCATTATATCATTATATCTCTATTAAGTATAGAAAACATCCATAGAAGACTTCATTGATACTATTACTTTCTTCAAGGATACATTAGGTGACTGTCCAATGATTCAACCATTATCATATATTGTTTTAAAACCTTACCTCTGCCCAGAGTTGGTGAAGCTTGACTTAAGAATGTAGCTAGACCATGATATATAGCACCTTGTTTAGCTACTTTCAATGTTACTCTATCACCAGTTTCTCTCATCAATAGAGCAGCAGTATCTTGAGATACACCAACTAAACTACGACCATCAACTTCTAATAACTGATCACCAGTCTGTAATCTTCCATCCTACAAAATTTACAGAAATCAAACAATTTTTAGATTCAGATTAATCACACAAACATGAAGGCAATGTTTTTACTGTCATTGAAAATGGATTAAATCAATCTTTATATACGTCAAAATTTGTTATTCAAAAAATTCACAATCAATCAAATCAATCCATAATAGTCAACAGCTTTTATTCAGTCAGTCAAGCAATTCAAGTTAAATTCAGGAAATTTGATATCATAAGCTTAGACGTTTACAACTATTGCAATTATAGCCTACTTACCAAAGCTGCAGCACCATTAGGTACTACTGATTTAACATAAATTCCTCTTTCTCTTTGATTTTCACCCTACAAATAGATTCATTGAGTTCATTGATAACAGCATTCAATTATCAATACCTTGATTTTCAAAGTATAAAGACAAACTAATCAGTTGGTTGAACTAAAAGCTATGGAGAATATCTATCTATGCTATCTATAATCATATTATATTTTTTTCATCTGCTCTATCAATGGATTGGATTTTCAAGAATTTTGCTTACCACAGCAGCTACTATACTCAAGCCCATACTTCTATCAACTTTTTTAAAGGAAACAGTCTGTACTTCTGGTTCTCTTGGTAAATTCTGACCAGGAACTTGAGCCCCTGGTGATGGCATACCTTGGCTCTTAGGAGGTGTGCTCTGAAAGTAATGTAATAATTTTCATATATTCAGATGATCTAGTAAGTTATTACACAATCTTATTGGTCTCTGTTTTGTCAACAACTAAATACATAAATGGTGATTTTTGTATCATAATAAAAAATTGTAAATCAAAAAGCAAAATGTTAGAATGATATTAGGTATTCAAAGGAATTAAGTCTGTGATTTATGATTTACTTACCGAGAGTGATCTAGGTTCTCCCATATAAACAGTCCAACTACCACTAGAATTATTATTAGGTATCATGTGACATATACCTGCAATTGAATACAATCTATAGTAAATATCTTTATAATATTTCATTATTGCATACAGTTTAAGGATATAAATACAATATGTCAAAACTGTACATGAGAACTTGTGAAGAGACTTCTTAAGTTTCCTAGGTATATTTGTTGTTGATTGTCATCCTATTTAAATTCTGATAGTTGAAATGAAGCTTCATCATCATATATTTACATGTCTGTATCTATAACTTAATTGGAAGTTTATGTCCCACTTTTCTTCACTTTTCAATTGCACAAACTGAAATCATTAAATATCGCAATCTGTTCTGGACAATATTTAAACTACATCATGTCTCACCTGAATTAGACAGAGGTTTAATAAACTCCTGTAACCCATTAGGTATACCACGAATATTATCACACGAGTACCCATCTTCTGGTAATAAAAATGGTAGATGGAGATCCTGGTCTTCTTCTAACATAACATCTCGACCTTCTGATTTTGTGGACAGATCAGCCATACTCTCTGCTATCTCTACTAATTTCTTGATAAAGTTTGGTGATATGGGTGGTTCGTTAGGTTCAGGTATATACTGAGATAGTAAACACCGCAGTTGAACTGAGTTCAATTTAAAACATGTAGAACTAATATTAGTAATATCATCTGCTGTCATTTTAGGAGCTTGTAGTAGATGAGCAGCCTGGAAAATGTCAAATACGATATTAATACAGAATAATAAAAAAATGAAAGTAATCTACAAATGTTTTATAAGTATGCACCTCTTCTTCTGCCATTTAGTAAAGTTCTGTTAGAAATTAAGAGTAGGATCCCTGAGATCTTGACTTGGAAAAATATACTGGTTTCTTTCTCCCTGTGTATGAGAAACTTAAAATTAATGTGGTAGAAATTTAGGGTTCTTACTTGAATTATGCGACAAAGATGACAATCAGCAGCTAGTTCTAGTCCTTGTTTTTCAGCCCAGGCTTCAATCCTGCCCAATCTTCTCTTTAATCTGTTACCCCATTTAGCTGTACACATCTGTAACTGGGGCTCTGATACTATCATGTTAAACAGCCACATATTAATAAAGTGGAATAGCTGGGAAAATAACTGTATAGTTAAAGCAGCATTCACCCTACATCTCCTTAATAATGTCATAGCAGCTGATAATGTTGTTATTACATCTCCTAATGTTGGTCTATTAGGATTAAATCTCTGTTGTTCCATAGCTGAAAAAGAGAATAAACTTCCCTGAACCTTCCTTTTTATCCATGGACTTGACATCTTACTTTCCTGAATAAAAGACTAGAGCTTCAGTGAAAGAAATATCGATGAGCAGAAATAAATCTGTCTATTTTCTATTTATAACTCTGTCAGAATTTTTTCAAAATGTCCAGTCTACATAAATCAAACTCATTTACAATCAAAACAGACAGGTGAGCATTTCCATGAGAGCTTTTATACATATTGCAAACTGATTAACTTTAATTTTAAGAAATTAAAATTTAGGTTTCCCTTGTATAACACATACCTTCATCTTCAACTGAATCACTGGGATTTAAAAATGCTGTCATAACTTTCTGTAAATCACCTTGTAGACAACGTACTAGATGATGGAAGGCCATCTGTACAGCTTCAGCTAGCATCTCATGAGCTTCTGGACTATAATGACTTGTATCATGGTCCATTTTAAAGAAATGTAGTATTTCTGAGGCATTAGCCATCCAGAAGGCTAGAGCTGTAGGATCATTATGCTGGTCCTATAATTTACAATGAAATAAAATAAATGCTGAAAAAGTCAACATGGTAACATCATAAAGTCTTTGGATAAAATGTAACTGACATGGTGATTAATCTATTATTAAAATTTTCTCTTGTAAATTATACATCTCAATATACCAAAGTCCTTTAATATATTCATATCACTATTCTTTAATAATATGTAAGTGTGGTTACTTGCTCTTACATATAAATTTGAATATAAGCTCCCTTCAAATCAATTGTCCTGGAAGGTATGTTCTCAAGTATGTGAACACTATAGATAAGCACTAGCCCACTATAATAACAAATAAATTCTTTATTTTACCTGGGTCAGAATAAGGCCCAATTCACAAGTACCTGTTTAACATTCAGCCCATGGGAATGTCTTTAGAGAAATATTAGGGCAAGCTAATGGATTTTTTAAATCTATGTAACGACTTGAATTTTTCTTACCTGTATAGATCTCTGAACTAGCTTAGAAATTTTCTTGACAAATTCTGTAGTTCGTTGAGGACGTTGAAATTTCTGGCTCAGTAAATGTCTCATGGCCATGTATAACGCATAGGTAGAGGCCAATTTAAACTGAACAGCTCGACTATTAACATCTAATATAACAGCTGATAACAGTGCATCTTCAGCTGGTAATAAAATTAAATAGATTAAATAATTAGTAAATTAATGATGTGAAAATCTATGAATATCTGATCTCAAATTGACAAAAAATAAAAAATCTTCACATCATAAACCTACTATTACACTATAATATCACTCATTTGTTATATAGGACTCTGAATCATATTGCATTAACATTTTTATCAAATGAGGACACATTCAATATTAAAGTTGAGAAGAAAACACAAGGAGAATTTCGTTTTAAATGGCCACTCCACTTTGAAGCATCTGTTAGTTTAAATCAAGCTACAGAAAACTTAGTTCAATGAAGTTGCAATGAAAGAATTGTTAGATTTTGTAATTACTTTGAGGAGAAAAACTGAACATAATATAAATATTTACTTACCATCATCTCTAAAGTCTAATGATGCAGGTAGAATATCACCATTATCAATATGATTAATACCAGGTGATAATCCTTTAGGACTCTGACTAGCTGGTGACCTAAAGATATATTTTTATGGTTAACTACATAGGATAGTAGTACGTACATAACAAAATAGTTTGCTACTCCATATATCTTACTAAATTGATTCTAAAATTCCAGGGAATGATCTCAAAAAAGTGTAAATGGTAGACTGAAAATGATGTTTGAGGGCAATAATTTGACAAAATCACAGAATCTTTAAAAATCCTGATTACTGACCTTTGTAAATCATTCCAGTCAGGTTTTCTATGTAGATGATTAGGTGAGAGATTATTTACTGGTTCAGGATGATCAAAATTAGTTTCCTGTGGTCTCCCTGGACTATAGCCTGATGTATTCAGTGGACCATCTACCATATTATGACCATGAGGTAACTAGAATAAAAGAGAGAAAAAAAAATATTAAAAAGTTCTATTGATGAAAAGAAGAGATGTAACATCAAAAAAACTTCTAACTAGACTTAGCAAGGTAATAACATCTCACAGCTAGAGGTTTTTCATCATTTAACATCAATTTGAGTTCATATTCAACTGTTTAATAAAGCAAAATGTTTCAAAGACAAAGAGGGTTTATTTTCTTCATAACAATAGGTAACTGAAGAAAAGACAAAATATTTTGTGAATATTGTAGGCAAGTCAAATGTTGCCTTGAAATAAAACAACAGTTGTAAAAGGTAAAAGCAAACAGCCTAAAGCAAACAGAGCTTCAATAGATCTCCTGGTTTGTAACCTTGAGATACTTATACTAATATATAACACAGAAATATACCAATCAATATGGTTGCACCCACCTCATCAAATCTTGGATCATAAAATCTATACACATGATGTTTACCAAACTGTACAATCATACCATGTTTTAACATAGTCGTTTCAAATATTCTCTGATTTTCAACATAGGTCTCGGCATCTCGGCTTGTGGGGGTCACTGTTACTATACCTTCTGTATGAGCTACTACACAATGTCTTGGTTGAATATCATTGGATACCAGCTATAAAAGAAGAAATGAATGGAATGAAGACCAGTGACACAATAAGCAAAGATTTTAACATCCATCAGTACAAGAGGATGATTAAGATTTGATTTATTCACATCCTGAGCATGTCTTTTCCATATAAGACTCTTTCAAATAGCAAATGTATTACCTTTAGATTTTTAAAACAGGTATTTCATAAATTACAGAAATTACAAACTGAATATATACAATTAGAAGAGATTAAGGGATTTTTAAATGTTCAAGATAAAAAAATATAAAAAAATATGAGAAATAATTATTAATTAAGTGCTAACGAGGGTCTAACCTGTAGGTATTGGTTACTATTAGATAACGACCTCTCACTTCCTATTTCTGTAACATTTAATGGTAGATGATGTCTTTTACCTCGTCCATCTGAAAATAAATAGTACATAAACAGTTTTTGAACAGAAATATAAGGAAGCAAATGTTTTCAGATCATGCCACACAGTTATGTTAAAAAATGCCTCAAATCTATATGGCAAAGAAATAGAATTACGATAAAGTCTGATAACAGTCTTGTGTATAACAGACACACAATCACAATACTGAATACAAGAATACAATACATTGTATGCCTCGGAAATAAAATAAAGTCTTCTTCACAAAAGAGGTAAGTTTGATATGTCATACCTCTAGAGTTGAGTTCTTGTAAATAGGGTAGTCTATCTGTGGGTATCATAACATTGGGTTCCCTATTACTGTGTGATCTTAAATCATCATGTGACACTGCTCTCTTTTGTTTCTTTTTCATATTTGTTGGTTTTCTACGTAGTTGGAATATTATATGACCTACAAGAGTCATAATTAATAGCAAGAATATCAAATATACATACTTGTATATAAGTATAAATATACATATCTTAAATAAGACAAGAAAGAAACAATTAGTAATACTTATCCACTGATAGGACTACATAATTTACAATTCTTCCAAACCACTTTTACACAACAGAAAATGAAATTTAAATTTCTTAAATGAAATTAACATTATTCCTATAAAAAGTTGTTATCAAATTTGTTTTTTAAGCTAATAGAAAATAGTCATTCATTTTAAAAAGATCATCACTTTCTGTTACTGTTTGGTGAGATCACTTTCTTTAATTGTCCTGAATTCATATATTGAAAGTTCACCACCTATTTCAGAACCAGATGCAGTGGAAGGTTATATTTCATTATTGTTTATGACTATTCAGCTGGATTACTTGCTATAAAATTGTCAGGGCACTGTTTCTCCAAAAAATCTGAAGATAAGAATTGATTTTAAGTGTGAAATACCATAGATATTTTTGAGAAATGGGTCCAGACTTACCTTTATTTTTAGGATGTTGCATGACTATAGCTAGAGGACATTCAGTATCTTCTAGTAACCTCTCTTCTCCTACAGTACCACCATGATATTCTACACCACCAGGAGGCAGTAATACCTGTATAAACAGCAATTAATAAAGTAACAACAGATTGCTTAAATAAAAAAGCGTACTAACATTGTCATCAGAACAGAGGTCCTAACCTTCAACTGGAGGTATTAAAAGGGGGCAGACCACAGGAGGGATAACTGTGGGTTATCAGTGTCATAGGTGCAAGTCTCCTACGAAGGGTTTCCACAAATGAAAATTTTGACAATAAAACTGTTATGGGGAATGAAGTTTTTCTTAGAAATGAGGGGGTGGTACAAGGTAGGTACAAACTATTTTTCTGAGGTCAGGACATTAGACTATATTTATATGTTATTTAAATAAAGATTTGTTTTTGGCAACTACATAAGGCTGTTGCTCCATGAGTCTAACTGAATTCAAAACTTAATTATTTAGTTTCATCATAGGCTGTCAAACTTCAATAATACCAATTATAATTATTCTAATATTCAATGTTTATTAACACTGTTAAACAGTAAAATTAATTTCAAAACAACCATAATAGAGATATTGAATATAATAATGATATTGCTATGTAGATAATTATAAAACTAATATTATAATGCTATCAAGTGTTTATTTATTCTGTATAAGTGTTATCTTCTATCTTATAACTTATTATATTGATTTAACCTTTTAACATAACTACAGAAGTCAACAAAGGACAAACTCTTGCTTTAAATTACTTGGTTGGTCTAGGTAATGAGTAATTATTAATGCAATGCTACACAACTTTAACAATGGTTATTGTTTTGATACATTCTGTGGATCATATTTTGTTACATTGTTAAGGGCATATTTGCTATTCATGTACACAAAAAACACACGATCAAGTTTTAAGCTTCAAATGATCTAAGTCAAAAGTACAGATGACATTTTGATCATTATGTCTTGTTGGCAATTTTGAACTTTCCAGAAGTTTGTATAGATTTTAAAACTTAGAACTATCTGTTATTATAGTATGAAGGATGTCAACTTAATGTGATTTCAGCATGGTCATATTCGAAAAATTCAAAAAACCAACCTGGAACAAACAGTATATTTCAGGATCTTCATTAGGTAAACTATATTTCTCTAAAGCTTCTTTAACCACCATTTTACATGTATCACCAGTTGATAATAGTAATGTTTTATAAGGTACATCAGGTCTCACAGATTCACCATATATCTTTAATGTTCCACCTAGAATAGAAATTAATGTAGTCTGAGTATTCTAAAGCACACTTTAAATGCTTCTAGGTGAAAAAACATAAAATACATCTAACTCAAAGCTATAAAGTTAAAGCATTTGATGTAGACATCACACACTATCGGCAATCCACATACTTTTTTGGCAGGAAGCAAAGATTCACAGTTCCACTTAATGTCTAGAGTAGAATCAAAATTCAGCTAATAGAAACCTCAGAAAATCAAAGCATTAAATTAATCTGGAAACAGGCACCATGCTTCAAAAGTTAGAAGATAAAAAACATTTGCAAGAAAAAAAACAAATAAGTATCTTGTTATCTGAAGGTTTTTTTTCAATTTTGGCAGAATGAATACGCCTCTCATTCAAAGTTATTTTTATTAAGGTTACTTTCTCAGGTATAAGTGTTTCTACATAATTTTTTCTAAACGTATTTCTAAGAAATTCTCAAATTATTGCAGTTGGCATCAATAGTTGTCTGGTTATATAACTATCTTAGTCTAGAATTTTATAACAACAAATATTTTGGCATAGAATCTAGGTTATGACTAATACTTCATTATTCTAACTACTTACTTCAATCAGAATTTGAAAGCAGAAGAACTGATACATACTATACTAGTTATTCAGAGTTTGAAATTATCAGACAGGATACGATATTGCTCAATGCAAATAAACAATTTCTGAGATCTGGGCAGTTCATGCAAAATTAGCAAAATATTATTACTATTTGCAAAGTATTCAAAATTACTCTGAATATCACAAGTCAGATACTGCAATATCCCAATATATAGAATCATCATATCAAACATTTTATCTACAGAGTATGCAGTTTCAGTTGCTGATATGTTATGGAAACAAGAATCTTAAGATTGATTATTAGTTTTAATGATAAATTGTAATGATATTTGATGCTATGTCTATTTATATATCACTCTACAATTGATGTATTAAACAGTATTTTAACAGTGGTATTTCTATATAGCTCTACAATTGATGTATTGAGCAGTATTTTAACAGTGGTATTTCTATATAGCTCTACAATTGATGTATTGAGCAGTATTTTAACAGTGGTATTTCTATATAGCTCTACAATTGATGTATTGAGCAGTATTTTAACAGTGGTATTTCTATATCACTCTACAATTGATGTATTGAGCACTATTTTAACAGTGGTATTTCTATATCACTCTACAATTGATGTATTGAGCAGTATTTTAACAGTGGTATTTCTATATCACTCTACAATTGATGTATTGAGCAGTATTTTAACAGTGGTATTTCTATATCGCTCTACAATTGATGTATTGAGCAGTATTTTAACAGTGATATTTCTATATCGTTCTACAATTGATGTATTTTAACAGTGGTATTTCTATATCGCTCTACAATTGATGTATTGAGCAGTATTTTTACAGTGGTATTTCTATATCGCTCTACAATTGATGTATTGAGCAGTATTTTAACAGTGGTATTTCTATATCGCTCTACAATTGATGTATTGAGCAGTATTTTAACAGTGGTATTTCTATATTGCTCTACAATTGATGTATTGAGCAGTATTTTAACATTGAAAATATTCTGATTATTGTCTATTTAATAATGATGATTGGTCACATTGCAATGATAAAATATAAATGTTTTGCTGAGCTGTCAGTTGTTTGAACTAGAAAGATTCTGATTGAATTGATGTGAACTGAAACAATAAATTCCTATCTGACATGATATTTTAAGGAACAATGTATGAAGAAGGAATGTGTGTGTTTACAATACTAATAATGATAAGACATATTTTACCTACTAGACATTAAAGATAGATTCCCACAGAAAATATTTACATCAAATCTAATGTAGTAGGACAGCAGGATTCATTGATGGACATTTTTTCAAACCGATGTTGAAAATCAGATTAAATTTGTAAAGTAAACATTTAAATATTCCATTAGAGTGACACTAGGTGTCCTAAATAAAGAATAAACTCTCGTGTAGAGCATGAAATGTCACTTGCATTTTATAGAAGGACTTTGGAATCGGGATATCCATTTTTAACATTTATTTACATAAGAATGTACTGTTTATCTAATATATCAGCCTGCATTCTGTTAACAGTCTATAATCTCAAGAACCTGTGGTCAGGTGTGATTCCACACAATATTGATAGCAGACAGCATGGAATCTCTTGGAGACTGGAGAGTTACTTCATATGCACAGTTTGTGGTCAAGGTTATAAATCTAGTCAACTCTATAACACTTGAGTTCAATCAAGTTTATTTTAAGTGTATGGATTATAGAGATAATGAAAACAGAGATATATATTAACTGACTATTAATATGAATTAAACTGACAATGTGTATAAGAAATGTTGTTATTTAGAACATCCTAACTTTAAGATAATCATAAAACATTCAGCTTGATGTGGTCTTTTAATTTATAATAATAATGTCTAATCAGATTTCTATAAGTGAACTATTACTGAATTATCTTACAACCAGTTCAGGACTTATTCCCCAACCATCATTGACTGGTCTTATTGATCAAAGTCATCAATCTGTTGGCGAAACAGTTTAGCTTAGTATAGGTTTAATAACAAATGACACATTTGTCATAATAATCAATGAAAACTGCTGGAAATGTGATTTATCAATCAATGAAAAAAGCTATTTGTGTAGGGTTTACTATTGTCAGTTAAGAGAGCAAATCAATAAAGTATTATCTATCTGCAATCCATTCTGACCACAACATACAGGCAAATATGCTAAACAGGGTCTTATGTTTTCATACATGTCCTACATTCATAGCTCATTTGAAATTCTCAAAACATATCTGTCACATATTTTACAGAGTGTCAAACAGAAGGTCAAAGGTCAACATGTAAAGTATCAAAGAGCAATGTGGTCAATATGTTATCTTGTGTTATGGTCAGTTACTGTGGTCAGTTGAAACCATTATCTACAACACATGCACATAAACAATGCTAGCATGTTAAGATAAGGTCAAGTAAAACAACAATAGGGTCTGTTAACTGGCATTGACCAACATCTTGAAAATATATTCCTACCAATTCCAACTTTGATGGCAATCAATCCCCTTTTACTCTCCAGGTTCAAAAGTTCAACTTTATATTTGAATTGTCTTTAATATCAGGAATAAAGTGAGTAGAGAAGTTTTGGTGCATTGAAAAGATTAAATGTAGAAAACAACATAATATAGAGAGTACATGTATGTAAGCCTATATTCAAATGCATTCAAACATTTTCAATAAAATCCAGTTGAATTTTCTTCACTGTCAATAATATAGATAGTTTGAAGTCTCTTTCTATACGACCAGTGGATACAGAAGTATATTTAGCAAGACAATCATGTTTACCATAAAAAAAAGTCATAATTAAATCCATAATTTCTGTATTTATTTTTGTCCAATCATCTTAAAGCTAACAAATCAAAGACAGTGAATGCTTCAAGGAAAAAAAACAACTGCTTTTTTGAATCAAATCACTTAGATCAGTTCCTCTACCTTGATTATTAAATATCAAACTAGCTATTTAGACAATGAAGCACATGCGGTATTCTAACCTATTATAAATGTATCATGATTTTAATTTAAATTCTGTCTATCATCAGGAAGTTCTGTTTAAACAATACAGATGTTGAAAAAATTAAAATTATAAATAGTTTATACTAGTACTAGATTTCAGCCTAACAGTAACACAGAAGTTCAGTTCCTTAAAGATGAAGCTTTATGAATTTTTTGTAGTAATCCTATCAGAAACTGTATATAAACATATATTAGTGTGCTGAATTATTCTATACCCAGTAAACAAATCATTACATAGCAGTTTAAAAGTTTGTCTACTGAAAAAATCCCTTTCTTATACTGGCACAAATGTTGGACTGTCATATCTAAAGAAAAATGTGAGACAAGCTGTATTTTGTTTTCATTTTTTTGTGACCAGACAAGTAAATACTGAATAAACCAGAAAAAACTGTTTAGGGATCTCATATGTTCAAACCCTTGAGCACCCTTTTTTGTGTGTCAGCACCTCTGGCCTACTTTAGTGACAGGGAGACCTACATCAACTGAAAAATATGCCTAAGCTGGAATTGAACCCTGAACCTTAAATTAGCAACCCCCTTCTTCCTATATAAAAGTATATTCAAATAAAATTGAGTAGTTTAGATGTTCTAATTCTCTAAGTAATGTAACCCTCCATGGTTCTACATGGTTTGAATCACTCTGTCTTATCTGCCTGGTCCCAACAATTAACCACTGATAACCTAACTATTGTGTTCAGGGTCAGAGACAAGGAATGTCAGTTATTTTAACTCTATCTAGTAAAGTTTTAATTACAACCTAGACTCTTATATAATATAACAGAATGTGCTGTGTTAATTTTGGTTTCTGAGATATTTCCAGATTTCCTACTTTGTTCATGTCACAAAAAAGGAAAATTGAAATTTGTTCTGAAAGATGCAATGGCATTGTTTTTTGGAATATTTGTGACAAACCAATTTCTGCGTATTTTTTTCCATATTATATAATGTATAAGCTCGACCTATATGTTTGCAAAGACATACAAGTTGATGAGAATTTTAAGAAAGGTTCAACCGGTATTTAATATAAAGGTATACTTTAATATATACTATTATAAAACTATTCAGTATACCATTACATTGTGAGTTACAAGCCAACCAATATGGACTTATTCAAAAAATTATTCAACAATTCATAAATGCACTAATATATTTTTTTATGAATAACAATGTGTACTAAGTTTGTAACCTTTACAGATTAGCTTATAAGAAATAAATAACTTTGACTTTGTTCACATTTTTCTACTTTCTATTCAATTCTTGACAAGGTCTTTATTTTTGTAGTCATTCCTTAAGGTATTTATTGAGTGAGAACAAGAGTGTTATTGTAATTATATAGTAAAAGGTACAGGTAGTGTGACCCTAGCTTCAGTCAAGACATGTCCACAAGTCAACTTGCATACTTCAATCACTGGGTGTTACATTCATACATTCTCACACTTTTACTATTAAAGCTACTTTCACACTGACTTAATCCTTTCTATTGTAATTTAACCAAAATAGTTTGGTTGTATTATAAATGCAAACATTTTGCATATGTATACCGGTTTGAGCACACTTGTCTTAAATTGCATGAAAGATATAACATAAATTGAATGGCAAGGTCTAATAGATCATAGTTACATCATTTGTTACATCATTACATTTCCATACTTTAGCTATTAATTTCTGGCTAATCATTATCTGTGAGTTTAATTCAAATTATCTAAGACATTTTTTTTTTTGAATATCCTTATTAATACAACAGTATTATTCAGTTTGCATTATGGGAAGTTTAACATCTTTTTAAAACATGCAAACAGGCAGGAAATAATCTATTTGTTACCATAAAAAAAGATGCTTCCCTTCAATGATAAAGTCATTTCCTTGTCATTCAATAGTTAGATTATATTTAGTGTATACAGGTCTTTACTGATCTTAAAGGTTAACTGTTTACTTGTTATTTACTAATTTGTTCAAACTATTTTCTAATCCTGTTTGCTTAAAGATGATATACTTTTTAATGTTACTATCTGAATTCACTTATGCATCAATTTACTTGGCACTATATTTTGAAATATATCTATATAATAATCTAGAAGCAGAAAAGAATGCACGAATAAGTTGATATTTAGCTGAAGTAGAAATAGCATAACAATTTTTATTATACTTGACAACCCTGGACAGTTTTTGTGTATAAAGTTATCAAGTTTCACAAAAAGTTAGAGAAATCTCTTATTAAAATATCAAAATTTAATGCCTTTTCATCATAGCTTGAGTTTAAAATATAATATATGGAGCAATGCAATACTTCTAGCTTCAGAGTGTTTATATGATAATTATATCTACAAAAAATGGATTTCACTATGTGATTCTGTTCGTCCACTTGACATTCCTTTTAAAGAGTTCACATAGTTATAGCATTATCATTTATTATTTCATATCTTTCATTTCTAAAAACACCAGGTAGCCTACAGTATGGATGCTTTTTTAAACTTTTCGGATAGACGTGGGTTTCTTTAATGCTTCAAAGCTCAACCCCTTCCCCATCTAAAAGTTTTTCTGGTTTAGCTGAATGCTGACTGTTTACATAAATCAAAATATTGCCCTCAGAATTTAGACAAGAACCTGAAAGTCTGTATAAAATCAGAACATGCCATATTCTATGCCCTCAGGAGGTAAAATGCCAGGAGAGTTTTAGTAGAATACTAACACCATTATTAATAGGTAGACCATTAAACAAGACAGGTTCCTCTCAGTGATATATATAATTAATTATAAAAGGTTTATTGTTTGTTTGAAGGTTATTAAGGTGGGCCTACTGGTGTTTTCTTCATTTGAATTTTATTTGAGCATGATTTTAAACAAGATTGCTTATCTTGGATAAAACAATGAAATGTATAGTTTTTTATATATATTTTAATCTTAAAATTCCTGATAGAATAATTGTATGTCAGGTACTGATAAAAAATGCTGCCACTTCAATATTTTACAAACACTTAAAGATATTCAGAGATATACCAATTCAAGTAATATTTGGAGATACACCTCTATATTATAAATCTTTTCACAAATTAGTTACAATCTTGATAATATGCCTATATCAGCAAATCTTGAATTCCTACAGTGCCTGGAATTTAATCATCAAAGAACAACCTCTAGGACCCTTTTTATAATAAATAATCAAACTTACAAGTTGTTTCCACGGCATCAGATCTTCCTTCTTCAGCTCTCATTTGTTCCATTTTCTTCTCTAATTTCTGTTGTCTTCTTCGTCTCATCACAGCTTCAGGGTTTGATATACTCCTAGTAAAACTATTCTCTGGTAAATCATGATACAATTTCTCAGCAACACCAGTTTTTTCATCCTTCTTCTCTTTCTCTCTTTTCTTCTTTAATTCCTTCTTCTCTCTCTTTGATAAATTTCTTTTAAATCCTTGTGGTGCTCTTTCTATCTCTTGTCCTTGCTGAAATGAAAAGCGTAAAATATTTCATTTACAATGTCTGATAAAATTAATTCATACAGAAAGAGAAATTTGAATAGTGATGCCTCTGAAAAAAAAAAAATGTTTGGTCAAATAATTCTTCTTGATGTCCCATAAATTTTCCCATTGTTTTACAATATTAAACCAAATGATAGAGGCCATGTCTCAAGGTAAATTAGATACCAATATTATCAAATTTGTACTACTACAGCCTGAGATATGGTACTCAACTTGGGGAGCCCAAATTTTGGGGGCAAGCCTAAAGGCTGAAACCCCTCGTAGTGAGTTATTGCAACTATGTGATTAAATGGTCAAAATATGACAAGAAAATGAGATATTAGTGTCAGGACACTGTGTACACTTGACATGGAATGCACCTTGAATAACATGATGCATATTTGAATGCAGAAGGACAGTTTTAGGTTACAGAGTAATGAAACAAAGCATATATTTTGGGCCGTATAGAATCAAATTTTACATAAAGCGACAAAACTGTATGTAATGTTGAATTTGATAGAAACAGGTTATTTTGACAGATTAATCACAATAATATATGAGAACAATGTAGAAATATTGTCAACATTCAAATGACTAGCTGTTTAATATCAATAACATGCAGCATCTCATTTAAAATATTCACATGGTTAATAGTGTCAAAGGTTTCTAATATCACATATTTTCCTAGAACCCTAACTAACCTATTACACAAGGAAATAAAACAAGGTGAATAGAGCTGAACTAATTGTAATTGGACAACTTTCTTTATGGGCTATCATTCTGAGTACTTCAAGGAATTTCAAGTCTTCAAATCTTTGGCTATTACAACCAAGCCCAGATTTACAGTCACAAAGCATTACCACCTTAATTGTTCAAAAACATTCATTTACTATGAACCTAACCATCTTATTCAAGACTTTTGCTTCAAAGACATAGCTATTTACTGGATTGACAAATTGCTTTATACAACTGGAGGCATTTGAGTTTGACAAGACATGAAAGAGTATTTACAACTTAAATCTGTGAAAGAAAACCAAAATAAGTTTTGCATACTGCTTTTCTGGTGCTGATAGGGCTAATGCAAATCAGCAATGTAGTATGCAAAGGGGAAACTTTTCAGGGCAGCAAGAATATATCTCACGTACTGAAATAGTTCATATCTAATAAGCACAGTAATTAGCTCATTACCGAGCTTTTATCTCTTAATTTCAAACGACCTACGCATCAATGTGCACATATTGATTTAAATGAATAAAGACATGTTTAGTTTGAAAATAAAATGTTCATTGAAGTATATAACGACAAGATAAGCTCTGTTTTAAACCATGTTTTATAACAAATACTATTTTAATGCTCTCTATCTTTAGAGGTAAAAATATCCCAATGATACGCTTGACCTAGTCTATAAGTAGATCATTAATTTCATAACTAACATAGTTTTCAATCATCTCTGATTAATATAGCCTCCTTTACCCTACAGTCCAGTTTTACCATATAAGGAAGGATCATTATTGAATGAGACTAATATTAATCATATATAATAGTAGGCCTCCATACTGATTTTCACCATCTGGATATATGTATTTATTTTTTGTAAATTATCATTTCTGATAAAAAAAAAAAAATTATGCAATTTCCATTACTCATAATATTAATCATTGTTTTAACTCTTTAATCTGTTTCAATAAAATCTATAAATGTTAAGTCTTTTTCTATTATTTATATCTTTAGACATTTAAAATGATACAATCAACAATTATACTACAAAAGATTTTGAGCTAATTTCAATCTAATCCAAAAAATTGATAAAATTGACCAATCACATTGATACATAGAATGATTTCACTCAAACTATGTATTATCAATCATAGCTACATCTTTTATCTCTAGATGATAACAATTCTGACCAACACTCATCTAACAATTATAATCTATGGATACATAAACAAGACAATTATAAGTCTTGAACTGATTATAGACACACCTATATTTCAAGATGTAACAGATATAAATGTTCAATATTTTCCGGGAAGGGTCTGTCCATTCTATGTAAAAGAACAACTGTGAGGTCACATATTTAACATTAGGATCAAATGGCCCACAGTGAAAAATCTATAGCAATCCACAGTGCCAAGGTGGCAATTTTTAACTTGCTATTTGCAATTTTGAAAAAAAGGCAAACAAAAACTTCATTGGATATTAATTCAAAATGTTTGAGATTGTCACATGGTCACATGATTTTGGCAGTGTAAACCTTTTTATGTTCAAGGAAATTGTCAAGTGTGTGTACTATGATGAACCAGTGTGAGTTTGCCCCAACTGCCCTACCAATAACTCAATAAGTTTTCTTTTTCTAACATGCAGAGTAAATCTGATTTAAATTCATTAAATGTTGAAAACATAGCTGGAAATTTGGGGATTATCATTGATTAAATTTCTAATTAATAAGCAACATGATAATGGCATAATGAAAACATAGCTAGAAATGTTTGAATTCTCCTAGATTAAAGGTAAGTTTAGCCCTGGGGTGTATGTCTATAATCTGTATTATTATGGCTATTGAAGAGGGAAGGTTGAATGGGCATGACTAATTATAACTGAACACTTCATATTAACACCTACAGCTTAATTAGATAATTTTACATCATGGATTATAATCTTATTAACAAGTTAGAGGAATGCTACTTTATTAAATTGACCTTTGACCTGCTCACTTTGAAATATATCTCAAATGCACAATAGGGCCTACATGTCTTTTAATTTCCAGTGGAATCAGTAACTTCAGATTCTGCTAAAAACTTCTTTGAAGATGGGTATTAACACCCCCTCCCCCCCTCGCAAACTTAATGTTTAAGAGCATATCATAGGAACTAAACATTCATAAAAATGGAGAAAATTTTGTTGCTACGCTGATACAAGTTGGTATCTGCCAATCATATTTTGTTATTCTAATTTAAGACATCATCCTTACCCTTATTGTTGGTTCATCTTCATTTTTTAACAGAAATCTTCCCTCTCGAACATCTTTACCCCAGTTAAGTTGAACAAATAGGGGTTTTTCTTCAGGCAATAATCTTCGCTCCTCTACAATATTAAAAATGTCACACATTAAGATACAATTAAGCAAATTGTGATGCAGGGAAAAAAGTTATCTTGCAGCATTCCTCAGGAATGTAATGCACTAAAAACAAGTTATGACAGGATTCTGAACATAACTTAGAATATTTCATAGAAGTCATGATGCCATTTTACATCATAATCATAAACTCAATCAACTTTGAGGATTAAAGGGATAGTAAAGAGGTTTTTTTCTGCACCTCAGGGACACTGATAGCATCGATTTGTACTAATCCAATTGTTATCTGTTACCCTGCAGCTTTTGCAATAGTGATAATACAAATCGATGATATCAGTGTCCCTGTTACACAGAGTTCAGAAAACCTCCTTATAATCCCTTTTATATCTACCTAAATGATCCACAAAACCCAAGTGTTTGCTCTGATTTCCATATCCGAAACAAACTTAGAAATTTATCCCTCGATACTCCAAATTTCACAATGGTCACTGTGAATTTGTTACCAAATTTTCATTCCTTCTGGTAACTTTGATAGAAATGACCTACCTCCATTGACGTGAACTTCGTATAGAGCATAACGACTCTGTGTCAACATTCTCATATCGGGACGAAACTTTTCTATGAGAACATCGATTACTTCCCTTGTTGTAGCGGTACTCGAAACACGGATACATTTTGTTGAAACGTTAGCTCCACCACCTTGAAAGAAAAATCTGACTACACCATGAAACTCCAGTAGCTGTAAGAGAAAAAGGAAATGTGTTGAGTGTAGAGAATTATAATATCATGCAGGAAGAATTAAAGCAGGTGTACCATGTGTGAAAATGGTCATATAAAATAGATTCAAATTCAGACTACCCTCAAGAGTATTTACCCTTTAAACCCTAGCAGCCAGTTTACCGGCAACATATATACCCCATTGACAGTAAACAGGCCGTTACCAAGTGACGTCACACAACATTAACGTCATACGCTTTTACTTTTATTACTTGAGGTTCAAGATACATGATGTTTTTTTTCCATTTACACTTAGGGTTCAATGGGTTAACAAATACTTAAGTAACCTAAGGTGGCGAAAATGGTACCCACAAAAAGCCAAAGGTAGCTAAATATCAAGCTCTATCAATGATTAAACAAATATTTTTGAAGACTCCATCTTTAAGACAAAAATTTACTGTATAGTCTCAAGACAATTCATGATAGATGTGTTAGCAAGTTCTCAAAATAAGGCACTGGCCTGGCACATAAGAGATAGGCCTACAGGTACTGTTAGAGCCTGGTATTGAACACCAAATTGAGATTGATTATAAATGGCAGACTACCAATCAATAATCAATTAATAATCGAAATGAATCAATTGAGAAACCCTCTAAATACTAAATTAAGAACATGCCAAAATTCTTAATTTTATGGGTTATTTTTTCTTCATAGAAGTATATTCTTGCTTTGATCGTTTATTATAGTTTTTAGATGGTAAGTTATGTTTTGAAGGGAACCTATGTGGAAGAGATAACTACTTGTTAATAGGTACAGTGCTTAATTGAAATATAATCGATTATGGAATTTGATGATCGATAATCGAAATTATGAATTCCTAGAGACGATTATCAATATTTCGATCATTTTACCCAGCCCTAGGTACTGTATATGCCTCCTAACCCTCTCTTGTCTTAATCGAAATGGAATGTTAGAAAATGGAAATCTGGTAAATAATTTATCTATATATGACTGTAATTATTATTAGTGAGATCATCAAACATTACTGGAGTCATACAGTAGAATTGAAATAACACCCAATTTCATTTCAACACCAACAGTCAACCTGTGTCATTCATTACTATATTTTTAAATTTCTTGTAGATGGGCAATTTTATCTCACAATAATGCTTCAGGGCATACATTATTGTCAAATCAAATGCCAATTTTTACATGAAAGCATTTAATTTTGAAAGATTCTCTACTTGAAATTAAGACAAAAGCTGAAATTTAAAGTCAAGTGCTCAATACAATGGCAGTACACTTGACTCTATGAATAAAGTAATACATTAGAGAAGCAGTATAATATGTCACTTCTATATATTGATAATGAAAGGAAGCCATTTAAATACAAGATTCTGTGTTTACCAAATTTAAAATATATTCATTTAAATGCGAATGAAGATGAAAAGGGACATTCATCAGGTCTTTGTTTTTTTTTTCTATAAGATACCATTCTTAATAGATGATATAACTCTAAACGTATCATTATACTAAGATATAAGCTTAGTGAGAACCCGAGGACAGCTCAGCCATCCTAGTGTCAACAACAGGTGAATCATTCATGAAGAATTGCAATAATGAGGTCATCCATACAGGTGAAAATACTTTTATTTTCCATGTTCAAATTCAGAAATTTGCTCAATGATTAAATGATGCCTTTCAAGTTTTGTGCAATACCCAAAAACGATGTTATCCCCCTGTATTTAATTTCATATATCTGGCTTTTCAAGGTCGGCCATTTTGGTTTGTTGTTGACGCGCACGTAATTGTGTCACCTGGTCAAATATTTTCAACAGGTAGATACAACATAAATAATCCCGTCAAAGTGCAAAATCGTGTAAATCTATCACAAAATAAATGTATATTCCTTATTTTCAAAAATATTTGATGTCTATTCTCACCTCATTTGGCTGACTCAGTTCAAAAATATCGTAATGATCGGTATTCCATTGGTGGATTTGTTGACTCAACCTTTGTCGGTCTTCTTTGGTCGGACTTTTTACCTGGGCCATTCTACTCGTATATAATCCACAGTTATCTATCTAATATAATTCCACATTTACATCAGGAAAGTCATAATGTCTACACAAAGTACTAAAATGTATCACATTCGTATATTATCAATAACACGGTGTATACACGTCTAAAAATACTTCCAGCTTTTACTAAGTTGTGTTACAATTCCTCACCGACCTCCCATTTCAAACTGAAGTGCGCATGCGTGCTAGTTGATTGATATGCAAACAAGAAATCCCGCACCCATTTAAAATGTTTATAGCTAGCGACTCGGGCTGGGAAATTATTAGCAAGGCGGAGTATAGGTGTAAAATTTGGATAGAAAGCGATAATAAAATTATTGTGATTAGATTAAGGCTACCAACGGAAGTAGAGACCAAATTGAATAAAAGCTTTTTGTGTATTAAATCATTTAAAGAGAATAAATTTTCAGGTTGAGTAATTTGTGTTTGAAATATAATATCGTACAGGTAAATTTTACAGGTAATATATATTACAGGTAAACGCATATCTTTTCGTATATTAAAATGTAAGTGAAGCTTTATTGTAATGTAATGAGACATGCGAGATTTATTTTGTTAGATACTGTTTCCATATAATGGATTTCGAAATGCAAATCAAATGATGAAGAAGCTTTGTGACCCGTCACCCGTGCCCGTGATTTTTATAAATATCATGTTATAAAGACCGTGTAAAAATTTGAGCAGAGGCATATGAAACGGTATTCGTTGGGTTAAAGCGCAAAATTATTTTTGCATTATTACTTGAATTGTCATATAGATGTTTGATTATGGTGTAAATCCAGCGAACGTTAATAATGTATTGTTTCCTGGCCCTTCATCTCCCCTTTATTTATATTACCCATAAAACTTGTTAGCTGGTTGTAGCCTACTTCCGATAGATGGCTGTACTTCATATATGGTTGTACTAGAGTAAGCTGGTTGTACTAGAGTAAGCTGGTTGTGCTAGAGTTGGCTTGTTGTGCTAGGGTTAACTGTTTGAATCACGGATAACTGATTGTATATAGGGGTAGCCAGCTGGTACTAGGGCTTACTGGCTGTATTAGGGATAACTGATTGTATATAGGGGTAGCCAGCTGGTACTAGGGCTAACTGGCTATACTAGGAATAACTGATTGTATATAGGGGTAGCCAGTTGGTACTAGGGCTAACTGGCTGTACTAGAGATAACTGATTGTATATAGGGGTAGCCAGCTGGTACTAGGATTAACTGGCTGTATTAAGGATAACTGATTGTATATAGGGGTAGCCAGCTGGTACTAGGGCTTACTGGCTGTACTAGGAATAACTAATTGTATATAGGGGTAGCCAGCTGGTACTAGGGCTAACTGGCTATACTAGAGATAACTGATTGTATATAGGGGTAGCCAGCTGGTACTAGTGCTAACTGGCTGTATTAGAAATAACTGATTGTATATAGGGGTAGCCAGCTGGTACTAGGGCTAACTGGCTGTACTAGAGATAACTGATTGTATATAGGGGTAGCCAGCTGGTACTAGGATTAACTGGTTGTATTAAGGATAACTGATTGTATAAAGGGGTAGCCAGCTGGTACTAGGGCTAACTGGCTGTATTAGGGATAACTGATTGTATATAGGGGTAGCCAGCGGGTACTGGGGCTAACTGGCTGTACTAGAGATAACTGATTGTATATAAGTATAGCTAGCTGGTATTAGGGATAACTGATTGTATATAGGGGTAGGCAGCTGGTACTCTGTAATGTGAAGGGTCAGATTTCAGATGGTCTGAATTTTGAGCATTTATAGGGCTTTATTTTAACTTTATCCGACTATATGATTTGTACCGAGGTTTTCTGTTTGTAGCCAGGTTAACTGATTGTTTAGGTTACCTGACTCTACCGGATGTTCACCTTTCCCAATTCATTAATTTTGTACCAAGCCTCAATAGTCTTCTTTCCAATATTTTAAAAGGTAACATGAAGGATAGCATTAACTCACACAAATTGCTGTAGGTCGGTAGTGGAGAGCGTGCAGACTTGGGACAGTGGAGAAGTGGGACACTCTCTTTATTTTTATTATTATCATCCAATTAAAATCAATAAATTCAATTCTGCTGACCTTTCCAACCTCATTCCATATAGTCATATAAAAGAGCTCTGATAACCTGGAAAGTTTTTATCAATAAATCAGGTTTTCTTGAAGTCTAAAAGGTTTTTATTCTGTTAAGCAAAGTTTCCATCTGTGTCTATTGAAAAAAACCTATTTATGAAATAAATTTTATCCAAATGTTGACAATATATTCTTCCTGGAATGTGTAACTCCCTCAAGCCCCCATACCGGGAGCTGCGGTGGCTCAGTTAGTTAGACGCTTGCTCCCTAACTTGCTGAGGTCCTGGTAAGGTCCAGAGGCCAATCCCGGCATAGTTCGAGTTGATCCACGTTTTCCTCCTGACAGAAGTCGTTCGGACGTAAATAAACCAAGATCCCGTGTAGTTCAGGCTGTGTACGTTAAAGCTCCATCGACACTTGGAAATGGAAAAAGAGCGCCCTAATGCCCCTCATTGTACCCTGTATAGTGCAGATAAGTAGAAAGTAAAACTCTGATCATTTCATTTCTTTCTCAAGCGCCCCACCTTACCCCATCGACTTAGTTGCATTAAATCTTATATGTTTTTTATGATGAACTTATCTTATCATATTAAGATAAACAGAAGGATAAGATATGTGAGAAACAGTCATTTCGTTTGATTTCTGCTGTAACTTTTCATGAACATGTAATAATATACCACAGAACAGACACAGAATGATGTCTCAATTCACCCCGCTCTCTCCTTTTATTTAGATTCAGATTTATCGTTTTATTCTATACATTGCTAATAATTTAAAAGCCTTTTATTTTCTTAAATTTAGAAAGTGACTACATTAAAATACATTATCCTAAATATTCATACTTTAGTAGAGTTATCTCCCATTAGACAGGTAGGAATATACGAAAATACAGCTACTTTTGAATAAATTTTTAGCTGCTGAAGCCATTATATTAAAAAAAAAAGTTAACCGGATCAATGCGAGAGTACAGTAGAGATCCTTGATCATTCAAATCCCGAACTAATGACCAAGCCAGGTGTGCATCGAAGATTAAACGATTTCTGTCCAGTGCAATTCACCAACCACGAAAGCATCTTTATGTGTGTTTTACACGGCCATGATAGGCCTACTCAAAGTTAAACAAAATGCGCTTTCCGGCAAAACATCGTGAATTATTGAAGAAATATTACATATGAAATAGTGATCAAGGCATAACAAGCGTGGCTCAAAAACCAAGAGAATGCTTAAAGCTCAATGGAGGTATTTATAAAAGATTTATTAAAGGGACAGATGCGGCATTTCCAGAGTTAATTTGGACTTTGAATATATGTCAGAATTACTAAAACTGCACGAAAATCGCAGAATTCCTTCAAAAAGACCACCAACAAGAAATTTCAATTTCTATTTATTACATTCACAAGCTTATCTTCTCTCTGAAATTTGGGGTATCCGCAATTTGAACGTCATGTTGATATAGTCTCTGATACATATTCCGTCGCTGCTGTGCGTAGACGAAGTGGGATTGAGTCTACTGTATACACATGACGTCATCAACAGATATTCAAAATAAAAAGTCTCTTAAAATAACTTGGATACACTTGGATTTGATGGCTCAAATTTTGACTGTAATGAACATAGTTCACGTTGATATACTTCAAGAAATGACGCATCTGTTCCATTAATTTTACACTTATCTGAATGGATGCAACACTGGATTAATTTCTAACAAAATTACAAGAAATGTGCTGCAAGATTTGGATTTACTAGAAAATAACGCACCTAAACCATGCAAAGATTTATGTTATGTGCTCAGAAGACACCTATCGCATCTTAGTTTTGTTTTATGTCCGTTAAATTTGGTCTATTGATGAAGAGCAACACCGATCACAGATCGTTGATCACAGGTTAACGGCTTTCAATAACATACTGATGGATGTATGTATTTGACTGCTTGAGTTAACATCAAACCATGTATTATATAAGGTAGATACATTATGATAGATATACATGTATTGATTTTAAAGAAATGTTTTCTCTACTCAAGAATGTATTGACCTCTGTAGGTATACAGTAGTCCTGTCAATACAGTGACAATAACTCTTTCTAGAAAAATGAATATCTATCCTTTTCAGAGGCGCAATTCCCATAGGGACTTGTCCATCAAGGAGTCCCCCAACCCAGAAAAACATATTATCAAGGTCAAATTGACCAATTGTAGCTCTCGCCGGAAATTGATCGTATCAAGAAAAAAATGCTCGTTAGTTCTAGGCTTCAGTGATGCTTCATATTTTGAAATAGCGAGTTCCATTTAAACTTGTAAATAATTGAGCTGAAGCATTCTTTTTGAGACGGTTAATTTATCAAGATTGAAAAGACAGCTAGGAATGACATGTAACAAAATGACAGAACAATGATAATCTTATACATAAAAATTGATAGTGTTTATGCTGATTAATGATCAGGTATAGAATATTGATTTCCAATTTCCAACTATTTACATTGTTGAATAATCCAATTCATTGTCAATATTGTCATGTTTGAATGGCTCCAGAAGAAAACGGATATGAACTATGTCGATCTATTTACATGTTTAGATATGGATTCACTTCAATGTCTTTGTACTCTTGGTATTTGCTTAGTCAAGACGCTGAATGTCTAGAAGTACTTGCAGGAACAGTAATTCACTGAACGTTTTCAGTTTTAAAAAGTGTTTCTCTAATGATATTTTCAATTCCCGTTTTTAATTTCATTCATAAAATATTAGAATTTAGAGCCCATCATAAAAACATTACAATTTTTTTATTAAGAAGCCCATAAGGGCAATATAGGTCTATGGGTCATATTTAAAAAATAATATGTATTAAATGTAAGGGGAGAAAGAAGAGGGTAAAATAGATCTATGATTAGCCACTTAATTGTTTGTATTTTGATCGAAAAGAGAACACCCCCTCCCTATAAATATTAACAATGTATCAGTATGCAGATGTTACATTTGCCATGTGGGTTTAAAAGACTTCGATTCAAACTTAGTGTGTCTTTTGTAGTAGTTCATGTATGATAACTTCGAATTCCTGAAGGATTGATTAGTTTTGCTCGATGACTGATATTGTAAAAATATTATCTTCATTTTGAGAACTTAAAACATGATATGAAAGGGTGTGTTTGATGTTCTTTGTAAAATTGCTGAATGTGGACTGGTATTTATATCTTCGTTGTTTTATATTGAAAACAATGATCGTCCCCTGACGATTTGGTCTTTTTCATCATTATTTTTCTGCGTTCAATGGGTTTCTTTTCTTAAAGAAAAAAAACACCCGATAATTAAATAATTTATACACGAGATTCAAGTTACATTATCACAGTTGGCAAAGTTTCGGACAAAAATGTTACAACTCTTTAAAAAAGGAACTCACACTTAAAGCTAACCTGTCTTTTAATGAAATAAATGACTGAAAATGACCTTTCACACTGTTTTTTTTTTTCGTGCTTGCAAAAGCCATTTTCAAAAGCTAAAACAATCATTTAAGCAGCGGTTTTGTTGTCATATCACATTAGGCCGGGACGGAATCTCAAAATATACTGAAAATATTCAAAGCTGTTGAAGAAGATCATCGGATTATTCACAAAACATTCATACATGACAAATAATAGGAAATAGTAAAAATAATAAATTTAATGATGCTTGTGATTCAATGTAGCTTTAAGTCAAAAAACAATTAGCAAAGTGATTCCAAAATACAAGTTAAAAAATGCAGTCTCTTGAACATTCTCACAATCCAAATTACTTCAATCCATTCCTTACATTCACGAATAATGAAAATTTTACTTGTCCTACTTGTGGAGATACTCTCACTTTGTTACTGGAATACCATTGTTTCCGTACAGTGGTGACATTGCCGATATCGTTAACACTAAACACGGAGATACCAGAAAGAAATAACCAAAATTATTCCTGTAACTTCAGTGTACAGGTGTATCGACGTGGTACTCTCCAAGAACATTACTGTCAGCTAGGTGACCACTAAGTCACTGCAATAACATTACTGATGGCTTAGTAACCACCAAGTCGCTGCAACAACATTACTGAGAGCAAGAAATAACATTACTGAGGGCTTAGTAACCACTAAGTCGCAGCAACAAAATTACTGAAGGCTAAGTGGTCACGAAATAACATTACTGAGGGCTTAGTAACAACTAAGTCGCTGCAACAAAATTACTGAGGGCTATGTGGTCAAGAAATAACATTACTGAGGGCTTAGTAACAACTAAGTCGCTGCAACAAAATTACTGAGGGTTAAGTGGTCACGAAATAACATTACTGAGGGCTTAGTAACAACTAAGTCGCTGCAACAAAATTACTGAGGGCTATGTGGTCAAGAAATAACATTACTGAGGGCTTAGTAACAACTAAGTCGCTGCAACAAAATTACTGAGGGTTAAGTGGTCACGAAATAACATTACTGAGGGCTTAGTAACAACTAAGTCGCTGCAACAAAATTGCTGAGGGCTAAGTGGTCAAGAAATAACATTACTGAGGGCTTAGTAACCACTAAGTCGCTGCAACAAAATTACTGAGGGTTAAGTGGTCACAAAATAACATTACTGAGGGCTTAGTAACAACTAACATTACATCCAAGTAGTCTCTCGTCGCTGCCACTGACCAAATTCTCTAATTTGATTTGCATTAACGATGTGAACAACATGAACTCATCGTGTTTTAACCGGAATACAATGATATAACCACACTATAGGCTAATTAGATATACGACATGTCTTCTTCCTTGTCAGGTATTTTCTCTTCTGGATCATTTTCATTATAATTCAAAACACTTATTACATTACCATTGGACGCTCGGTTCTTGGTATTGAAAGACCCGTTTGATTTCTCTTTTGGAATTTTTCCGTTTGAAATATTTCCGTTAGATGTTTTGGTTGGAACTATTCCATTCGGTTTTCTATTGGACATACCATTAGACAACATTCCGCTTCGTTTAGTTGTGATAAAACTATTTTCAGAAGTTGCAACTATTGTCTCATCATCATCGTCATCGTCATCGTCATCGTCATCGTCATCTTCGGACTTCTTTTCAGGATCATTAGAACGTCCACACAGCACAATAAGACGGTACGTCAAAAGCATGACCACTAACATATTTTTACAAGTAAAGAAAAGGATATTATAGGTAATGAGATTATGGTTTATCAATGTAAATAAACGCACACACAGGAAAGGGCCATCTTGCATGAGGAAGGTCACCATTAAACTCCACACTTCGGTCGTTAGACACATTATCAAATAATCCTTCTTCTTCTTCTTTACATTTACAGTATCTGTTACTGGACGGATCGCCACTCGAGCTTTCTTTGGATTTTTAGTCGCTGTTAACACCAAGCAAAATTGCAGTAGACTGATTGTCCAGGCTACCAAGATAACGTAAACTAATCCTTTATCTCTCCGTACCTTTTCTTCGTCAAATAAGACAAACAGTTCCATAATATCTGATGCCATACCAATATACACAAACAATAACTGGGAGAGCTGATCTCTGGTGATTTCACCGCGAGGTAGAATCCATCGACATAATATCAGTAGGAACAATAGAGACTGTTCTATGACTGATACCCAAACATCAGCGCCCAGTTTTATAGGTATAGTTACCTAGAATAGAGAAAACCAAGATAATATAAAATCAGGCGATACGCAGTCTGTTTATATAACTATATCATAATTCGAAAAAAAATTATTGCTGATATTGTTAATTATTGCAAATTTGTAGTTTAAACACCATTGAAACATCGTATCATTCCTTATCATGTCCCCCAAACATTTCTTTAATTATATGATGCTTCTCTTTGTATTCGAAGTTTTGGCGCATATTATCCGTCGGTCAGTTAACATTTATCTCTTGCTAAAATTGTGGGTTTCTCTTTTTATTTTTAGTTTTTGGGCTTGCACTGATGATGCACATCAAATTTTGTGATGATAGGATGATTTTGCACTGATTTGTCAGCATGGGACATAAAAAAGCTCATAATTTCTTCTGGGCTGCCAAAGAATTTCAGAATGAAGTAATATAAACCTACCCCTTGAACTGATGATAAGGATTCTTGTGTTGCAGTTAAGTTGGCATTTTGGTACACTTCATCATATCGACTTAACCTATCTAATTCCAAAATCCATATTGATGGCACTGTACTTAGTAGGTAGAAGAAAAAACATGGACAGACCCTGTAAATACAAGTAAAATTGTTTAAAATCAGTGAGCTGACAGATTCACCATTATAGCTATTTTCAGGAAACACATTGAAAGGACTTTTACTATATCTTACAAATAATATCCTCTCAATGAGTGTCGCAAACATGATGGTGCTCTGAAATATCAATATCACCTGTTTCCCAAACATTATTTATATTCTTTTAATAATTGCATGTATATATAAAACATATACAAAAGAAATAAAATACCATGAACCATGAAACATATTTATTGTTTTATCATATCATATCATATCATATCATATCATATCATATCATATCATATCATATCATATCATATAATGTCATATCATATCACATTATATCATATCATATCATATCATATCATATCTCACCTCACCTCACCTCACCTCACCTCACCTCACCTCACCTCACCTCACCTCACCTCACCTCACCTCACCTCACCTCACCTCACCTCACCTCACCTCACCTCACCTCACCTCACCTCACCTCACCTCACCTCACATATTATATTATATTATATTATATTATATTATATTATATTATATTATATTATATTATACTATATTATTATATTATATTATATTATATTATATTATATTATATTATATTATATTATATTATATTATATTATATTATATTATATCATTTTATATTATTATCACATCACATCACATCACATCATATATTATATTTTTATTTTATTTCATCTCATTCTATTTTATTTTATTTTACTATTATTTTTTATTCTATATATTTATTTTGTATGGTCCATTATACTTGATTGGTTATTATAATTTTAGTTTCTTACTCTCTATTCCGAATGTTTACCCCACCTGGTCAAGCATGAAATTTGACGCATTAGCTGGAAATAATAGTTAACAACCACTCATAAATAAAACAATGGATTATTTCTATTTCGTTGGGCACCGCCCGCTTTACATTAGTTTTATACCACTCTGTTATGTTTCATATTGATGGCTACTAATAATAAGGCACTAATCAAGCACAACGTCTAAAATCAAACAATGATCGGGTACTTGAAAGTATGAATTAAATATTAGGATATGGAGTGGCATTTAATAGACAATAATAGGGATAGTGATATTTTGTCTTCGTGTAGATGCTTGCTTTTTATCGTCTTAACAGAGCGACTTTCATAATTACAAATTCAAGAGACTCATACCGATAGACTTTCAAAACAACAAATTAAAAATAGCGGTAGAGATAATCTCATAAAAACAAATTTAAATAGACTATCAAAATCATAAATTAAAAACTCGATTTACAAACAGAAAATGTTACAGTTTCGATTTACAAACAATACACATTACGATTATGTCGATTAATAAGTAAATGTTTCAATTGTCCTGATTTACAAACAGAAAATTGTACGATTGTTGTGATTTACAAACAGTAAATGTTGCAATTTTTGCGATTTACAAACAGAAGATAGTACGACTGTTTGGATGTATAAACGGAAAATGTTACTCTTGTCTCAATTAACAGACAGTAAATGTTTCATTTGTCCTGATTTACAAACAGAAAATAATATTTCGATTTATAAACAGAAAATATTAGTATTGTAAAAAACAAAGTTAACCCCGCATGCCTGTGCCTGCGCTTTCGTAACATTACTTAACCGCAATGTTACAACCTAAAATTCCTACCATATATGTCGGTGAACTTTCATTTCATTCCTGTCTTTGAAGTAATTTTATCAATATTTTAAATATTCAACTTATTTCCAACACTTACCATCTTCCCTCATTGGCATTGGAAAAAGCAACTCTGAATATTAACTCAGCTAACTGTAATACTACTAATCCTAATAAAAACCAGTATTCTTCAATTGTCGAAGTACTGACGACTCGCCATAAAGCAATATAGGTATGGAATATGAATATCAAACGCACCAATATTGCCCAACATATCGACACTAAAAATGACACACATTCTTTAAGTGCTAATATAACATCCTTTTTCCACGACATTGGACCCTTTCACTTAATTACAACACAAAATCATACAAATTATACTAAAATTTACGAAAGAAGGACCTATATCCAAAACAAAATCCATATTCCAATCTGTTAGTATTAAACTTAAATTTCAATTCCTTGAATGATCAAAAGGTTAAATATAGCACTGTTTTTATGAGGACTTTCTCTTTAACACTATCCACGATGAGTCTAATTTGCTCTCGTATAACACCATAACATGAATGTTGTCGTTTCAGGTGCTGTTTAACTAATAATGTTTAAAACAACACTAGTATCTTCGAGACTATCATATATTGAGTATGACTGCCACATGACAAATGAACAATTAAAACTGGTGTCTCTAGATAGAGAGTTGATGATTTCTAATGAATGATTTATTGACACAATATTGATGTATCTATGGATGAGATTGTTTTAAACAGTCTGTAGACAAATAGAACCAGTCATGTTTAGATATTGATAGATATATTAAATAGATGTCATACATGCAGTGGTAGTGCCAGGTTTACGTCCGAGGGGGGGTGGGGAGGTGCTGGGAAATATCTAGGATTGCCCGAATTTCTAACCTAGTTATGGGATTTTTGCCCGAAAAACTTGGGGAAAGGGGGGCGGCTGACCCCTCTGCCCCCCATTTGGCTCCGCCACTACATCCATGCCTGATATTCCATTGAACATTTATTTCATGGTCGACATCATGCTTATAAATAGATTTGAAAGGTAAAAAATAAGTTCCCGTTTGTATTTTTAACTTTTAACAAATTTCTTTGAAAGGGAAAATTCTCCCAAACTGACAAATAATTTGAATTATTCGATTTGATCCTATTTGTTTTCCAGTCATCAAAGAAATTGAATCTCAAACTGAGTTTTATCATTAAAATACGGATTTTCGAGAACGAGGCCCCAGAATGTCAACCGCCAAAATGGTAAGTTATTCTTACAACTACTTTACCCAAACTGACGGGAAGTTACTACGATATTTTCTTTCTGGAATATGATAGACACAGAAACCATTCTTAACTATTAAATGGTTAATTTAACTTTTTTTTTTATCGATTTATCATTAAATTCTTTAGTGTGGAAATCGATGTAAAAAGTTAATAAATTTGATCAAATATTTATTAAACTTAAAGTCTTTGTTACCATCTTTCATTCCGATCATTTTACAACCAAAACCAGACAGTGTCGACTTGAAAGGAAATAATATTAATTATATTTTTTAACACGTAATCATCATTTTTGATTAATTATATTAAATTTATTATAATGCTGAAATATATTATGTTTTGACCATCCAATATAAGAATTAATACAGTAACAATTTAAGTTTAATTGTTTTGAAATAGTTTTTATTCACTGTATGTAATTCCATAAGTCAATTTAAAATCTTCGTTTGTTCCCTATAATACATGGTATTAATTTACTGTTGAATGTAATTTTGCATCAATGCCCCATGTTTTTTTATCATTTTAATCGATTTTCAAACCTTAAATACGTTGTCAGTTCAAATCTCAGTTATATTGCCTTAAGTCACCCTTAAACATTTTGTCATTCGACTTAGTAAGTGGAATTTTGAGGAGAATGAAGCTACTTCTGGACTTAAAAGGCAACGGTTTTGCAGTGTTTTTTTTTATCATATTTTTCGATTGAGTTTATCGATATAAACTGCCTTTTCTGAATATCGGTCATCTTTGCAATCTTTATTGAGTATGAAGAATATTGTATTCAACTTCAACAGAATAGTCTTCATATTTAACCAGTAAACTCAATTGTTTAAGTTTCTTAATGGTTTTATAATGCATATTTTATGTTCTATTAAACAATAAGACTGAACAAACTTCCTCTCATTGATCGACGATTAAATCATATCTTCAAGCATTTCGATCAAACAGATAACAATTGTTTACAATGATAAAAAAGCCTTATGACGTAACCTTTGTTCTAATCAACTTATATTTTTGCTATCAAACTGTCTCATAGATTTCTGCACTTTTCGTTCAAATAATGAAATAATTAGTATCTTACCATTTTCCTTCATTACCGCCGTTTTTAGCCAAAGTGTAAAGGGTCTCATACAGCAGGAATGATATACCAAACAATAGAAACCAGTATAACGTATTTCCAACGATATCTTGGACCCTCCAAACTGTTATAATCGCATGAATAACCAACACACCGCGGGCAAACAATGCCCAAAATACATTTAATATTGACTTGGCAACCATTCTCTAGTATCACTCCGTACAGTCAGTCCCAAACTTAGTTTTTAGGATACAGTTGGTTGGTAGATGGCAAGTTAACGATGATTCCAGCAGATGCTGATATCACTGTTTACAGTCACGATTCTGAATTTTAAAAACTTTTTGTTATGACAATGTACAATTGATATAAAATATTGAATAAACCAAATCTAAGAATCTCAAATGGGCCACCAACCGAACGACAAAATTAAAAACTTTCCAAGCGGTTGCCAACGTCAAATCAGAACCACATTCCAATTTGTTTCCTACAACACAAACGGAAGAGAACTAGCTATTGTTTGAGAAATGATTTATATTTTATTATGAGATTATACATTTATCACATAGGATTAATGTATTTATATAGAAATATTAATTACTAGAAATCCAGGTTGATTGTGACCTATGAACAATGGGTTCGGCTTTTAAATCCAGAAAATTCCCATTACACATTGGTATTGAATAACAGAACGTGAAATAGAAAGGATTAACCCATTATTTCTTCGATAATATCGTGTAATTATAGCTATCTGAATAATGTTGTCTCGGTGATAATTCGCGATCGACCACATAGCTTTCAAATACTGTTCAATTCTGACAAATGGTAACCTTGTTTAAGAAGCTTGGTAGGTTTGTTAATACATAAAGTGCCATTTTATATCGCATCAAGTTGATAGTTCGAAAACTTATGGATACTTTTATTGTTACACTTAATATATAATGTAATAATTGTATTCAGATTTTAAGTATGAATATTTCAATAGCGGGTCAGAAAGACTAGGTTTAGAATTAATTATTTAAAATTATTTAGAATAAATGATATGAATTCGTAGTTTAGTGTTTCACTTTTTGCAAAGAGGACATATGCATCGAGGGAAACAGAGAAACTACTTTTTTTCCATTTTAAAATGATGAGGAATCTTGAACGCTGATTTTGAGTACCACATGCAGCTCTTATATTGTTTATAATTTGAATTTGATACGTCATAAATCCCAACAGCCCAAAATTATAACAATGGGTAAGGGTTAGTGACGACATTGCTGACCATCATGATATGGACTCGATACTAAAAACCTGAACAATTTTGACCATACCCATATACACTTTTTCTAGAAAAATGCCGACTTTCCTCGTGTGATAGAATTCATAATATTTTAAAGAGTAATTTATACCACTCATTAACGAGAAGTTTGCATGTTCGGTCAAATTTCCTTTGAATTATAATTGAATGATTATGAAAGTCGTGGTTTGAGAAGCCTTGGTGAATATAGCGAAACCGTTCAATTCATGACTTGTATTTAATCGTTCTGTGATTCTTATGGTATCAGTGGTTCAAAAACAACGTAATAAGAAAACAAACATCTTCCTCACTGTCTCTCATTGCCACGTTAAACAATATATCTGATATAGTGCTGACTTTCTTGAACTTGAACATCAATCAATGACAGCAATCATTGCAATATTTAAAACATTCTTTGTCTCATTACGTCTCTCTAATATAGAATAACAATATGTACCTGAAGCTAACAGTATAGCCTATTATATAACTAATTATGTGGAACTACACAATATTTCGTTCCAAAAGTAAAAATAAACGGAGACCAAATAATGAATATTTTCATATTTCAAGGGAAATAACTTGTATTTTAATATTCCTGTATGAAAGCTAGGGCCAATTATTTTGTTGATGTAACTAAATGGAAAAAAAATATATTCAGGGCTGTTATAAGGATCTTTTCCCCACACACAAATCTTGTTTTATTTGAAATAACACTCTCGGTAAACATCTAACGTTAACCATCTGAAGCTGTAGACATCAAATAAACGATATATATATAGCGGATATTATTTATAATTTCAATATTTTTTTTTTGGGCTAATTCTCTTTGAGCAAATTCGGTATGAGGCATTTACCTTGATGTAGTTAGTTAAAATTTGGAGAACTAACAATAATAATAATCATGATTGCAATCAGTACCATAATGAAGTCTAATTAAATGTTATATATTTAATACTGTTCAATGTGAAAAATAGAGAATCGATCATTTTTTTCATTCTCTTGATTTAGTTATTATAGAAATAGGAAGTTAGGAAGTCTAGTAATTATTTCAAAATGTAGTAACATTGATTTAACCTTGTTTTCATTTTAGATTTAAGTAAATATTGAAATAATCTACTTGGAAACAATTATTACAAATTCCTAAGGTTCAATTATTCAGGTAAAATAATTTTTGGTCCTGACGGAAAATGGCATAATTCCTTTAAAACTATTCAAACTAAGAATGTTACTCACGATTTCTATATATGTCTTTTCTATATCACAGAGTATCTTAAAATGGCGAGTCGCCTTTTTAACATTCAAACGCGAATAATCCTGGACACACATGCATTTGAAGGCTCAAATTTCGACGGTGAGCTGTGAACACTATTAATGATTGGAAAAATTCCCGTTTCTGAGACAGAGGTAAGATTGGTCAAAAAATGACGCATCTGTCCCTTTAATGGGAGTGAGGTTGGGGTGTGAGTAGTGTATTTATTTCAACTTACCATTTATAACCATTTCCTCTTCTGGTGTAAATAGTATACAACGTTTCAGCTAGTAATAATACATTGATAAATAGAAAATACCAGTACCATTGGTTCTGTTTAATATCAGAAAGTCTCCATATTCCAATAATACTATGTATCATTAATATACAACGAGCAAATATACTCTGTAATATATGCTTCAATGTTTTTGCTATCATCATGGTGATTTATTTGGTTCTCTAGGTATCACTTTGATTGAGTTATTCTCTAACCGGGTGGTCCAATTATCCTTCTTTCAAATACCAAAATAATTCCTTTGCGTTGGTTTAAGACTGCACTTATATCTTGGACTCTTCAAGGCACTACCTTTGACCCTTATTAATACTGTCCAAGTATCTTTAAAGTTAGTTCTACACTATCTACTACACCACATTAAGTTCTTGCTAACACTCTTTTCAGTACAATCACCACCAAACCTACATTGAATTCAAATACTAATGTCTAACAATGCTGGTTCACTTTGGTTTTCTTATGATTACCTCTTATTTATCCTCAATAGACTACTTGTTCCACTTGTTGAAAAGTGTCGATTGCCGAACGTGAAGACTGGCTTTAAAATGTAAAATATAACTCTTTAATCTTGACATTCATAAGATAATATAATCTTCTAGAATAGCAAAGATTATAGTTTATTATCCAATCTAAGTTGATATTCTTGAATACTTCGTACAGTTCATTTAATCCATGTCTCATTATTACTCATTGTTCAGATGGGTCGGTTGCTAATGGATTTAGTCCTGTGAATTGTAGGTTTTGACAGTGTTTATCTGTTTCTTCCGGTTACGCGCCATTGACTGCGATCCACTGATTGGTCAATCACTAAAATTTATATAAATTTAGGCTCTTTCACTATTTGTGACCTTGGCTAGTGCTTTACTAGAAGTTTTTAGGAACTTCTTCACTCTTAACACCAATTATCTCAATTTATATATCAAGTTTGTGTAAGATATTCCTCACCTTGACAATAAACTGGCTGATAACCTATCTTTTAGGAAGTCCACCCAAATTCAGTTTCACTTATGGGCTTTTCAAATTCAGGTGTAAGGTTCCTCGATCATAACTTCTGAACGTTTTTCAAAATAAAAACTGACATGTATAACATCCATCCACGGCATGAATTTAAAGAAACGGACCCTTCAAAGCCCATGGTCTTGCCTCTTTGGCTGTACCAATGCTACAAATTGTTGATATTAAATGTGGAAAAAATATGGTTGTATTGTATAGAAGAAAATGTTCGTGTAATTATCCTGTACGGAACATGTTTATTATATGTATTGTACAATTTTCAATACCCCGACAACATAATTGAAATTTCAAATTGGATATTTATCGGTACACAAAACATTGAACTGAGAATGTTCCAATTTCCGATTAGCCGGTCGTGTAAATTAAGTTTTGTTTATTGTTTTCGATAGTTACATATGACTTTGAATTTTTTAAATGAATAAAACTCACGCATTGCTTTAATTTCATTCTCTGTTTACTGAGGAAGTGTGGATTGCACAGAATATCCTAAATTGACAAACCACCTATAACTATAACTACCATTTCTAATAATATACTCTTTATTGAATCTATATTTTGTGCATAAGTAACATTAACCGATGATAGACCAACCAGGATGAATACAGCTAAAATTCCTTTATGATTGTCAAACGCTTTTATAAAGAACTCCAGGACGATTTCCATTACATCTATACAAAACGTTTAGAATAAAAATCTGAGTAGTTTTGTTGTCCATGGTAGATTAGATCCCCTTTCATTAACTCCCTGAAGCAACCGTTTTGCAATTTTTGAATTATTTGTTTATCCTGTAAATTTCTCCAGAAGTGAATAACTTCTTATCAAAATAATTGATGTTTTCCAATGCTGAAACCCATAGTTTCTACTTGTGACCTAGAGAGGTCATTTTATAAAACCTTATACCAATAAGTGAATTCTTGTACACGTACTTGCAGTATAAGATGTTTGTATCATCATTAGATATACCAGTGCATCAGCATGTTATATTCTAATTGAATTTCAAGGTTTTACTCCTTTAAAGGTAAAGATTTACGGCTTTTGATTTTTCTGAACAGTTGATTTAGTTATTGTATATTTTGACTGCCGATTTGGATAATAATCAACAGGATATAAACATGTCTATTCTGGTCAACTCTATTCTTAAACCAACCTTGAACTAACTGATCATGTCCGAACATTAGTCCGAGACGCTGTCTTGACCGAATTGTCGGCATAGGTGGTAATAGACGAGGTAAAGACGTCCGGTGCGGTGTACGGTGTGGAATAATCGATACAAACGAAAATACAAGAAGTGGACACACGAGGTATGGGTCCGGACACGGTGCAGACACGATTCGTATCTGCTATTTTCTATTGTATCAATAATCCCGCACCATATACCGGACACTGTACCTCGTCTCTTCGCACCTTTACTGGGATTAGGCCAAACTTCTCCTTAGCAAAAAAAGTATTTGTCAATGTTGGTATAGAGCAACCTTTTTCTTTCTGTTACCCCATTTAGGTCATTGATCGATTGCATTGTCCCCCTTCCCCTCAACAAATCCTTATTATTTCTTGAGTCTCTCTTAGGTTTTCGCTGCAATTCTTTTCATGACAGAGAATATAACCTGACTGAATAAACTGACTTGAGTTATAATTATCAAAAAATTGTATGATAGATTACACCAACAATTATAAAATTAGCCCTAGGTTGAAAACCTCCGGTATAGAGCTTGTGGATAGGTAGAGTAAATAATCCATTAAGGGGCAACATTTAGTAATTAGGACCCCAATTAGTTACACTATTTAGACATTCTTTCATTCTTTCTCTGTTTGTTTGTTTCTCTGTTTGTTTGTTTCTCTGTTTGTTTGTTTCTCTGTTTGTTTGTTTCTCTGTCTGTTTGTTTCTCTGTCTGTTTGTTTCTCTGTTTGTTTCTCTGTCTGTTTGTTTCTCTGTCTGTCTGTTTCTCTGTTTGTTTGTTTCTCTGGTTCTTTGTTTCTCTGTTTGTTTGTTTCTCTGTCTGTTTGTTTCTCTGTTTGTTTGTTTCTCTATTTGTTTGTTTGTTTGTTTGTTTGTTTGTTTGTTGACTCAGTTTTATGCAATTCCACTCCTTAGGCCCCACTCTCGAATTTTATTGTTTGCGACGTTTCAACAATTTACTTCGTAATCATTTCACCTGATGATATATTTAAATTCAGGTGTAGTTTACTATATAATTGGCTTGCGTTATTAAAGCTAAATGAAATGGTACGTAAAGTATTTTTTATCATTGTCACATTATCACAATCAGAAAACCGTCCGCCAGAACATTAAAAAAATATTTAGTTAATAAGCTGACGATAGACAGAAACCTTTGCATGGATATAATTTTGTTTTGAATAAGAAAAAATTGAATTATATACGAAATACATGGTAAAAGAATAATAATTATCTGTCTCTGGATAATTCACATGTCGCATGTGCCGATGTACCTCAAAACTAAACCAGAATTACGCTGCAGGGACATGTTTGTGAGTAATAATTAACGTTTTGACGAAAATTATGAAGAAGAATTGGTTACATGCGATTTCACAATAATATAGTAAAAGTAAACAGAAATGTGGGCTACTCGTTAAAGTGATACTCGTCTTAAAATGAACATAAAATTTAATTCTCAAGAATGGTCAATGTGAGTATATATTCATCAGTGAACTTATCTGGTGTCATAAAATTACAACACAATCCCTGTAAAATTGGAAAATTCATAAAACTAAGGAATTATTGAAAATCGTTTAATCATGATATTAAGCGTTTTTCAAAAGTTAATTGCATATTTATGGATAATTACTAAGTTTTTTTTGGATTTATCGGATTATATAAGGATCCTATTATATTATTTATGACACCAGGTATATCTACTGATGAATATATATTCTTATTGGCCAAGTTTAAAATTCTTAAATTTTATGTTCATTCTAAGACTAGTATTCCTTTAATGGTTGGGAAAAACCTCGGATGTTCACAAAAACCTTTGCTCGACTATTATAAAGATCCGTACAAGCAAGACAATTCCGTCAATCAACAATCTCGTGCGAAGAATGGCAAAATTATAACGTTAATCAAACCATATAATATATTATATTATAATGCTTCAAACCGTTTCAATTTTGTTTTTAAAGATCTAAAAATCTTTTCTTGATGTTACGAAAGACGTAGAATTTGATAAAGTTCAGACGTTCGGGCTGTGATCTTGAAGGACATTCTTCAAGGCCAATGAACAAAATAAACATTGTCCCAACAATATAATCCTCCTTTCATAGTTCCCTATTGTTATTAATGTAAATATTGGCGAGCTGACCTGTGTTAAAGGATCGAGTATTTAGGACTCTATTTAATTACAATATGGTACATAGTTTTATAAATGTCTTTTTTCACAATGCAAATCTTCTTTATTTTATTCATTCATTAATTTTATTTATTCATTTGTTTATTATTTATTTTTGTTTTATTTAATTCTAATACATGGTACACCCACCATCTGCGGCATACACTGTAGCCAACTCACGACAAATTAAAATCATTTGTCATTCAGGAAAAACGTGATTTATATTTCATTTAGACATCTTTATTAAATTTACGTATTTAATGAACAAAATCACTGATTGGCTAATAAACTAAAGATTATTAAGTTATCTCCCTTCCATACAATAATATTTCCAGACTACAGTTAAATGTATCACAAATATTACTCATGGATAGACCTATTCCATTCATTAAGAAATCATGACAAATATACCTAAGATCACAATTTCATACGCCTCTCAATTACATAAAGCCACACCAAATGTAAAAATATAAATGTCACTATGAATTTAAAACTTTCCAAGGAAAACCGAATTCTGTATTTGAAATGATGATGATAAAACATTGGAACCGGTTGATTTTTTGCGGTTTGGTTGTTGACCACCTACATAAATCAGCATTTTACCTGCAAAGCAAAAAGTACAACATTGATCAGGTGGGTGTTTAGTTCGCAGGAAACAATGGGTGTTTCGTGGGTAAAGTGAAAACCAAGAACAGTAGGAAACCAATAACAAATAAACACAATAGCATTAGATTAATATCCCCCGTCATAGGTGTATACTCTTATATAAGTATGATGGTAGTCTAGATCTAAATTTGTAGCTTACAGTAACTTGTAACATGGAAACTAGAACAAAGTGTGTTGCATTAATATCCTTTTAATCCTGGTGAAACTAAGAGTAATATGAACAATCTGCTACAATCTGTTACATTACGATCTGTTCTGAATTTTCAGGAAACCTACGGCGAGGATCCGTACTTCAGTGGAGTTTTAGCAACTCATTTCGTGTATGGTCTACAGGGTAATAACACTAGATATATCCGAGCTAACGCGGGCTGTAAACATTTTGATGTTTATGCTGGTCCTGAAAATGTTCCAGTTTCCAGATTTTCATTTGATGCCAAGGTGATACTTTATTTCTTTCGCTGATATCTTGAAAATTGTCTAAAACTGTCATTGATCTAGAAGAAACACTGCTGATTTTCAATTTAGAAATGATTTATTTGTAACCAAAGGGGTTGAACTAAACAACAGCAAAAAAAAAACGCGAAACGAGAAAGAAGGATACCAAATAAGAGTCTTGCATGTCATTTTTGTGTATACAATCATCACGATACGCCAAGACACGCCAGATCGCACATGGAATTAATATTTCCAAATAATTAGCAGATTGGGATTGACTGAATGGCAGTGTCTTTGTGATTACATTACTATCAAGTATTTGTTACAGGTTTCTGAACGAGACTGGAGAACAACCTTTTTACCACAGTTCAGAGCTTGTGTAGAGGCTGGTACTTATAACCTCATGTGTAGTTATAATAGGTAAATATATAAGATATATATAGTTCTATTGTAAGCTTTTGTATTGGCACAGGACCATAAATAACTCAGGTTTATATGGTCGAAATTTGATCTTGCTTCAGCTGTTAGTATTCGATAAGGAACTTTTTACTGAGCAGAATCGATCCCACGATCTTCTTTATTTATAACATATACTAATTTCTAGCATTTGTCCCAAAGATACCATTGTCACACAGATCATGTTCCTCGACGAAAACTCCTTGTTAATGCTTAGATTCCTATTCATATCTTCCAGTATCAATGGAGTCCCAGCCTGTGCTAATAAAGAACTGTTAACAGATATATTGAGAAATGAATGGAATTTTACTGGGTATATAATCAGTGACCAGGAGGCTATAGAAAATATTATATCTCAGCATCACTATCTGAATAGCACAATCGATACAGTAGCAGCTTGTGTCAATGCTGGATGTAATCTAGAACTGTCTTCTAATGAGGCTGATCCTGTTTATTATTCCCTAGGTATGTACCTTACATTCTTGGACTATCATGGATATCACCTAAATGCAGTGTGGTCATAGTAATGATAACATGCGACACCCTGGTACAGGTATACTAAGACTAGTTTAAATGTAAAGGACTTGAAATAATTGATATTTCGATTCAAATTGCAATAGGCGAAAACAACGGGACGGAAATTTAACCCCAACATGAAATACCTCCTAAAAGCAACTCAGACTTCAGATCAGAAATATTTTGTCTTGGATATATTCTATATGTTCTATCTTTGTTTACAACCATCCCCATACTAAAATCTTGTTTTATGAATAGTTGATGCTGTAAAGCAAGGTAAACTAAGTGAGGATGTGGTACGAGAACGAGTAAAGAAGTTGTTTTATACCAGGATGAGATTAGGCGAGTTCGACCCACCATCTCTCAATCCTTACAGTAAACTGGACGCCAAGGATGTCCAAACTCCACAGCATTTTCTTCTAGCTCGAGAAGCTGCTGTTAAATCTATGGTTCTATTGAAAAATACTGTGGATTATTTACCTCGTTCACAACTTGGAAAAGTTGCCGTAAGTTACTAGATCATAAAACAAAATAAAAGATATAATTATAAGAAAAACCGTCAATCAAAAATGAAAAACAGGTGCCACTTGTGATCCAGTATGTCGCTGAAGCTGCCATCAAGATAACTGACTGGATTGAAAAACATAACTAGTAATTGGATATTCAAAGGAGTTGCAATATAACCCGGGTTAATCTATGGTGGGGCTTTTAAAGCAAAGGACTTCAATATCATCACACCAATGGTACGTTATACTCTTTACACGAGAAGATTACTCATTTATTTTCTCACTTCATTTATCTTGCAGCTTGTTGGACCAATGGCTGACAACATTCAACAATTATTTGGTAGTTATAGTCCAACAGTCTTTCCTGCAGTAACCAAAACACCTCTACAAGGTTTCCAGGAAATAACGTCAGTGGCATATGGTGCGGGATGTAAAGATAACAGATGTACTAAATATTCGAGTTCAGAAATACAACAAGCTATTACTGGAACAGATGCAGTTTATGTCTGTTTGGGAACAGGTGAATTATTTGGTTTCCAAAGATTATACTGATCTCTTTCTGGAATTTATTGTTTGGAGCCTTTAGTGTATATTTGAAAATACCTGGCATCCTCTCTGAATACACTGATATGCTTCACTGATAGTCTCTTTAAAGCATCACATTCGCAAGTGGTCTTCACTCTCAGAACTCAGACCTATGCCTTACAAATGTTTACGATAACCTTGGAAATATTATTTTCATTTGTCAATCAGATGGATATTATTAACACATTTGTAGGTCAAGAGTTGGAAAGTGAGGGAAATGACAGACATGATTTGGAATTATTTGGATATCAGAAACAACTACTCTTAGATGCGGTGAAATTTGGTAAGTACACGCTGGGTATTTCATAAAATGCGTGCTGTTGTAAAGATTATATTGGATTTTAGATTGGAAGCTAAACTTTGGACTTCAATTTCAAAAGAAATATGATATTTATAATTAAATTATATCACAATAATATACAACCATACTTTTATAAACATTTTGGTGCTCATGAACATAATCAAACTAACAATTTAGAAGCTTCAGAAGTTTCTTTAAATTTCTTTCAGCCAATGGTAAACCAGTTGTGTTATTATTATTCAATGCTGGACCATTAAATATAAGTATATTTGACAGTATGGACAGTGTTACTGCTATAATAGCCTGCTTCTTCCCGGCTCAAGCTACTGGAGATGCTCTGTTGGATATTATAACAGGGCGACATGGTACTGTTCCCACTGGAAGACTTCCGGTCACATGGCCGATGACAATAAGTCAGGTAGTCTTAAAACTCTTCAAACCTTTCTACTCTCATTGTATGTCCATTTAATGCCCAATTTGTCAGGTTGAGCCCCATTCTCACATTTGATTTAATTAATATAAGTATATTTATTTAGTAAACATATAACTATTATTTATTTTTATATGAATCAATTAGTTTTGTTTCTGTGGTTTATTGGCTGGCCTTTATCTTCTATATCTAATTCTTTTATCTACTTCAAATCATCGTGTTACAAATTGTTCTGATGACGGGTTGCATCTGACAGTATACATACACCTATTGTTGTAATAATTAGGTATTAGGAGTAAATGGTTTTTGTTTTGTTTACCTGGTTCTAATGCAATATATTAGTAGAGTTACATCCTCCTGTTCCCCCGAGCTTTGTTCTATTCTATTCTATATGGAATGAAGGTTATAATTGGGTCTTTTGAATTAACCAGGTGCCACCAATAACTGACTATACTATGGTTGGAAGAACATACAGATATTTTCAAGGTGAACCACTCTATCCATTTGGTTATGGTTTATCATATACCAGATTCACCTATTCTCAGTTAAAGATACCACAGTATATTGTAGCTGGTACAGACTTGGTTGGGTCATTCTTTATTTCTAATACTGGATCTTTAACAGCCGACGAGGTAATTTATTTTTGTTTATAAATTGATATAATGATCTGCTGCATGATCTACTTTCATTTGAAGGCAGGAATAATTGGAATTCAGTTACAAGAAAAGGTTGTCTTTTGAATCGAGGATTTAGTTTTATATATTATGGGTTTATAAGTGAATATCCACACGAAAGACGAGACATGCAACGATTGACTTAACAGAACAGTGTTATATTTAATATTTTCTTTGTTTTATTATCATAAAGAACCAATAGTAGTCTGTCGTTTCTTGGGAGAGTAAGATCTAGTAATTTCACTTTCAAGAAGCATTTTATGTACATTCTAGAGTTAATTTATCATAGGTTTATCAAGTGTACATATCATGGACTAACGCCAGTGTACCAACACCACAGCTTCAACTAGCAACTTTTGACAGGGTCCTCAGTATCAACCATGGACAAGGTGCAATGATAATGTTTAAGATCAAGGCTGAAACTATGGCGGTATGGATTGATAATAAAGGATGGATGGTGGAGCAAGGTATGTTTAGCAACTATCACACTTCGTACTCATGATATCGTTCTTGTCAAGAAGAAATGGGATTACGAACAATTGTAGATAACTTGTACATATTTAATAAAAGCTTGTTGACTAAGGGAAACTCATTTTCATTTTCTTAGAGCTGGAGTCAAAAGACGATGGTTAAAGAATTAAGCTGAAAATTGCCTTAAAACTAGCGCTGAATCGTTATTTTGAGATTCATCTGTTCAAGTCCGTAGGACCGGAGGTCACATACTTTGATAGTACTTCGAAACAGAAATGTTTACCTGCGTTCTGCCCCATCTCGGATCTCTAACAATGTTAATAACTGGACTAAAACAACTAACACCTTTATGGTCCCCATACATTTTATTTTTAATATAATAATTAAACTTGGCTCGTACTTCTACACTGGTAGCTTCAGCAACACGGAATATCAAATCAGGACTGTAACAGAAACCACAATATAAAGAACATGCCTTGTTGGTTCCAACTAGGACACTTAAGACAGGTTAGCACAAGGGTAGAAACAGTGTGCCCATACAATGGCCATTACCAATGCCATAGAAATTTTCTAATCTCCACGCCCACCTCACTCGATGTTTCTGATGTAAACGGATACGGGCGGTGCTTATTACCCTCAGACTTAACAATGATCAATACAAATAGCAGTTACCGATAGGAAATGTACTTGACAAATGTGTTCAGTAAATGTGAGCTGGTCTAACATAATTCTATTGGGGCAAGGAAAGGCAAAAATGTTTTGAAACTGGATCTCTTACCTAAACGATGCTGCTAAGCCAATTGCTTGAGGAAAAGCTGTTGCATTACCAGCCGCCACATCGCCTCTTAAACATTCAGTATTCCACGAGTAGGCGTTGATTCCAAGCCGGGGTATAGCAGGTGCTGGACCAGCAATAGGACCAGCTCCACCTTTACTCATCTGTTCCTTGATTTCACCCAACGTCAATCTTCCAACTAGATCATGAACTCTTTCATCCCATGCTAGACTGGGGTTATTGAAAGGATAGTCACTGGATCCAATTTGGATCAAGATTGACACATTCAGCACAAAACGCAGTAAACTGGTCCACAACATAACTGTACTAGTTATTCTAAGATATTTAATTGATACATCTTACGATAAAATCGGGTGATTGTAGGTTATGGTGATAACCCTTTAGATTCGTTATCATTTAGTCTGCTGAATAAAATTTCAAAGGCAATACGGAAAGATTAAGACATTTCCTATACCTTATTTATTTCTGCTTTTGATGTTCATATTCCGCGTAGACGTATTTGAAACCCTGTGTCCATTGTTGTATTTTTTGTTTTGTTTTTGAATTTAATATCTAAAATTGCATTTTCTTTTAGATTTCGTGAGATGTTGAGAGATTTACATTCTTTAATAGTCGTTTTGTATGCCGTGACCTTCAAGCGGATGTTCATTAAATGTAGTTCTACTTTAGTTTGACTAGCTCAAGATTTTCATAGTGTTGATATATACAGAATTTTAGTCCAGAAACTAAGTATTGGCATGGCTTTCATGTGACACATTGAAAAGTTTTCATCGGGATTTCTGGAAAAAGTTATAGAATGTTGAATTTCGTGATTTAACAAGGAAACAGATGGCCAATGAATTAGTGGAGTCGGTCCGCGAAAAATGTAGTTACTTCCCTTCGATACTAACAGGAATCATACTCGTTTGGGAATCACGGATTTGTTGTCTGTGAAAAGTCATTCTGTTCAGCATGTTTGTATATATACAGCCCCTTTACCATAGAAAAAAAAACAATTACAACAGAATTTGGTGCGTCGAGAAGTAAACCACATTATTAATAAATATTAAATTTCTAGATCAGTATTTTCGCGGTACCGGTATATTGCACAGCCTTATAACTCATATTCGTATATTTAAGAGTGACTCAGTCTTATACACTGTTATGTAGAATCATCATCATCATCATCGTTTGGTGCTCCAGCATCTGCATAGGGTATTATTATTTCATAAATCACATCTGAAGAGACAAAATGCGTTTTAATTGTAATCATCTGATAACTCTCCTCGATCTTTTTCCAATGTAGAGTCGTTATCATACAGCTTTCTTCAAATCATGGTCACCAATGTCTTAACTATTTCATGTTAAAGAAAAACAATCATATGCGTATTTAGCGAAGCGAGTTTAGCTTCCAAAGGTGAAATCCGTGTTCTCCGATGAGGGGAGCAAAGCGGACGGGTCGTGAGGGCAAAGTCCATAGAAATCTTAGCGATTTAGGTGTTTGAAATAGCCCTCGTTGTTGCCTCTAGCAGATGAAGTAAAATACATCAATACAGCAACAGAGACGCATTATAAATGCGATGCAACACACTGGCTCGGAAATACACAAAGGCAGAATGCTTCAGCACCAGTTCTCACAAACGTTGACCACAAACTACTTTTTGAATTAGGAAATTTCGATTCAATCTATTTCTGCTCACTAATCAAAAATTTGAAACTACCAGATTGTACATATGTCTATACACTGACAAAACATGTTCAATATTTTTCAATATTTCAATTGACTCGTGAGACAAACTGTTATTTTACCGAACACCTCTACTTTCGATTGATATAAGTATTAGCTGTCCAAAATCGAATATATATATGAATAAATGAAAATGAGGTCGCCCGTCTTTACCCACTTCTTCCCAACCCATCCAAACCGAGTAAGGGTTTACCTGTGTGATATAAAAGTTTCTCATACCGATCAAGTGGTTCGTGTGGTTTATATTTATCATTTTTTCCACCATTGACCTCAAAATATAGTGGATACTCATTCTTAGGTTGTACTATTATTCTGCAGCCGTCGGGAGACAACTGTACATGGTCAATCTGATACATAGGATTTAAAACCATACGATCGCGATATTTGCTTGGTCTATTGATAGAGCTCATTTCAGATGTGATGATAGTCTAAGATTATATAAAAACGAATAGGCAGAAGTGAGGCTTGCCTCAATATCCATCTCATATTCCAAAAAGTTCGTGTATATTATATAAAATAAACTTACTTCAAAGTCCATGCAATACGATGCCAAGCAATCGTAAGTTTCTTTGTCCCAAACCCGAATGGCATTTTCAGTTTGTTCATCATTTGCATATGTGATGAAGAAAATACTTTTTTTGTTGACACTCATTTGTATGGTATGACCAAATAGCCGTTTCAATAAAGTACCTATAATGAGAATTATATAATTATACTATATGCCTCTTTCCTTCTGCCATGTTGCAGAGAGCTAGCAGAACGCAGTAGGCTTGCTTTCTGTTGTCACACCTTTATATGGATAAAGACAAGTATTTGGATATTTACCGGTTTCAAAATTAAATACTCGAACAAGTTCATGGTAGTGTAATGACAGTAATGTAGTTTTATCTAACAGTTTCGTTTCAATTATATCATGTAGAAAGAGGCCTTTATAATGATTAATGTATTCCTCGTCACATAGAATCTGGTGAACCTTTTCTGCAAAAGAAAATAGAGTGAACATACTTTAAAGTGATACTACGTCTTAGAATTAACATAAAATTGAAGAATTTTAAACTTGGCGAATAAGAGCCAGTAGATATACCTGGTGTCATAAATAACATAACAGGATGCTTATATAATCCAATAAATCCAAAAATCTTAGTAATTATCCATATTAACTATTGAAAAACGCTTAATATCAAGATTAAGCGTTTTTCAATAATTACTTAGTTTTATGAATTTTACAGATTTTACAGGGATTCTGTTGTAACTTTATGACACCAGGTAAGTTCACTGATGAATATATACTTATATTGACCATTTCGAGAACTTAAATTTTATGTTCAATCTAAGACGTAGTATCACTTTAAAAGAGAATCGAATCGCTCAGAGGGGGTTACAAAATGATTAACATATGAGAGGGGGACTAACTTACTCTCTTTCGGTGTGCTAATGCTTCAAGGATAAGAAAGAAAACGATAAATAGGTTAAAATGTGTTAGGCCCTATTGCACAATTACTACTTATAACCCATGAAATTTACAGAAGCAAACTTTAGATATCATATTATATAAGCTTTAATAACGTTGTGAGTTTGATCAGGGTAACAACTTACGGCTTTCGATATTCCACACAACCGGTAGTTTTATATACTTTTAACAGTTTCCTTGATAGAGTCTTGTGATACATATTGTAACAGTATATAATATTTGTCATCATCAGTTAATATGCTGTCAAATCAGTATGAAGTATCATTCTCCACACCTTCAGGTATATATTGGCACTGAATTTATACAATACTTGTTTCTTTTCCATATCAAATAACAAGACTTCATCACTGTGTTTGATTCTACAAGATATTCTTGTGCCAGTTTCATTCATCTGAAATAATTAAAGTTTACTAGATAAGATAGCACTTCTGTCACAAGAACACAGGGGTACAGGTAGTGGGAAAAGTTTGAACCCTTGAGTGAATGCGTATTTCATTTCTCAGAAATTTCAAAATATGAATTTTATTCGTTTTTGCCCAAAAGACAATTGTACAATTGTGTCAATCATAATCGAATGATTGATACAGCAAACATTTCTTTGTTAACACTAGAAAATAGTATCCATGTATTCGACCATCATTTTGAAGTATAGATCTTACTTCATATTCGACTGGGATTTTTAACATCTTTCTTTACCTAGATTTGGGGTGCCAGATTCGACCTGTAACGCTGATGCTGCTTCTTCAAATAACTCATCTGTTTAAAATTGGTGGTCAGTTAGTTTTCAATTGCTAAGATTTTTGCAGTTGGATAATTGTTATTGAACTGATGGGGGTGACAAGAATTGGTAAAAATCAGTTTCGGACTACCCAACAGTAAAAGGGATTAATTATTTACCTCTTTTAGAAGGGAATACTTGAATACCTTTTCCCGCCTTCCAGGGTAAAAGTCCTTCAAATGATTTTTCTATTTGTAATGTTTTGGCATTATATACAATGACACTTTCACTATTAGCAATAAGATGACGAGTTCCTTCTAAATTGTGGATACAGAGAAAGTCACATATGAACTGAAACGATTTACAAAAGTTATTGAGACTGAAAGCAAACGAACTTTTGATTCTTTTCATTGAAATGGGATGGCGCTCAGCAATACTGTCTTATTCCCTTTCTCTGTTTAGAAAACATCGTATAAAGAAGTTCTAAAGATACTGTAGTTTTGGAAATTCGAAAATTTCGCACTGTTTGTACTAATTTTAACCAAACGTCAAACTTCAATTCGATTTCCAGGAAAATTGGTAATTATCAATTATGATTAAAAAAAAAACAAAAGCAGAAATAGCCGAAAAGTCTCCTGTCACAGTTTGGAGGTCAACAATTTTTTGGCATGTCTGATAATAAATTCCATACCAATCAAAGTAAGGCTTTCGGAACTGTACTAGCAAATTTGAGCTTGGGGGCGTGGTCATTTAATTACTGCCAGAAATAGTATGGTGGTTTTAATGAAAATGTTAAAAATTCACTGTTTATCCAGAAAAGATATTTCTATATTGGTAAAGACTATCAAACATGGACAGTCTATTTCGATTTATGATGTACGCAATATAGATACAGAGGACGTAAAACAGCTTGGAAGCTGGCAGATATGTGTCAAACACAAATACTATTCCCTTTGTCAGAGAGGTTTTGAGTAATGTGGACAGTCAATATAAAATCTTGTAAAATACATACATGTAGCAGCTAGTTCGCCGGTTTTAAATCCAGATCACATATATCATCAGTATGAATTGCTAGACAGTAGAGTAGTGAACCTCCTGGTTGAACTAGTATAGATTTATTTGGTAAGAGTTAGTGGAAAGGAGTATTCTTACAATCTTATAACAATTTCTCGAGACCCTGGAAAATATAATTCTGTATTTTAATACTGTAGGAATTTGTTCTGTCTGAATCTCAATACTCGCTGTAAATATTGCCTTTATGGGTGTGTTTCATGAGTTATCCTTCTGGTCAAATGGTAATGTATACCCGGTCAAAGATTGTCAATGTGTATCTGACTTATTCTTATATCTGCCAAATAAATACCAAGCTTTACCTCCTGTAGATTTCCCTGTCCTATTACAACCTGCTTGACACAAGCCAATAATTACCTGAGTAGGTAGAAGTCTTCCCAGCAACTGATGAAAGTTCTTGAGGATTATATTGAAGCGCTTTTTGTGATAGTTGAAGGGCATCGCAAATAGAACAAATATCTGTATCATCTTCATATTTCTGTTTGGCTACAACAAAACCATTTAGTAAAAGCCTGAAAAGTTCAGATAGAGATTTCAAATAGCTTTAAAGGCAAGTTTTGTATCAGCAATCAATAACCAATCTGGCTTAATTAGTGGATTCGTTTCACAATTCAAGAACCATTTCATAAAATATAATTAGGTCTACATTAATGTGACATGTTCAACCTTTCATGTATACCTTAATCCAGACCCTTTCAACTTAAGAAGAATAAAATCCAAATTACACAGGCATTCTGATTTCAGCAGTTCTTTTTGGTCAGCTTGTAATCCATCCACCCTATTCCATGGCCATCTAAATGAGGAAGCTATCAAATGCCACAGAGGCACGATTCTGTGAGTGTAACAATATATCTTCATCACAATTATCCACAATATGTGTATTATCTAACGTGTTTTTAAACTCTTCTGCTAGATCTTCCAACTTCTGGAATACCAGCTTGTACAATGATTAGAAGAGGGTAAATTCCCCAAAGCTGCTGATAACACTTATTCTATGATCCAGAATAGAATCTGCACCTGCTTGTAATGCGTATACAGGCTTTCATCCGGACATCCTCATTACTATATTAATCAATGTGCAAAAAAACTATAAAGTCTACCTTACCAATCCACTTTTAACAGGATCCTGATTATAAACAGTTCTTATTTGGTTAATAACACTCAGAAGCAGACTTCCAATGTTGGAACTATCGGGAGTAGTTCCTAAAAATCTGGAATTCAAATGATAAAAATGTAAGTATGGATAGCTGGGCTAGGATACACATACGAGGCAATAGAGTAACGTTGTAACGGCGTTCATCGTGAGCCAAATAAAGATCAACCCAAAGACATAAGACGCCTTTTAAGATTGACGAAACTTCATCGGGTAAAATGTTTTGGAATATAACTACAGACGCTGAAACACCATAACCCTCTGACGTTTTTGGTTACCAACAATGTCCCATACATTGCATAGAGTGACCTGCCGAATTGAAATGAACTGACACTGGTGTAAGACGATGGTTCTGGATATCACTTCGTTGACCGTTCATTCAGACTCGATGAACGGTCATCGAAGTGATATCCAGAACCATCGTCCTTTTACAAAGCATTCCACGAAGAAAGAGCTCTTAGAACAAAATACTTTAGTCACTCTTAAAATGTGTCTTCTTACATATTTTATTATACAACATAGAGTGATACGACATTACTTTCAAACCTACCTAAAGACTTTTAGTAGTATTAGTATTGTATTTCGGTGAACTTCAGTACTCCAGGCATTTTTCACCGCCATTGCCATGATAGACGTTTTACCTGAACCAGACTCTCCATGAACTATCAATGGTTCATTCTGAGAGTCATTCATATATCCCTGTATCATCTTAAAATGGAGAAATTTCACTTAATAGAATCAAGGTTATAAACCCAAAGGCGCAAAGTCTTAATGAAATAGTCGATAAACTGTATTAATCATTGTATACAGCTTACAATCTGAACTGTCCTCAGCACAATGCCATTTATCTGTGTTTAGATGAGTTTCATAGCTGGATCTTTAAAGATGTTTAAGATAAACTGTGTGGGGTGTCCCATGTATCTTATATACAGACTCATTTATCATATGTACACTGTTTAACCGAACATTTTCGTGTTGAAGATGCGCTATTTCATTTTACACATCACATTTAATTTTGTTTGGCATGATCATATCTTTCTTATATTCTTTACGGTTCCACCATACTTGATGTACCCAAATGTAAATACTGAAAATTGTACACTTCCCCATAGAGTATAGTAATTGAACTGGTTGTATTCTCATGATGAAGGAACACTTGTATATAATACGCAGTTTTCCTCATGCCAAGAAAACGTACAATTTGTAAAGTCAACTTACATGAAATGTATCTTCTTGTCCATGAAAAGCTTTTACATTTCTCTTGACAGAATATAATATGTTGAAATACTTCCTGATACAATGGTGTATTGATGGAATTCATTTTCTTTTGATTTATTGCTCCCAATACAGACTTCTTTATAGTTTTCTCAAAATCATCACCAAGCTTTTTTATGTATAATTTGTGAGCTTTATCAGAATCGGGATCAATTCCTTGAATGATACCATTAATCATGATAAACAATTTTTAGTATATTCTGACTTGCCTGTTTGTTTCCCACCTAAGCTGGGTGACTCAGACTGCAGAATATTTTCTACAAGAGAGGTATGCAGAGGATTCACTGGTTGATAGCCCTGCTGTCAAGGTTCGGTCCGATGTCGAGTATCGTTTCTTTCCATAATGTTGCGAATTTTTCAAAACTACAGGGAAATTCTATGATATTCTGGTCTTCAAAACTTGAATTTTGTTTAACCTTAATTCAAATGGCACCACATATACAAAACCAACTTTTATTGGTCCAATGTATTGGGTAGGTCATAATATGGTTTGCTGGTAATTTGGATCTGAGTTTTTCCTCACTTAATTTGTTCGGGGGTTGGTAAGATTCTTTGATATATTCCTCTGTACCGATACATTCTGAAAAAAAGAAAATTGATAACAGTCCATGATTGGCATGATTTCTAACTCTGATTGCAAAAATTGAAATAGTTTTGAGTTGTAATCTGTTCGTTACTTGTTAATTTCATTGTCATTTATCTCTTGGGCCGAATTTGGAAACGTAATGTTTGAGATATTTCGATACTATGACTGTTTTCCTCTTTAATTTGAGTGTAGGACTTCAAATTTCACTTTTGAGGAATAGCTTATGAACATGCATTGTGTTAAGTAGCAGTGGCGGTTATACCCACCCCCTCCAAAGGCCCAGGATTAAAAAAAGTGGTAGAAATATGCGGGTTTTTTTTTCATAGTAAAAATGTTATAATATTGTAAGAATAATCTTTAAAATGTGTTTTGTGGTTTAAAATAGTCAGTGAATCGTTACTCTGTCTGAATATGTTCTGTGGGTTCATATAGTTAGTGAAGTGTATTCAATCTTCCTGGATAAATTTAAAAGCTGGTGGGAATAGATTTTCTGTTACTAAAATCTTGAGTATTTTAAGTTTTAACAATGCTGTGTCTTTAAAAGTAATTAAATGTTATATGATTCTTGGTGTTTAAAACTGTGGACTAGCAGCATGTGGTGGTCATACACTTGTACATGATTAGTTGTTAATGACACTATTACAGATCAAATGTTTCTCGTAGTGAGCAATTTCTCCTGTTTGTGTGTAGGACTGTGTAAATATACTGCTGGTAAAGATGCGAATAATTCTAGTCGCTGCTGGACAATCTAATGATACATTACCACGGAGTATCTCTTCAGTATAATTATTAAGATTAAATTTGGACGGATTGTTGTCTCTCTTCACAATATTCTCTACTGGTATTACATCACCATCTTTAGAAGGCTGGTCGCTACTGAAATGGAAACACCAACATCCCTGCCACCTATTTGTACTGCCACTGCTGACAGATGCCAGTGACGGATTGACATGAGTAATCATTTCCTCGACTTCTAAAGTCACAATATTTTACCTAAGCCTTCAAAGTCGCAAGTCCCTCATTTAGTGTCAGAGAAGGTTCTCTCGGGAAAATTTTCAAAACATTGAATTGATTTGGTGCTTTCTGACGCATATTTAGGTGCAAATACCTATAAAAAGTCATATCTTTAATTTGCTAAAAAAAAAAGTGGGGGTACAATTGGGAGAGTGAACCATTTTTTTTAGACGGGCAAATACCCCCCTGAACCCCCACTGACGTCATGTAAAACATCCGACGCTAACCCCAAACATGTGTTGACTATTTGACTTACAAGTCAGAGCTAAAATAATAATCCATGCACGAGATTCGTATCTGTCCGACAATCTTTCACTATATTGACGGTTGTGTCATCTGCATAACAAGATATAAAGGGTATGCGGGCAACTAGCCCTGCTCTACCCTATTATTACTGATCGTCGCTGAGATACTACTAGAGAGGGAGCTTTAATGTAATCACACCAAAGCTACATTTGCCTAAGTATAAAATGCTATATATGGCTACTAATAATAAACAATACAATAATAAACTGCTTACCTAACAATCGTTTTTTCCACGCCCACATCCTCCACGCGTGGAATTTGAGGAACGTGAGCCCATCCTGTTGTGCTGTGATGTTATTGAAAGCTCCTGTTTGAATTTCCGATATATGGCTTGATGTCAATGATATGATATTTTATAACGGTTGCTATTTAGAGGCTCTGAGATCTATACAGTCAATCATATTAATAGATATCAATAGTTACCGATTCAAACTGACTACTGTATATGCGTGTAAAGATGGATCACTTTAGTTATCGACGAGAAAGTAGGCCAACCTCACGATTCACTAGCATGACTCCCTTCATCAGTATAAAGTCGGGCGTCCACCTGAGAGTTTTATAGCACGAGTTCGCTCTCCGAGGGTATTTTGCAAGAAAATGTTGGACAGTTGCAACAAACTCTTGATAAAACTGCTGAGAGCGATTTCTCTCAAGTGGAAGGGGGTCTCCTATAAAATGCCAGGCATCCGAACGTAGCTGTCTACAAACTGTCCAATACAGTTTTCTGTTTGAGAGTGCTCTCAAAGAATAGAACAGTGTTCTTTCTACGAGAACTGTCAAGTTTTTATTAATATATTTCACAACACCTGAAGTCTGAAATATGTCGAAACGTACGGAATGGACGCGTGAAGAGATTGAGCGCCTGATCACATAATATGAAACTCGTCCTGTGCTTTGGGATGTTCAATCGACTGAGTTTCGAGACAGGCAGAAAAAGGACGATGCATGGAAGAACTGGCCGAATCGATACAAAAAGACATTGTGCACTCTTTTTCTCTGTTTCGTCTTTCCATCGATTATAATTATAGCCGAAGCAATTCGGTTTTTTTTTTACAACAACATTTTCCAATCGGAAGATGTCGTGCAACTCAAATTTAGAATGTAAACAAATAGCAAACTCCGACCTTGACCTTAGTCACATTGCATTGTAAAGTGAATGTTTAATCTTTTCGTTTTGTCTGCTACTATCCATTTGCATAAATTATAGCTACGACATTGTATGGGAGCCGCGGTGAGTTAGACGCTTGCTCGCTAACCTGAAGATACCGGGTTCCATCGGGGCATAGGTCGACATAATACCTTCGAATTTTTCAACCCGATTTCCCCCTCTCAGTGATGTAGGTAAGAGGGGCTGATAGGGAAAAAGCGTCTAGTCGTTCGGATGAGAATGTAAACCGATGCCCCGTGTGCTTCAGGCTGTGCACGTTAAAGATCCCTCGACAGTTGGAAATCGAAAAGAGCAGGCTAATGCCTCTGTCTCGCAAAATTTCCCTCATTGCACCCTGCATGGCGTCGCCCGTCTTCATTATCCCACAAGGTGCAGAAAAGTAGGACGAGAAACTCCATTCATTTCATTTGTACGAACGTACCTACAATTTATGCAAAATGTGGATCACGTGATTCAGGCCCAGGTGCGCGCATGGAAAATCCGTCATTTCTGCTTTGAACCTTTCAAAATGTTGAAAAAAAATATGAGTCGGGGAAAAAAAGCAATGAATAACCGGGCTAAATGAGCTCTTATATTACGTTTGAGACTTTGCCAGTCGACTGATTTCCCGGTCGACTGATATGTATATCTCAATTGCTTCGCCAGAGGTTATACTTTCCACAAGACACACACTTCAGGTCATGCATTTGAGATTTTGCCGCTTGACTGATATGCCGGTCAAAATCTAAGATACAGCACGTACCTAGCCCACCTGCTACCCTGATTCCATGTGCATATGTAATATTTACACAAAATGTAGTGTAAATAAATTTCTAGATTTCAAGTTTGCAGAAAACACTATAAGCCTAAAGATTGCAGACTAGCTGAACTCTTAAATCTAAAAGATTGAATACAAGTTGAACTCTATAAGCTTAAAAATCGATAAATGATATGGAACAAAAATTCTGATCTGGTGAAAATTTGGCGAAACAAACGGAAAATAATTTGAGAAAGTTTAAAGTTAGAAATGTAGTCCCAACCACGTTAAAAGACTTTTATTTTATTAGATGGAATGGATGTGAGGATTCAACCGGAATAACAACAACCCAAAAGTATATATTGAATCACTCGGGATATTGAGTTTTAAGAGCAATGGTGTTGGTAAAATACATACCATTAAGACGAACTGTTTTTATTGGTCATATGATTTTACATGAAGCAGAACTCACAAATTGTATTAAACAAAATATATATTACATCTTTTTTATATTCACAAGGGCTGTGTGGAATAACTGCATGTCGGATCAATGGTGGCACATTGATATATCACTTTCTAATCATATTTGTTTGAAGAAAAAAAAGTTAAATTTCTTTATATGAATTTTAAAAATTGTTCTACAGACAATACATACATTCGCACCATATATATACATATATAAAAACAGAACGATAAACTAAAACTAAGTTTTGCATTATAAAACAAGCCTATCTTCAGACGGAATTCTTCAGATAATTTATAATTTTTTTTGTGGCCAAGATTTTTAATAATAATAATAATAATAATAATAATAAGTTTATCAAATGTGTAGTAAAGATGACTAACCGTTTCAAAACTAAGTGTAAAATGTCCTAAAATCGTCAATATTTTACATTATAAACCAAGACTAACATTAGATTAACTACTTAGTTATTCTAAAGTAATGTAGCATAATGCTATATAAGTATATCAAATAAGGGAATTCTTCAGTCGATCCCAAAACAAATGAATATGTTCTATATCATCATACCAAGTTATATAAGTAGTTGTCTTTAATAAAGCATGAAGTGAATTGCTCATATTTTCACTGTCTATATCTTCTAATAAAACAACACTTAAAGGTTCTATAGCTCGATTTAAAACATGTTTCTGAGCTAAAGTCATTTCAAATTGACACCATTCACTTTGAACAAAATTATTACTTAATATAATTAAAACACGACGACTATTTTCAATCGATTCTACAATATTATCTATAATCAATCTACCAGCCTTGAAATCTCTTTCATGTATACAGAGTTTCATACCCTCATATCCCTCTAACTGTGGTACCAGATCATCCAAGACCCAATCGTCCGCAGCAGAGTATGAAACAAACACGTCATAGAGGTACTGTCGTTCCGCCATATTGTTTAAGAGTTTAGGTTGATGTCGCCAGATGTAAATCTGATATTTGATAAACCATCTATATTTATAAACAATTGATACTAAGATAAATACAAGAAGTATAACACAACAAACTCCAGTTATTGACGTATATAAAGGACTGTCTTTTATACAAATTTGTTTAGTCATATTTACACAGTTATATCCACGTGGATAAAATCTAAATTTAGTATGATCTCGATTCATCCACTCAATCAACCAAACATTGTCACAAATACACTCTATTGGATTATATTGAAGAGATATTGTTTTTAATTGTGATCTAAATTTCGCAGGAAACATCTCTTTTGATATTTTTCTTAATGAATTCTTACCGAGATGTAAAGAAGTTAAATTTATGTTTCCATCCCAAAATCTGTCTTTCAATGTTGTTATCCCGTTCCCATACAGACTGAGATACCTGAGTCTGGTAAAATTTTGAATCGATTTTGGTATTTCGTTTAACCAGTTTTTTGAGAGATCTAGATATTCCAAAGAGCTCAATTCTGATAAGATTTGGTCCAATTTATTAAAATCATGCGTTTTTTGGTCAATCAAACGATTACCAGAAAATATTAAATATTTGACTTTCTGGCAGCCACTGAAGGCAGTCGAATTAATATTTTGTACTTTTATATTGTTACCAATAAAGATTAATCTTTCAAGATTTGAATTATTAAAAGAATGTCCATGAAATTTTAAAGAATATTTGGAGTTTCTTTGTCTGGCCAAGCTGAGGTTGATAAGAGAAGATAACTCTTGGAATGATCCAGTTTCAATTAATGATATACAATTGTTATCCAGAATGAATGTGGAAAGGTTTTTTAAACAGTTCATGTTTTGAGGAACATAACTACAAATATTATTACTTTGTATATTTAAATAGGTCAATGAAGGGAAAAGAGATTTACCGTGACAAAAATCTGGAAGTAATTTGATATTATTTGAAACTAAGTATAATTCTTGTAAATTTTTCATTTTATCCATTATAATTGTCTCGATTAAATTATTTTCAACTTTTAAAACTTTTAGACCAAGTGAGTTAAATTCTGTGAAATTCAGTGTTGTAAGAAAATTCTTTGAAATGTTAAGATTTAATAAAGTAAAATTATTTTTAAATAATCCTTCAGGTATAAATCGTAACCCAATCTGTTGAATGCTTAATAAATGATAGGAACCATTTTTCAAATCAGAAAATAAATTCAACAAAGAATCAGTCGTCAAGTTGTTATTGGAGAGTCTTAATCGTTTTAAATGTTTTAAACCTTTAAAAGTATTAGTAGAAATGTGTGTGATTTGACATTCTTGAAGTGTTAACACCTCTAAATGCAGGTGGGTGATATTATCAAAAGTTTGCTTATATATCAAAGGAAGATGATTATTATCAAAAAACAACTTGGTAGTTCGACTTGGAAGAACAGGTATATAAGTCAAATTAGTGTGACTACATTCTACTACATTATGAGATGAACATTTACATAGTTTTAAACCACACGCATCCTTCTCACAATTATACATAGAGTAAAACACAAACAATAGACTAAGAACTAACAATCTTACACTATTCATCATTTTGCATGAGTTACCTTCCTTTCTTACTTATTTAAATCACAGCCTTTTGAAAGTTATTATATCATTATTCACGATTATGTTTTTTGTAGCTTCAGTTATTGTTAAATTTGCGGTAACACTTTTGGCTGCATTTCGTTCACAACTGTAATAGTATGCTGTCTATTGTCCACGTTATAAAACCTTGTAGACTACTAGTCATCCATATTTTTAAGTCGGGCTTCTAATCCACTATATTTGTCCTACATCTGTCCGCTTGTTTACGCTTCTAAAGTGGGCTGACCATTGTCCA